GGGGTGGTTCATGCCGCCTGCGGAAACCGCCGTTGAAGGGATGCCGACTTTGTCATTATAAAACCTGTGCTCAATATACTTCTTGCTCGAATATGGTTCGGCGACTGAGAGATGCACCATGGACAAGTGGATCGTAGGTAGGGCTTGCAGCGCATAAACTAGCCTCATCAATCGCTGACAACGATCGTTTAAACAGGTACTACTCGCTCAGACATTTGAAAGGACATGAACAACATAAGTCACTTCAGATAAGATCTTCAGATCTCGCGCAGCCCGAGAGATCCCGAGTCAACTTAAGCTTCTGCGTTTGTGCCATAATTGACAGTTCGGGGGGCGAAGTCCAGGAACACGCTAAAACGGAATTCGGTGGAGGCCGTCATCGGAGGATGCGACGTTTTCGGATGTGGAGGCCTGCGATAGACCATTCACCACTTTATCCCTTTCCACTGCTATCCAGCTACTCGTACGCCTGCAACCAGCAACTGTCATCGGTCCACGACCCTGTAAGTACTCAGTGCAAGAGGATCGGCATCCCAACGCCCGGTCTCGCCCGAAATGACCGAACCTTTGTTGGAGTTAAAGCTGAACTGAAGTGGCAAATAGACTCGCTCTTCATTCGATATAGGACCGCCCTCACAACCTGCTCCCGAAACGGAACGCGGGACCTACCCGAAGTGGTGCCTCACTCCGCATTGGCTCCTCCACAAGCCGACAGCTCGCGCCGCACTATGCGCACCTCGAGCTACATTTTATGGCTGAGGGGGCCTACGCGTACTCGAGCTTTGCCTCTGGTCTCCCTTCACGCACCGCTCGCGGTCGCTTCCTGACGCTCTTTCTCTACCCGTCGCTCCTTTGAACGGTTTCTCGCTACACAACATGCGCTTCTCGGCAAGCCTGGTTTCGTTGGGTCTTGCTCTCAACGCACACGCTCTTTCCTCGTCGTCTGAACTGGATGAACGCGATCTTAATCCCTTGGAGGGCTCCTTCGAGCACGTAGCTCGCGACCATTCCTTCCATGCACGGAATGCTCTGTCCCATCGTCGGCCTCGCATCGTGGTACGTGCAGACAGACGTTATCTTCTTGCGGAGATTCGTTGACTCTTTGGACAGAAACGGGCAAGCACTTGTGGAGCGACGACCACGGCTAAAGCCACTACAACCACCAAGGCCGCCACGACGACCAAGGCGACTTCCACAACAACGACGACCACTGCTGCCTCCACCAATACTGTAGCCGTCGGCGCCAAGAAGACATGGACAAAAATCAAGGAATACGTGCGTTGAATCCTGCTCAGGATTGAGCGTTGCCGTCTCTGATCCTCGCATACGCAGTCTGGCTCCAGCTTCTTCGATGACTGGACGTTCTTCACGGACGCCGATCCCACCAGTGGTACCGTTACCTACGTGGACGAGGCTACGGCGGTAAGTTCGCGCTCCGCTCTTATCAGTGCACTAGCTTACGCGGACGAACGTCAGAGTAGCAACGACTTGATTGGGTTGCTATCAAATGGCACCGCTGTCATGTCTCTCGAGACCACCTCAACCGTCTCTTCAACGCGTAAAAGCGTGCGCATCGAGTCGAAAATGGTCTTCACCGGTGGTCTCGTGCTTATGGATGCCGTCCACATGCCGACTGGCTGTGGTACATGGCCGTACGTTTGACCGACTCCACTCGGCTCTGCACATACTCAGATTTCTTGTCTACAGAGCGTTCTGGTCGTACGGCCCCGACTGGCCTTATAACGGCGAGATCGACATGATGGAGGCTATCAGCGACGAGACGGTCAATCAGTACGCTATCCATACCGGACAAGGGTGCTCGCTGCCTACCTCAGACCTTACATCGCTCGGCATGACGACATCGACGCTCTACGGCGCAACGGACTGTTACCCATACACCACCAATGGCGGAGGATGCGGCATCCGTGACACTGATTCGCGGTCGTTCGGGCCTGGGTTCAACAAGAATGGCGGTGGTGTGGTCGCTAGTACGTTTATCTCGTAATTCGCAACGATTTTCGGCCCGCTGATGCTTTTCGTAGTGATCTGGGTCACGGAAGGTATACAAGTTTGGTTCTTCCCGCGCGGCTCGATTCCCTCCGACATCACCGCCGGCACGCCTTCGCCATCCAAGTGGCCGCAAGCCCAGCTCAAGGCTTTCTGGCCTTCCACCGACTGCACAATTGCGAACTACTTCAACAATCACCATCTCGTGTTCGACACGACGCTCTGCGGTGACTGGGCTGGCAACACTTGGTCCAGCACAGACGGCGGTATTGCTGGGCAGGAGCAGAGCTGCGCTACACGCACAGGATACTCAACTTGCTCTGCCTTTGTAAAGGCTCAGGGCGGGAGCTTTGCAAATGCGTACTGGGAGGTCAACTACGTGAAGGTCTATCAGGACGCCAGTGATTCTACGATGACGTACACCCTGTAACTTGCCGTCCACTCTTTTATTCTCTGGGTTCCATCGGGTACATACTAGGCGGGCTCTGGAAAATAGTTTCATACCATAGACCTTATACTGTGTAACACATTATTTGTCCTGTATTCGTCCGTCAAACGGTTGCACATTCTTGTTATCGCGGAGTTGAAAACGAAAATAAAATGCCGGGTACGAAAATCAGGTGATCGTGTGTTATTTTCCCCACGGTTTCGGGAAACGGGTCCGCGTTCGGATAACTGCCGACGTTCGCGCCGTCCTTGCTTCTCTCCGCCACAACGCTCCGGTCATGACGGATAGAGGATTCCAAATCACGCAGCACTTCGATGATGAAGATCGCTGGACATTTCTCACCGACGATGAGGAGGATCTTGAAGACATACAGTCGCCAGACAGCAAGCCTGAGTTATCCAAACGAGTCAGGCACGTCGGCAAGCTGTGAGTGTTTTGCGACTCGTTGACGGAAGTCACCGCACCTGACGCAAACCCTATCTCGTCAGGAAAGACTCGACAGCGATGCAGATCCTACCTCTGGATATCATCTACGAACTTCTACCTTTCCTCGAGACTCGCGATCTTCTGATGTTCATGCGTTCATGCAAAGCTCTCAGAGAGCGCGGCGCAAGGCATCTTCTCTGTCGAAGCATACCCGTGCGAAAGATCCAGATATTCGAGCAATTCATGGCGGCTTCAGACTCTCGCTATCGATACCTATCGCATCTTGTCTACTCGCCTCGTCACCTCGTAGCAATGGACGCTACGAAGCTACTGTCTGTCTTGTCGCAGGCCACGGCCCTGCAATCGCTAGCCCTACTATGCGATATGGACGAGCTAGGAGACATGATGAAGACGAAACTGTTCAACGCGGCATTCCGTATACCGTCTCTCCACCGTCTACATCTCAGCTTGCAAGGCACATATAACCTTGGAGATCGCGCTCTACTCCTAAGACTGGGTCCAAGCCTCACCAGCCTGAGGCTTTCATTCGCTACGACAACAGACCCGTTCTCAGTCTTGTCGCCAGCACTACTGAGTAATCTGGAAACCCTCGACCTAGAAAAAACGTCGTTCATGCCGTTGGAAACGCCCCTCCTCAAGCTGAACAGTTTATCCCTGCATGATTCAATTGTCAGGACTGGCACTCTCGTCACATCTTTCCCTAACCTTCGACACCTGCGAATATCGAACTCCGGCCGTCACGCGCATCTCCCTCCGAAGGAAGCGGAGATGAAGGCTGTGCGATCTATCAATGAAGTTGGGCAGATTGCGCATACCTGGCCTTCCCTCGATACACTATCCGGCAACCTCATTGCCCTTCACAACCACGCAATAGCTATTCCAGTGACGGCTCTGCACGTCGATACTGACATCGTGATCGGGATCCACGACCAGCTCCTGGATACTGTTCTCCAAGACACACAACCAACTCGCCTCTCACTCACGCTTGATCATCGTACTGCAGAAGCCACTTCGTCGCTTCTGGAAGGTGTCAGAGCTCTCATCCGGCCGGCCGCAAACATCAGGCATCTTTCTCTCAAGGTAGTGTGGCGCTCCTGCGAAACAAGCGCTGGGGATGTGCGGGCTGCGAAGAGTTTCACCGTGAGCTAGGCCTCATTGTATAAGCATACTCGACGACGTACTCATCCTCGCAATCGTCTAGGATGCGCTCTTTGACATGATTTCGCACTCTCCTTTGGAGACAATACGGCTCAACATTACGAAAACGATGTTGTTCCGTCAACCTCAACCTGATGACGGTGTTGGCCTGGGTGCTCATGAGATTGCTCTCAGACTGGCACAGGAAATCACGGGCCTTCGGCACATTTTAGTCCATTATCAGATTCTAAACCTGGAGCGTACGCGTATGCGGTATTGGGAGGTACTTAGGAAGGGGGAGGAGTTGGACATGCGCGAGTCGGAGCCTTGGATCGGCGAACAGATGGTGGGCGAGGATGTCGCCAGCTCTGAATTGGTAGCGCAATCTTGGCTCTAGTCCCGCGGGGAAGATGTTATAGCACGCACAACAATCATTGTATGACGCCTAGTATGAGAGCTATAAGAGTCTAGCATGCAGCATCAGTCCTCAGTACACAGTGACTGAGAAATGCCAGTCCGCAAGCGGTAGAAGGATATCCCTGACGACGTACACGCGCCTGTATACGATGGCAGACAAGTCAGGTGATCGTGAACGCCACTTGGCACTTGGCCGCGAACGTCGCCGCACTTAAGACCCAACCCACTGAGGAAACGCACCTTGTTTCTCCCCATCACCAGTGTCAGCGATAGTTGCCTCTCTCTTCAGATCAACTTCTCATACTTCACTTGCGATGGAACAGCCATCTGTCTTGGTCGCTCCAAGTCGGCAGCAGCGTGCTCACGGTGGGCACGATAGCGACATGTACGTGGTTGAGAAGATCGCGTAGGCTGTGCAACTAACATCGTTTGCGACAGTCGGGTCTCTCCCATGACAAGACTACTACCTCTAGACATAATCTACGATCTCATCCCTCTACTCGGTCTTTCTGATCTCTTGACGTTCATGAGCACGTGCAAAGCCTTCCGGGAACGTGGTGCAAAGCACCTAGTTTCTCGTAGCTTTCCCGTTAGAGACGTCGATTCCTTTGAACTCTTCATGGCTTCATTCGGCGATCGCATGTATCAACACATTGAGCATTTCAACTATCTGCCTCGTTCCGACGAGGTTGTCACAGCGGAGCGGTTATCATCTATCCTATCGCAAGCCACCCGGCTGGAATCGCTCGAATTACAGTTCTATCCCGAGCCCAGAGGCCTGGCAAATGAACGTAATGGACTTCACGGCGTGCTTTCTAGTGTTCCAAGTCTTCGGCGTCTACATCTTTGGCTCACAGGAACAGAATTCCTAAGCCCCACCGAACGCGCCATATTGCAGAACCTGAACTCGGGTCTGCGCACTCTGCGTCTATCATTCATACGGCATTGCGATCCGTTGCAATCTCTGCCCGGAGCTCTCCTCGATGGCCTAAAACATTTGCACTTTCAGCGTGCTGTATTCGACTCACTTGAGAACCCTCTCGTGAAGTTGGAGAGTCTGACCATAGAGGATGCGACAATGCATACAAGGACGCTGATCACATCCTTCCCCGGCATTCAGTATCTTCGACTTCCACGGACAGATTCTGAAGACACCGAGCGCAGGAGGAGGGGGTCCTTCGAATCTGAGTTGGATATCATGCACAGATTGAATTCGCGCACACAAGAGCTCGGAAGTAGCTGGCCATCACTCAGATACTTGTCCGGAAGCCTCACCTCTCTCTATCGCCACGCCGTGACAGCGCCCACGCAGACGCTGCACATCGACACTGCGATTGTCAATCCTCTCGACATGGAACTTCTACGCGTTGTTCTGAAGGACACTCGACCTACCTGCCTTTCAATCACGCTCTCGTACCGTTATGTCTCGTCCATGTTTGAACCATTGATGTCCGTCCAATCACACCTCAAACGCCTCGACCTACGAGTCCTATGGTGTCCTCCTGAGACGCATAAAGATGAGAAACGTGCGGCACGAGAACTTGTAGTAAGTGTATTTTGTGGTGCCTACTTGGAACTGTGACGCGTCGACTTAACTCGATACATGACAGGTCTCTGTGTATGGAATGTTAGCGCGGCTGTCTCTCACTGCCGTACGATTGGACATCGTCAAGGAGATCGAGCGCTCTCAGTCCGAGGACAAAGCGCTAGATACTTACGCGATTGCCCTGCGACTTGTGCAACGGGTGCCCACCCTCCGGGATGTCCTGGTCCGATATCAGACCTCTGAGATGGAGAGTACGCGTATGCGGTATTGGTCGATCGCCGAACCGGGAGATCATGAGACTATGAGCGAGATGGAGTCGAGTGTGGGTGATGAGATCTTCGGGGCAGACTTGCCCGGTGCGGGATGGGGCGCTTGATGAAAGGCGCTTGGCCGCTTGGGCATCAACAGGACAAATGAGCTAGTCAATGTGGAATAAGTCGATACGTAGAAACGTATGTGTAAGGATGAATAGGATGCGATCGTCTATATACACGCATAGGAATGTAAGTCATGCCGAGACCATGCCTCCGAGCTTCGTCTATGTTCATCTCCCTTCGTCTTCATCGTCTTTCATGTCTTGGACGTCCACGTCGCCCTTCTCCGAGTCGTGATCGATGATCGTGGTCGTGGTCGAATGGGACGTCTTTCTCCAGTCAAATCCCCCCTCGTACCCGAACCACGTATATCTCCGCACGTGAGGACCTCGTAAAAGCATGATGACGAGCTGAAACGCGCAGAACGCGAACATGAGCGCCCCATTGGCCCGCCATCCATGACGAAGGAAGACTTGAGATCCCACTGCGCTTCCCATCACTTGTCCGATGAATGTCTGTCCGCCGGTGGTGTGTCAGAACATCGATGCCATCTAGGATGCAGAGCGTACATACCGCGAAGATACATAGTGAGTTGATTCTAGAACGCATCCCTTCTTCAACCTGGAAGACCTGTGTCGCAATCGCTACCTGTTGCGACTGACGTGCAATGTCCAAGCCGATGCAGACTATGACCACGACCGCGAGATGCGCGCCAGCTGCTCCCCAGTATATGGCTTTGGACAAGAACATGATGCTGGTGGCAATCACGATGGCGTACCAAGGATTCATGCGGTCAATGACGCGGCCAAACAGAGGTGAACCGAGCACACCGATTATACCTGGCAAGTATTAGCCACAAACTCTGGATGAAGTCCAGGAACGGTCTCACCAATCAGTCCGAACATCCCGATAGTTAGAGTATCGTAGTGATAGGGTGTATCGCCCAGCAGAAAGGTCAACGTGACCTGATCAACATGTCAGCAATAGATCATCAGCCCATAGCGACGACTCGACGTGGCGTACCCAGAAGTCCGTAAAGCTAGCTGAAGCTCCGATGTGACAGAGGTAACCCTGGATCACAGTTGGCTCGCGTACAGCCAAACGCGCCATGCTAGCGAGTAGCTTGAAGTAAGTGAGGTCCTTGTCCTTGGAACCAGGGTAGTCGGGCAGGAATCCCCACATGAAGATGGTAGAGAAGACCTGGGCGCCGATAGCAGCGTAGTAGACGACCCGCCAGGTCACGTATTGAGCGATTACGCCTGCCACCACACGAGCGAAGAGAAGCCCGACCAGGTAGCCAGAGAAGACGATGCCCACTGCACTGGCTCTTCGGTTCGGCGGTGCGAGATCCGCGGCCAGGGGGATGAGGACATTCGGCGCGATGCCGAACATACCAATGAAGAATGATATGACTTCGAAGGCTATGAAGGAGTGTGTCACCGCAAGTCCTATGGTCAAAGCAGTGCCACCAATCAATGAGGCTAGCAGTAGAGGCCGACGGCGCGTGAGGTCGCCCATGGGGGCTAGGAATAGTAAGCCCGCGCCATATCTGCGCAGAACGAATATGAGCTTCAGGAGCTGAGCCAGAGCTCACTGAGATACGCACCCGCCCTGTACAAGAGTAGGCACTCTGCGGCCAGTATGAGTCCTCGTTAGTTCCGTATGAGACACGAAGTTGATTCCCACCTGGAGACAGACTCATAGGAAACGCCGAAAGATTGCGATAGTTCAACTGGTTCCACGCGGTCAACCCTCGTTCACCGGCGAGATACTGTAGCGATGTACTCAATAGCGGTTGGCAATAATACAGATTTGCAATGACTGGCGCGCTGGAGGGTCAAATCGGTTGCCTTGTGTGGTGAGAGTTAGACGTGCTGACCGACGGCACCGACGACCGCAAACAGGATGTTGAGGGAAAGGCCAAATTTCGCCGGCTGTGCGGGGTCATGATGCAGCCTTTGGGGCACGGGGATAACGCCGAAGTCGTAGACCCTTCGGCGAGGGACCTGAGCGAAAGCTGCACTGGAGGCGGTATCGTCAGAGGGCATCATAGACCTCGTTCGCAATGGCGGTCTCAAGGAGAGCCCGTCTAGCCCCAGGTGTGCACCTCGCCTGCAGGCGGAGTCACAGGGAATAGTCCACGTTCATGTACTTCTGTTGATCGCACGAAGTGCTCAACGGGGCCCCGTCTATCGGCCTGTTTAGTCCGATAGTGGGCGCTAATGATCACCGGCCAAACATCCGAGAAGACTGTCAGCGACCAAGAAGAAATGTGAGGCGGGGAAGCAAAGGCGCATATTATTCTCGTCGTAGTCATGGTTCAGACGAGAAAGCCGAGTGCCACAACTCGCGCAGAATATATTGGCCATAGCACGCCACTGCGAAGCCGGAGCACGCACACCGCGTGTGAACGGCACTCGCGGAGAACCACCACCATGTTCTGACGTGTGGCTCTGAGTGTTGAGTTTGTACCTCGCATGCTACGCTGATATTGCCTATATCCCTCCATTTTGCTACGCAGGAATGGCTACAGACTTCTGGGCCAGTTCTCACCAGTACGCTGTCACGCTCAATACAGTCGCGGCAACATGCTGACATTGCTAGCAAGCGATGGATAGTCGACCGAGCCACTCTGAGACAAGCCCGTTCAGAGGACCTCCAATACGTGGAGAATGCCGAACAGCTTGACTTTCTTTCTATATATCTGTCCAACCGTGCGTCCTTGATCAACCGGATATCACTTGAAGCTCATCTCCTTATGCAGTCATTGTTCGCTTGGGACAGAATCTACATCTACGCCAACGCGTGATCGCGACCGCAGAGGTCTTCTTCCGGCGCTTCTACATCAAGAACTCGTATTGCGAGACAGACCCGTTCATGGTCATAGCCGCTTGCTGTTATGTAGCTGCGAAAGCCGAGGAACAGCCCATACACATCAAGAGCGTTGTGACCGGAGCCCGCGAAGTGTTCGGCAGTGAGTTCGCCATTTACATCCTGGACACGATGAAACTCATCACATGCTCTGCAGAGGAGGAAGGTGGTAAACACTTCCCGTCGGACAATACAAAGCTGGCCGAGATGGAATTTTACCTTGTCGGGGACCTTGAATGTGATCTGACCGTATTTCATCCGTATGCAACTCTCATGACGCTATGTGGCAAAGAGAAGGACGGTGCAGTTGCAAGTCTGGAGGCCGGTGAGGTCGGTTCGGGTGCAGATGACGGTCCCCGTTACTGGGGCACCGGAGAAGGGAAACTCCTACTCGACGAAGGTGCACTTCAAACGGCATGGTATGTACGTTTACTCTAAGCTCGAGCTGTGACTAATGGTCAAGCCACAGGTTCGTGATTAACGATACATATCGCTCAGAGCTATGTCTTCTTTACCCTCCACACCTCATCGCTGTCGCAGCGATCTACGTGGCTCTTATCCTCCATCCGAAGACGAGACAAGCTATTCAACATCCTCCTGCTCCGACCGCGAGCTCGTCAACGCGTCGGTCGTCGCGACAGACGCGAGCATCGCAGGACTACGTTCAATGGCTCGCCGGCCTGAACGTCTCACATACCTTGGTGGCGAACATCACTCAAGAGATCATTTCTCTGTACGCCCTTTGGGGACGCTACCGAGAACCCGATCCGGAGGAGGACTCCAGCGCTCGAGGTTCATTCGCGCGAAGCAAGGCCGCCGGGAGGCACGATGACCCCCACGCGGATGGTAGCAGGTCAGGGCTCTTGGATGACGAAGAGTCTTTCGCGACACCGGCTGGTCTAGCAAGACTGCTTCTGAAGATGCGGGTGGCAAGGATCGAGGACCTTGCTCATCCTCCTAGCGGCAAACCAGTTGCCGTCAACAAGATGCTCGAGAGAACGCAAGCCGCTGGGTGATCTGCTGTCTGTTAACCCTTTCATTGTCATCGCTTTATGCCTCTGCTCGTCGTGTTCTCCTTTTCCTACTTCCCTGGAAATGTTATCTGTACTCTACCTTGTCTCCTTGGTTCTATCTGTCCACCATCACACAAGAGATGTTGTGTAAAACTCCGCATCTTCGTTGAGATGACCACTGATGAAACGATTGTCCTTCACCTGCTCGTATTGTACCCATTCAGTGACGTCATACAATCTTAGCCCCCTTTTCCATAGCTCGAGAACGACGCAGTAAGTATGTCAAGTAGCCATCGGCGCAGCTGTCGCCGGAGACCTCTGCCAGGCATCACATCCTCCTTCATCGGCCACCTCTTAAAGTTGTGATCAGAAGAAGGCACGCGACAGACACGCGATAGAGTCTCGGACATACGACGGACATAGGCTTCGGGTCAGCCCGATGTTAACCTTCTTCCGAACCGCCATGTGCCTTGCTTGAGCTGTACATTGAAGCAACGGATAGATGATGTTCCTCTAGAGCACGTCCGCTTACTCTTCATCACTCTGTTTGCCATCCATGCACCAACCGATCTCCGAGTTCGTACGACCGCATTGAAAGCTGGTCACTGTGCACCTCAGCATCTCGCTTGTGGCATGTATGTACGGTGTACGGGCCAGATGGGCCGCGCTTGAACCGCTGAAATGATGGGCAAAGTCGTACAGGACGTCTGTCTGCAGGCCGTGACCCGATGCAATAGAGAAGCAAGAGTCTATCCGACACCATCAGGCGATACCACCGCCCGAGCGATTCAATATGGGACCGGGGTTGGCGACGACCAACCTTGATGGGAGTCTGGACTAACGTTAGTCGAAGGGTAACCGTCGGCTCCACGCCCAACGCCGTCATCACCACGTCTGGTTCACATTGTGGGGCCGTGTTGGTTACGGGTTGAGTCCAAGGTCGAGCGGAGGTTGGCAGCTTCCTTTCGCGAACGATGAATGCCAATTAAATACTGGGCTATATCCTGGGTCGTGGCTGGCAATTTCATCATTTTGGGGGTGCACTCACGATCGCGCTTTCGCTCGCATACAAAGCACGGAGAACAGATATATATTCATTCGAGGTATGATATAGTATAACGAAGCATTTGTAATCGTATGGTAGGATACTGCACAAGCATATCGTAAGCAGCACTACTCATCGCCTCCGCCTCAGCGGGGCCACGCCATGGAACACCGCACCAATGCATACATGGGGAGACAGTTGTGAAGTATGAGCAAACGAGAGTGCCGCGGTGAACCTGCGCGTAACCAAAATGGACACGACGACGGAGTGCTTAAGACCGCGGACACCGGGATTGAGGTAATACAGCGTGCTTCACTATAGTAAGACGAAACAGGAAGGAGGTGGGATGGTAAAGGAGGATAAAGTGTATGTGTCGCAGAAACGCCAAAGTCGACTTGTGTGCTAGCACGGACACGTCAGAAGGTGGAGAGACGGGGGCGCGATACAGACATACCAGACTTAGGCAATCTTCTTCAAAGGTCATTCAGCTAGAGTTAAGGTGTAAAGAGCTGACGCGGTAGCTGGAGAGTTGGGAGGCGCGGCAGAAGACAGAGAACGAAGGAGGAAGACGGCGGGCGGACGCAAGAGCCGCGTCGCAACGGGCCTCCCATTCGGCCCTCGCGATGGAGTTCTCACGCGCTCTGAACGAGAATCGCGCACAAGTCGCTCGCGTCTTCTCCGTCTTGGTTACTGCGTTCACCATCCACCAAACACGACACCGGTACCGCTACCCTAGCACGTCATACTCAATGGCCTCTATATCTCCACCTGCCTTGGACGTGTCTTGCCGTGACCGACACAAGGCCGCTTGCAACTCGTTTCGCCGCCACCCGGACTCCCATGACCGCCATCGCCACCAACGGTGTGCTATCGCCATCCGCCCTCTGACCACTGTTCTTTCTGTTACCCACCTCCCAATATTGAGCTACCAGCTAACTAGCTTGCTGCAAAAGGAACCTACACAGCTTGTCCGGCGTTGGTGCACTGAAAACGGTTAAGTCGCAGGGCGGCACACTGTAGAGGCTACTACTGTTTGTGGCAGCGACGCGCGTGCATTGGATGTGTGCACGCCCGTAGTACCCACAAAATTCTGGGGTCACTCCGTATATGTGTTACTCTTTACTCGTCGTCCTACTACCTTGCTACCACCATGATAATGATAATTTATTGCTCACCATGAAGTACATCGAGTATTTTTATGGCTCAGAATATATGTCAATGCATAGTACGGAAGGCGGGGATCTACAGAACCGACAATATCCATAGCTGCGGCAACTGTAGGCTCGAGAGCTCTCGCACCACGCGCGCTGGGAAAACGGGCCGAGCATCCGCCTGAGCAGGGTCAATGTGGGCCGTCCACCACCCTTCGAGCTCGCGCTCGGGCTTGAGCCAGTCTTGGTGCGGAGATCGCGTTCACATCAAGTCTTCTAGCACCGCTCGTACGTTCGTTGCCGCCTGTTGAACCAGGGTAGCCGATCTAAATTGGTGGAACCCCGCGAACAACCCCCGGCCGGCGCAGTTCCCACATTCGCTCATACGAAGCCGTCGAATCTCGGATCAATGAAGAAGTGCTTTGGCGGTGTAGTCATCTCAGAAGGGGTCTCGACGTCGTATGTTCAATCCTGTACGGCTTGTTTGTATCGTCTCATTCCGCAACGCTTCCGCCGCCGACTCATAATTGCCCTCTCGTCTGTAGTTGGACGTGAAAGGTCGCCGTCGACGGCTTCTAGTGAATATGTGCGCCAGTTGTGCGCTGTTCGTCTGACAGCACTGTGTCGTCTACGTCAGCGTGACCTTGAAGCATCCGGTGCTCATGATACCGGATAGCGAGCTGTTATTCGTTTGGGTAGTACAGGCGCAGCTCCTGACCCGGTAGCAACGTCAGCGACCGCAATACCCGGTATAAAAGCCATGAGAGCGTGCGCAATACTCTTCAGAGCCTCAGCATCATCCTCGAGTCTCTACTTCTCCAACTCAGCACATCTCATATCCACTAACAATGTTCGCCATTGCCTCCATCGTCGGTCTATCCATTGCCGCTTCCCTCGTTGCCGCAGCACCTTCCGGCGAGGTTGTATCGAGCTTGACCAAGCGCGTTGTGTACAGCTGCTCAGACGACTCCCAAGGCTCTTTCGCCACCGCCTCGTTGGTACCAATCGTTAGTTCATTGAATCTGGTACTCACATCTTGTCCAGATACTCGGAGGCGCAGATTCTGGCGAACAATGCCGTGTCGTACATGGCCGCGAACGGCGCAGATTCCCTCTTTCAGACTTACTTTGGCAATACGTCGACTGCCTGGCCACAGTGGCTCTACAATCAGATCGGGACTGAACACGGCACGAACTTCACTATCAACTGCAATCCCACGACCCAATGCGGGTCGAACACGATCGCGGACACTGTCTGGCGTGATGTTATAACGACCCACCATCAGGGTTCCACAACTTGGACGACGGTCGGGGATTACTCTGCTACGACATAGTGAGCGCTCACATACTTCAATTGTTTGGTGGGTGAGCTGATGGCCTGACACTTGCAGCCTGTGCTCGATCTTCTTCAACCGGGCTCCACTTGCGTCTCTCTGCACCGGAGCGTCGTCCGGTCGCGCTGACTCTCTCGTCCATGAGATGTCCCACGCTTTCGGTCATACCAAAGACTGTTCGTAGCGCCCAGCAGCTCTTTCGCCATACTGAAACGAATGCTGACACTGTTGAACAGATGTGTACGGCTGTTCCAACACGCGCGCTCTTGCCATCTCAAACCCTGATGAGGCCGCGAACAACGCCGAGAACTTTGGGGTGCGGCTCGATTCATCTCCAGTCTATTCTCCGTAGCTGATGAGATCTACAGTGCTTCAGCATTGCTGCGTACCAGGCCACTCAATGTGGGGCTTAGGCTTAGATGGACAATACTTCACATGTCCATTGCAGGGTCTTCATTTTCTTACTCTTCCTTACTCTTCTCTGGGGCTGGATCGTTCATGAGTGTACGAACGTGTGTGAACATCGTGTAGCGCAGTTGATTCTAGTGTTATCAATCTTATCTTCTTCCATCCTTCGGTGCCTTCTTCGCAAACCAAGAGCCCCCATTGGCCACCTCCTGAAACGATCAGCATTTCTACGCCGTTGCCGATAGATCTCGGACCGCAACAGGAGCTTCAAACTCGACCACCACGACTGGCTGGCCACACACTGTATCAAAGATGGCATGGGCGTACAGGATACCGGAATATTTTGATTGGCGTGATCCTTAGCCAGATGTTTCATGCCGGGCGCTGACGTCTTACTTTAAAACGCGCGGATGTCGGCTTGGAGCAATGAACCATCCCGGGCATTCGCCACCCACACTGTCAACTTTTCCTTTCGCCTGAACCTCCACCATCCCTATACCTGTCACGGCTATGGCGTCCACGAACAACGACACCCAACCATCTTCCGTGCGCCTGCCCGGTCGCCGCGAACGCGCGGGCAGCGCCGGCGCCACTGGCAACAAGCCGCCCGTCTGGGCCATCGACAACACTGCCACGAACGAGGAGGCACCGCTGCCGTCCAAGTGCGCACGCCACCGTGAAGACCGCCACGGTGTGTGCTGCAAGGAGCTTAAGGGCGAGGACGAGCGTCAGCTCATCGATCCCGACGTTGTGCGCGACATGTGAGTACCGCGCTCCTTGTCTGCGGCTTTGTCAGGAGATAGTTGGGCTGGGCGTAGCGCTGAATCATCGGGATACACTGCTGAGCGTGATCCATCGTGCTGCGCGGTGGTCTGCATGCGCCGGCTGCCGTACGCATGCGGGACGGAGCCTGACAGTACTTCTTTCACGTTGAAGGCACATGTTTCGCACTCGAAGCAGCCAGCCTGCGTTCTCGTCCCTGTCAATTCAAAAGAAATGGAAGCGCCGTTGCGGGATTCGCGCGAAGTCCTTCCGTGCCGCTTCTGTGCTTCATTACTGCTTTCGGATTCACGGTGCTGACTATCTATTCTTTCCAGTGTTATCGGCCTGTCAGATGGATTGACAGTTCCTTTCGCCCTTACCGCCGGCTTGTCCTCTTTGGGCGAGTCGAAACTGGTCGTACTTGGCGGTATCGCTGAGCTCATTGCCGGCGCGATCTCCATGGGCATCGGCGGCTTCCTCGCATCGCAAGCAGAACGCGACCACTACCGCTACCTGCGCCGCCAAACGAAAGCTCGCGTCCTGCGCAGCTGTGACGGAGAGATGGAGCGTGAAGTTCACGCAGTCCTCGGTCCCGTCGGAGTGGAAGAAAATGTTTCCCGCGCTGTGGCGCGCAACTTGCTGGAGGTCGAGATTGGCGAGCATACCGCGGGACTTGCCGGCCAGAGCAGCAGCTCGCAAAGCGACGCAGAGTCGATGCAGTCGTTGCGGTGGAGCGAGGACGTCGGCGTCACTGCGTTCTTGCTCAAATTTGGCGAGGGTCTCGAGGAAGTCCCGACGAAGCGGCTCTTCATCAGCGCGTTCACCATCGGCATGGGGTACCTCCTCGGTGGTATCATCCCGCTCATCCCCTACTTCTTCATCGCTCGCGCGCACACCGCCCTCATGTACTCGTCGATCCTCACCGGCCTTGTGCTGCTCCTCTTCGGCCTCGTCAAGAGCCACATCACCGGCGCCGCCCATGGCTTCGGCTCGTACGCCTGGGGCGCCATCTCTACCCTCTTGGTCGGTGGCGCGGCTGCCGCGATCGCATATGCCGTCGTCGCCGCCCTCGAGCCTCAAGCTTGAGCCGAACCATCTCAAACTCGTTGTCTGCCGCTGTCTGTAACTCTACCTGTCATATTTGTCGCATGTCATATTTAGCTGTCGCTCTGTTCTTCTTGGATATCGTAATCCGAACATTATCTCTTATTTCATCGATGAGAACATTGGGAGCGTCTTATTCGCTTGCCCGTACGGCAAGAGCGCAACTATTGCACCGGAACAGCCCCCTGCAGTATTATTGGGCCTATCGCCTTGCGAGCGACGGCGCGTTCTCGATCCCATTCGTATCGTACATTCTGCGGAGTCCCTTCATCTGAGCGTCGACGATCAGAGACTGCTGAAGCTGTCATCGTAAGAAATTATACCTATGCCTGTCATTCAAGCAAGCAAGACTGATCACGCGTTGTGTTTAAGTAGAAGTGTGTGCGATTAGAAGCGGAATAGATCTAGCTTGACGAGACGGATACAGGAATGCGGTAGCTACTAACAGAACTTTATGCCTCAGCAGCGGCAGTGGGCTCAGCAGCGAGCACCGACACAACGACCGTGTAGGTGCTCTCTGGCTCCTCAGCCTCGCCCTCGCCCTCAGCGCCTTCCTCAGCGTCACCCTCCTCGTTGGTCTCGCCCTCGGTAGCGCCCTCACCCTCCGTGGCACCCTCCTCGGACTCGCCCTCCTCGGTTTCAGGCTCAGCGTCGGTCTCACCCTCACCCTCAGTAGCACCCTCCTCACCGGCACCCTCCTCGGTCTCAGGCTCGGTCTCCTCACCTTCAGCGGGCTCGGTCTCCTCACCTTCGGCGGGCTCGGTCTCCTCACCCTCAGCGGGCTCGGTTTCCTCACCCTCGGCAGGCTCGGTCTCGCCCTCGCCCTCGCCTTCCTCGGTAGTAGCCTCGCCTTCACCCTCCTCGGTCTCAGCCTCGCCTTCGCCCTCCTCGGTCTCAGCGGGCTCGGCTTCGCCCTCACCTTCTTCGGTCTCGGGCTCAGCCTCCTCACCCTCACCCTCGCCTTCCTCTTCCTCCTCACCCTCACCCTCCTCACCGGCACCCTCCTCAGTCTCGCCCTCGCCCTCACCCTCGCCTTCGCCCTCAGCAGCGGGCTCGCCGGTAGTGGTCTCACCCTCCTCAACGATCAAGTCGTACACGTTGTACGCCTCGACGCCCTTGGGGAAAGCGTTGGCATCGACGCGAGGCTGGCGCTGAGCGGTCTCCTGGGGCGTGCGCTCAATGCCGCAGCGCGCCAGGCACTCCTCAACGCCGTAGATGACGTTGTCGGGGATGAAGCCCTCGAGGTTGGCGACCTCCTGGATGCTGAGGCCACCGAGGGTAGCACCGACGATGTCCGGGGGAAGGCCGAAGAAGCGCTGGGCGACCTGCTGAACACCGGGGTCCTCGCCGTTGAAGCCGGCGACGAACATGGCCTCCTCGCAGGACGGGTTCATTTCGAAGTGGATGGCGCCCTGAGGGAAGATGGTAGCGGTGCCGGGGCGGATGTCGATCTCGGCGAAGCGCGCGCCGTTCTCGACGAGGACACCGCCGCGGAGAGTAGTGTTGAGCGAGAAGTTGATCTCGGAGGCACGGGGATGAGTGTGCGGGCTGTTCATAGCGCAGGGACCGAGGTAACCGATGGCTAAAGAATGACATGTCAGATATCGTGATACTACTATTATATGCGGATGAGAAACATACTCATGGAGACACCATGGCCGGTCACGAAGGGGAAGTTGGCAGACGAAGCGGCAACCGTGCGGCCAGCTGGATTGAAAGTTAGACCAAGTTCGGAGTATTGTAGATCGGCAAATACTCACCAGCGCCGACGGTAACGCCAGCACCTTCAGTACGGCCGTTGAAGTCGAAGAGCAGATCCTCTTGGTCAAGAAGGTTGAGGCGGTCGACCTCAGTAGGAGCAGTGCGAAGCTGAGCGATGAGCTCGGCGACGGAAGACGCGGTTGCGCCGCCCTCCTGAGCGAGAGCGGTCGTAGCGACGGTAACGAGAGCAGCGATGGTAGTAGCAGAAAACATGGTAGTCGTCTCGGGAAAGAAAGATAATAAAGTTTAAAAAGGAGTCGCACAGACAGAAGAAAAGAAGAAAAGGGAGCCGAAGCCGGAAGAAAGTGAATGAGGAGAAGAAACGGGTGGAGGGTACCTTTTATACGAACTTCCTGCATGCTCGTGTGCGACCGACCATCGTCAGCGCCGGACTAGCACTGGTCTTGGCTCACTGGTCTTGGCTTGTGTACAGATCAGTAGAAATTAAAGACGTAGACTCCAGCGTTCGGCCGGACGAATCACAGCGCAGTTGCCAAGGTCCAGGTCACGTCCCCTCGAATGCACTGATGCGACGCGTGTGAATCAAGCCAAGAAGATGCAGTCCATCAATCTGCTTTGTGAGTGGTCGATAAAGGCGGAACTGAGAGATATTATACTGATGTACGATGGCTGTGTACCGCCACGATCTGTGTTGACAGGACGCTGTACGATGGACAAGAAAGCGACCTCGGTATCGAAGCCGGTTTGATTATCATTTTAGGTCTGAAGGACGCCGTCGAGCGTCTTTGCGCGGAACCCTGGACGCTCTCTACTGTACACTGTACACACCTCTCACGCATACATGGCGTGCGTAAAGGCCAAGCGGTAGGCCGGACGTAGGAAGCGGGAAAACGCAGTGACGTGGCTTACTCTAGCCTTCAGGCCAAGGACCGACCCACTGCGGCGGGAGCACGGCGTGCGCATCACTTGTCGATCATGCTGGTAAGGATCCCGCGCAGGACTTTCGGGATGTCTGCGGTGTGCGCGACGCGGAAGGCGCGGCCAGGGAATTGCTTGGGTACCCTGCGAGCGCGACGTCGTCAGCACCACTGCGCTCGACGCCGGAAGCACGAGCCAAGCGCGTGTACACAAACGTGCCAACGCGCCAAGTCGGCGATTTCGCCAAGGCGAATAGACGAAAGGGCGCTCTTCGGGCAAGAAGGTGAACGAGCGCCGATGCGGGGATTGTGGGGGCGGGGAACGAAAGAAGTGAGCCATACTGCGGAACGTACCAGGCTGCTTCTGCTCCTTCTCCGATACAGATGAGTGCAATCTTGACCTTCGGATGGCGGTTCATCGCACGACGAAGATCCTCAGCCGTGATACCATAGCGAGAGAAGTTCGCGTCGGTTATGGCGACGACGAAATGCGCGTCGCCGTCGAACTTTGCCACTTCACCAGCGGACTTCTCAATCGCTTCAACTGAGGCAGAGTGTTAATCAAGCTCTTTAATAACACCGACCGGCTCTTACCAGTATGATCTCCGGCGAAGGCGTACTGTGGCACCATATCCATCTTCTTTACGACGCGCCAGCGGTCTGAGACTTCGGCAATGGTCTCATTCACGCGCACAATCGGAATATCTGGCGAGTCTCCGGACTAGATGGTATCAGTATCTAGACATAGGCGCGTTGAAGAGACGATACACACATGCCCGAACATCTGGCCCGTGTTTCAGTACCTGGAATACGACGTGATAGTTTTACAACGTACATCCCATACGAATTTGTCCTTGCGAGACAGTCGGTTGAAGCTTTCCATAAGCATGACCGCTAAGAACACCAAGTCAGCGATACAGACATTGAACACAAATCTGATACGTACCGGTCTCCAGGCTGCGCTGTAGACGTCCATCATACTGGAAGCGATACATCGAGCCGCTCAGGTCGAACAAGAAGCGTAACCGTTTCGGTCTATTCGGGTTTGAGCCTATGCCCTGACGAAGGAGTATGTCTCGAACAGCTCTCACTTGATTTGAGGGCGACCAGGTTCTGGCTTCGCCATCCCACGGCGCTTATAGACAGTCGTCTCGCCAGTGAGACCCTCTGTCAAGCGCGAGTCGTCGAGTTCACCGTCCGTCTGTCTCTTCACCCAGACACGCTCCTCCTCCTTTGCCGCAAGATCTGAAGTCGCGCGCCATCAGTTTCCCTCTGTCGTATGACGCAACTCGGATGACGTACTCTCGAGCAGGTCCAAAAGACCGGCTATGTGGGCCTGCACTGCGCTGAGTAGTCCGGCGTACTCCTTTGCCTCGCCAGAGGACATATTCAACTCCTCGAGCCTATGCGCGAGTTCCGCCTTCGCCATCTCCCGAGCGCGCTCTCGCGTCTCATCCGGCACCTGACTCTTGAGCTCGTCTGAGACTTGCTTGATGTTGTTGCCTGTGTAAAGGCGCATGAAGCCTCCCCTGCCGCCCAATCCTGCAGTGTCACGGCCGCCGACCTAGTAGCTGCTTAGTATACCATCGAAACAGGCGCAGACGTGCGTACACCGCCAGCCCAAGTATTCCCTCCTTCGTGAGGATCATTGTTAGGGTCCACCTTTCCGAACTTGGGCTTGTCGAGATCCGTCTTCTTCGGCTCGAACTTCATGTCAAGTGGGCGCTTCGCCTTTGGAGGCTCCTCCTGATCCAACTTCTGCACGTGGAGACTGAGGATGGGATCAGTACATGACTTGATTGCAGAGAGACACCATCTTGCCCATGATGCCGCAGAATATCTGCGAGCTTATCCATCGCGTCGGGCCTAAAAGCGTCGAAATCGAAGACATTTCGAAGGGCGTCGTCGAGATCGTCTGTGGGATAGGCGCGCATGTGCCGCACAACCGCGATGAGTTCTAATAATACACGTCAGTATCGCCGTCGGGGATTGGTGGATGAGATCAAACTCGCCACGTAGAGAGTATGGGTACGTGAGCGATCCCTCGTCATAACTCTTTCTCAGGTCCTGGAAGGCGCCAACGAGCCTGCGCAATGTATCATCGGTGAGCTCGGGTGCAAGCTGTGCCAGTAACTTCAGCTCGCTCTCGAGATCGGGGTTAGCGACTGAGTGTCTGACATGCGCGTCAATACTCCGTTGAAGGCAAGCAGAGGACAGCAAGAACGTACAAGCTGAAGTTATCCCCAAGGACTTGAAGGAAGTGATTGCCCAAGAAAGGGTATCCGGGACGGTTTGCCAGAAGGATGAGCCTGAAGTCGTCGTGGACCTCGATGTCACCCGGTCGGCCGATTCCCTCGTTCTTCCTGCGTACCCTCCTTCCATCCGGCAAGCTCAGTTCTCCAGACCCCGCCAAGCTCTTGAACACCGCAACGACGTGCTCTGGCGCCTTATCTGCCTCGTCGACGACGACGACGCGACCCAACTTCACCGCGCGGAGGAGCGGGCTGTCTTCGTGCTTGATGACACCGCCAGTGAGGGTTGTGTTGAATAAGAGCGATTGTACTGTCGTATCGCGGTGAAGTTGAACGTATTCGCGAGGTCGGCGAAGAAGCTGGCAGAGCCGGTCGATGAGCTTGTTCTTGCCGACGCCTTGATTTCCGAGTAACACCATATGTTCGTTCAGGACGCACAAGTCGACGCCGAGATCGCGCATGAGAGACGTCTGAAGGGAGTTGTCGAAGAAGTGCGTCATGTGAGGTACAAATGATGATGCGCCTTCCGGGTCAGACGCTGTGGTGTAGTATGGCAAGGTCAAAGGTGACAGATCTCCTGAAGCGCTCGAAGGTGCAGGGAAGACAAGTCCGATGTCGGTCAGGACAGGTGCGGGATGGCGCGTCGGAGAGCTGGGTGTGATGCCACACTCAGCCAGCATATCCTCGAGCGCCATTCTTTCTGTCGCTGGTAGGAACTCCTTCAACAGAGCACGCCCGATGAGCGCGTACATCTCCCGCACTCCCTCCTCTTCGCCCACTATGCTGACTCGACGAGCGATGCGCACCAGCGCGCGGGTACCCAGTTTCCGCTTCCTCAATCCAGCAGCGTCTCCGTCTGCGCTCAAGCTTGAGCGGTACCGCACGGCGAACGCCAGAAGCTTCTCGAGTACAGCTGGGGGACAAGTGGGAGCAGCAACTTGGAGAGCTGTGATCTCTTCTGCGCGGGACATCGGCACGAGCGGGATGGGGAAGAACGCGTTGGCGTGCTCCTCGGTCAGCCAGTCACGCAGTGGGAGCGACCCAGATGCGCTTGCGACCATCCTGAAAGACGGATGCGCGGTGGAAAGGCCGTCATCCTGGGTAGTTGACTTTTCATTATCCGCACTTGCAACGATTCGGCGGCCTTCCCACAACTCGATTTCGCGATCCTGCGCCAAGCGCGCCAAAACACCGGCAGTCGGCCCAAGAACGTCTATGCCCTCAAGACAAACGAGATCTCCATTCCATGCGCCCTTCACAAGACGGCTCGCTTCCCAGGTAGTCGCACCTCCGGCGCCTACGATACGGCGCATGAGCAGCTCACGCCCTCCCAGCTCCTTGTACAGGTGCATTGACTCGGTGGCGCCGTATCCGAGAATAGAAGCTAGCACTCGTTGGAGTGTAGATGCACTTGAAGAAGCCGTGCCCGGTGTCGGTGAAGGGAGAAGAGTGAAGTCGCTGGCTAGCACATGCGACTGTACAAGGGCGCTGAGCAACCCCAAGAAGCGAGGCGATGGGATGAAGGATGCCGTAGGAGGAGGCGGGTATTGTGCCAGCGCATATGGTCCAGCGGGAATCTCGTGCTCGACGGCATGCCCATTCCCGTTGAACGCGAAGGTGACGCGGACGCGGCGTTCTGCGATCCTCTTTATGCCGGTCACGACATAACCGCAGAACCCGATGTCGATCGCATGCGCGTCGTCTTCGCTAGAGATTGGACTACCCAGAGGTCCGAGTCCTGTCACCTCCAATCGTTCGCTCAAGAGCGCCCATGCCGCGAGCGGCGCGACGAGTAAACGCGGATGAAGGGCGAGTATTACTCGCGCGAGTTGCGTAGGGTTGAGTCTTTGCAAAGGTGGAAATGCGCGGACCAAGGATGAGAGCCGAGCAAGTGCTGTTTGAGGAAAGGGTGGGAGGGAGTTTGGCGCAAGAACATCGAGGGCGGATGGTTGGGAAGCGTATTGAGTCGTCAAAATGAGCTCGCGCAGGGTAGCTTCGAGGTGACCGGCGGGGTCGTCTTGAGTATTCGAAGTGGCCGTAGGCGCGAGAGCGAGTAGTGCTCGTGCAGGATCGACGAAGCGAGCTTGGAATCGAGAACGAAAGGGAGGATCCAAGGGATAGCCAACATTCGGCGGGACGGGAGCAGCCATAGCGATGACACGGAAGCGGTCGTGTGCCGGTATGAACATTGTCTCGCGTTTCGCAACATCCGGTGCGAGAAGTGCATGTCGATGGGGATGCAAAATATGCGTACCGTCCTCCAGATTCATCTCGCGATTCTCCAGAAGGTTATTGAGCAGCGGCAATATTCCGCGCTCTGCACGTTCAACGCCTTCCAGAATGAGTATGCGTCCATGCTTGACCGCACGCACAGCACCCGAGTCGACGTATTCGAGAACGCCGCCGGGACGTATCTCGCGTCCTTGCTTCAACTCGGTCTCGCCGATATCGCGATGTAAGGCGACGTGTTCGTACTCTGCGTTGATCATGCTTACATGTCTAGGTCAGCGCTAGTTACTACACGCGTGTGAGCCACACTCACGAGCAAAAGGTCATGACAAGCTTGCGTGCGTACGGGCCAGGCTGACCCAATAGAAAGATATCCTGCCCAAGTAGAAACTTTTGCAGCATCCAGTGCAAGTCATCGCGAACCCCAGCATCGTTGATGTCCAGCGGTTGTAATTGAGGTAGTCGTGAAGGTGTGGTGGATGCTGGAAGATCGACCGTGATGTCCCCGAGTGTCAGCGATCCTATGCTAGTCGGTGCGGGAGCGAGCTCGCTCTGAATACGTGCGAGCCGGCGAGAAGCCATGGTTCGTGCTGAGCTCTTTCCGGTATAAGCACGGTGCCTGAGAACGAACGGCTGACACGCACAGAATAATGAGAGGACGTTTGTAAGCTTCACTTTGTAGATAACGCTACAGTTTCGTAGCACACAGACGCGTCTGGCTGCATAGGCTGTTCGACGACGGTGGAAAGCAAGCTGTGGCACCCCCGCGTTGAAGAGCGGTCCGAGCGCGCTCAATGACCGGAGTTGCTCATCGTTATCACGCGCTAAAACGCGCGAAGCATCATCTCCCGCCGCCACAACTCTTCGACTTCCACGTCCAGCATGTGACGGTTGACTTGGTAGCCTGGATGTGGGAAGAGGATATAGATATACCTCGACTCGTTGTGGAGGCCGAAACGACGAGACATGACGGCAAGCGAAAGAAGAGCGCGACAAGCGGCCGCGATCATCTGCTGTATAGAATTGCCCGTGAGAACGCACTGATGCGATATGTGCCTTGGCAGCCCTGGCGCGCGCAAAGCGTGGCAGAGCCCGCGACGAGCTCCACGCGATGGACGCTCTGCCCATCGTCTACCACATTGAGACCGCCCAACAATTTTGGTCTGGTGAGTACATTCTTCTATCATATTGGCGTAGTCCTTATCTGGCCTGCTAGAACTTGACGATATCCTTCGACTTCTACCCAATGCAACCCTTTCCGCCCTCGATTCCGCGCTAAAGCGCTTCATTAACTTGTGTTCGGCATACCACGGTGCGTCAGTCAAGATATATACTGTATGCTCGTTGCCAAACTGCATTGCTGATTGTACGCGCAGAACAGTACTTGCAAAGCCCGTTGCAACTCGAGCACGCTATAGGCCTGCTGCTCGACTCGGAACTCTTCGAATTTCATTCAGAACGCATGTGCGAAATCATCACGGACGAGGCCAGGACAGTGAGTGTGCTACCTGCTAGTCTCAGAGTTGCGAACTGGGTGCCCCTCCACTTCGTTGTGGTGGCTGCCGGCTACCGACGATCCCGGCCGTAATGTTTCCATCAATATGCAGGACGGCTATCTCGCTTGCCACCCCACATAGACATTGACGCTCAGCGGACACTGCCCTCCCTGCACTGCTGTGCGAAGGTCGCTTACCGCGTGTCCGTGTAGCTCACGCGCGCTCCACTTCGTCTACTATGTGAATCATCCGGCTACATATCCGTCTCATGTGCCCACCGGACCGGCGCCTAGCTGCAGTGTTTTACAGCATAGATCTGTCTCCGGCCTTGCTTGTCCTGGATTGACGCTGATGTCACGCTTCATTCTTCACAGACAACAGATCCTCACCTACAGCTCATCTTGTACAACGTACTACTGCTCTATGGACGACGCACGACCACCTTCTTCCGCCATTATAAGCGATGGGCACCCATCTTCCCAATGCTTATGGACCATGTTCTCGACCTATCCCTCGCCCTTACCCTCAGTGACGCGGATGGCGCAGGGCCGGACCCCGCCACATCATCTGACCACGGCTGGCTCGCAGTACCAATCGAGGAGAAACTACGATCCCTCAGCATACAGCTGTTGTACGAGGCTTGCAGAACGTGCAAACTCTCAATGCAGGAGTTACGGGTCTTCGACAATGCTTTCATCGAGCGATTATTCGATCTCGTGGAGCAAACGCGCGCTGCTCAGGACGAGAGCTTCAACTATAGCGTCATCAAACTTATTGTGGCGTTGAATGAACAGTTCATGCTGGCGGCGTTGCGGGGACAGGGTGCTGAGAGCGAAAAGGCGCGCTCTGAAGCGATGCCTAAGGGCGATGGAGAGAACCGCGTTTTCAACGTACTCAAGAGGCGGCTGCACATAAGCCAAACCTTCGCCGAGAACCTGATCTTTATGCTCAATCGCGCCGGTATGTGCTCTTCCGCCGTTTGTGTAGCCTATACATGCGCCTAATCATACCCAACGAACCCAGGGCGAAGTCCAGAAGATCTTGTAATGCAACTACTCGTGCTCAAGCTCTTGTATCTGCTCTTCCAGACGGAGACAACCTGCGAGTACTTCTATACGAATGATCTTCGAGTCTTGGTCGATGTCTTTCTACGCGAATTGTCGGATCTCGATGATGAATCAGAATCAGTCAGTGTCCTAGTCCTGCATGATATAATTGTCACTGATCACTGTGTCTCGCTTCAGTTACGACACACGTATCTGCGCGTATTGCATCCCCTCCTTACTCGAACTCAGCTTCGAGATGTCCCATATAAACGTCCTCAATTGGTCCGTATGCTGGAGGGTCTGGTCGACAAACCTGAGATTCGCGAGGTCTCTGCCACAACGGCGCGCCTTGTTTCGCGATGCTTGTCTGGCGCGTGGTGTGTTCAACTACGACGACCACAAAACGTGGCTGCGTCCAACTCGGACAGCTTGTTGAACGCTCCCGGAGACGCAACACCCAGGGCTGGGACACCAGGTGGCGTTGCCGAAGAGCATCTCAGCCCCATGACCCCCGCTCCTCGACCGGCCACTACCCTAGATCGCAAGAGGAGTTTGAAGGGCAGTCGCTCCGCGGAGAACTTGCGTGCGACTTCGGGTCCCGCGGCTGTGATGTCCACGGCAGGCGCCTCCAGCTCCCACAATGATTTATCAAGTCTTCCCGTGAGCCCTGTGGCAGATAAGCGACCATACCGAGGGAATTCGTCGGCCAGCAGAGCTGATCCAAGCTCTCACCGGCCACATCGAAGCGACGACATGGTGCAACCCGCTCGCGCCAACTCGCTTGGTACTGGTGTCGACGGTCTCATTAGTCCCCACAGTTACGTATCCGGTGGACCTCTCCCCAGCATCGTTGAGCCGCGCTCGCTCACTCATTCGCCCTCCCCATTATCACAATACGCCGACCCTCCACTATCGCCTCCGTTATCACCGCCATTGCGACCCACCGGGTACCAACGCACATCCGTCTCGTCTGCAAGCCCATCACTGCCACCTCTTTCACCTACCGCATCCGCACACAGTGTAGACTCACGCCGAAGCTCAGTCAGCTCGACCGCGTCTGGGACGGGCAAAGTACGACGCACTGCGCCGCCTCCACCCGTAAAACGGCGAACTCCACCGCCACCCGGTACGCGCTCCCCCTTGACACGCGACGTCGACGCGGCGCCCATACGAGATCGAAACCAGGACGGGGAGGCGGTACGGGGCCCGGGCATGCGTCGCAAGCCTCCTGCTGTGCCGGCGCACGGGCACGGTCATGTCGGCCACTCGAGTTCAGGAGTGCGGATTGAGACCATCCGCGCTAGCGCTAGCTCGACGTCTGGCAGAGGGTAGCGACCTGACAAGGAGGACGGATGTTCGAGACGGTCGCATCACTATATATTAGTCTTTTCTCACGGAATTCCTACATCATTCGAGCATTTTTCCAGCCCACTGCATCTGTATATATTGTATTATCAGTCCTCACTCTATCTGTCACCAATTCGATTGATCTGAACGGCTCGTATGCAGCCAAAGATATTCTTATGGGTCCCTATCTACGATTGCCACCGTCATGATGCCGATGGGGGCTTTCAGCACCATTTGTTCCCGAATCGATGACATCATCAGCACCATGCATCCAGTTCGTGGTGCCCACTCCGCCGCGCACCCGCTTAACTACTTTCTTATCCTGAACCACCATCTTTCATACAACTACAATCAGCTCTAGCCTACTTCAACGATGGCAGAGACACTACTCAACGCCGCTGGCAAACGCATGTTTTCGAAACATATGGAGTCGTATCGTGCTACGGACCCCTTGTACGAGGAGTACACCGACGCGAAGGGTCGTGTGAAGAGGCGCAAGGTGCGTAGCGCGTTGTAACGGGGATACTTGTTTCGTTCACTCACTATATATTTTGCAGCGCGACCTGCCGACTGGATTGTCCGACGCGGATCTCAAGATTCTGCGTTCAGTCAATCGTCGTGCACACTACCTCGACAAGGGGTTCAGGATTTGCGGGGTGCGGTTTGGCTGGACTTTCATCATCGGTGAGTGCCCTTCTGGGTGCTGTCTTATCTTGAGCTGACGCTAATCATTTGGCAAGGTTTGATTCCGGGCGCGGGTGATGCCGCTGACGCCGTGCTCGGATATACTCTTGTGATCCGCAAAGCGAAGAAAGCCGAGTGGGTTTATTTCACGACTTGTATTCGCGGCGCTGGCTGATTCTGCGTTATAGTCTACCCGGATGGTTGATTCAGCGTATGCTGTTAAACCTCGCTATCGGTACTGGCGTCGGCTTTGTGCCTATCGTTGGTGACGTCGTTTTGGCGATGTGGAGAGCCAACTCCCGCAACGCCGCTCTTCTCGAGGAATTCCTTCGTCAACGCGCTGCCGGGAACACTGACGACAAAGGGAAGACCATCAAGGGAAAGAAGAAAGCAGGTAACCCCGCCCCGGAAAACGGCCGGCCCGCGCCCACTCAGCCCAGCGAGGAGGAAGTTCCTAGCGGACATGCCACCGGCGCGAAGGCCACAGCTCGTCCGGGCGCATCGAGGAATGCTTCAGAGTCCGGCCCCGCGAGGAGCTCCAGCGGGAGCAGCAGGCGATGGACCCCGTGGCGCCGGACACCGAGCAAGGAGAAGGAAGTGGCCGCAACCACCCAAAGGCGGGACAGTAGGTTCGTCGAGGACCTGGATCAATCTCCTCCAAAGACGCCTCGCAGTTAGATAGCTGAACGTTGCATGTAGGAAGGTCTAGGGTATCTGAACGCCCTCCATAACATCTTGGTCTACGTTGACCAGCATCGCTTGTACTAAACACGGACATGACTACGCTCGGAATGGGCTTTTCTTCTTTTCTTACGATACCTGTTGTCTGTATGCTTGCCTTCACGGACTGGCGCTTGTAGCCGTACACTAATTCTACGATACCACGACTGTATGCCGGAATACTCATATCTCAATTTCAACCTGCCGAAAGCGAGCGGTACTCCCGTGTACTGCTCCTGCCTATTGTCATCCCATCAACAAGACAGACACAGTCTCCGAAATTCACACAAGCGCATGCGTGTATGTGAACGGTGAACATCAGCTTGAGAGCAACCTACGTTGCGAAGCCCATTACCTTGTGCTCAGAACAGCCAATGACTTCATACTTGTGCAGCTTGTGGCACGCGGTCCGACTGCGACAGCAGACTTGCACGCGGAGTTGATCAGCGCAAGAAAAATCTCGAACGTCGAGGCCTTGATCACGGTACTGCGAATGAGAGCATCAGCTATGACCACTGGCCAAGAGAGGCGGCTCCGGCGTCGCTGTGATTATGCATGCAACTTGAAGCTTTTCCGTACTGAGCACGTGCGAGTAGACTTAGCGACCCTGGCCGTGGACAATGATTGCATCCCACCGTACAATGCGCAGGTTAATCTTCGCGAGGCTTGCGGTGGTTCGAAGACGGCTGTGTGAAAACATACCTTTCTGGAAGGGACCACGCCAACTGCGCTCGTGTCTGTTGAAGAAGCTGGGGGACTTATGCGTCTCGAGATAGATAAAGTAGGTGTCTTTGTCAACAGTCCGACATTTCAATATGATACGGATCGCGGACCGATGCGCTGGTTGAAATCTCGGGCCTTGGGAAAGGGAAGGGTATGTCCAATCACAACAGGCCGTACACCGCGGAGGTGGGCCTCATCCTATCAAGAGACTTGTCGTGCAACGTCTACATCGTATCGCAGTACACTACAGATTCCCACTGCGATCGAATGGCGACAGAGTACACTCCGAGGACGGGCCGCAAGACCGTTTACGCAGACAGTATGCGGGAGGTGCAGTTGTACCGTCCTTGACCCTGCAAGGAAAACTGAGCCGGTAAAGCCAGAGTTGTGGCGAGAGTCGCGGTGTCTGGGCAGATCCTACGCTACGGCAAGTGAAGAAGAACCTGCGACAGTCGAATCAGCACGTCTCTATACGAGTACATATCCTTAAAACCGACCTATAATCACGAGCCACCTCCAACCACGACCTCCATTTCGTTGATGCTGCTACCGTCGGCTCTCGAAGAGAACGCATCTGCGCCAGATGCCAAGGAGTCGATGAGCATGCCAAGTCGCGAGGGTTTCATGTTCGGTTCCTTGTAGAGAACGATTAGAGTGAGTATGAACGAGAGAACCTGTGGCTCTACCTTGCGTATTTGTTCGAGGTCATCGCGAAAACCATCAGCGATGGACGCCATCCAGAACTTGCGAAATCGTTCCTTAAGCTCTTGTTCGGTCTTTCCTGAATCTGTGGTACCACCTGAGGATAGCAACGGCCTTATGGGGGCTGGAGGTGGTGACGGGGAGGGAGTGCGTCTTCGAGTCCTTCTTGTAGATAGATTGGCTGTGCTTGACTCAATGCCCATCTCGACGTCTTCGCCGACATCAACATCTCGGCTTTCACCCTCGCTTTCGGATGAGGAAGAATCGCCTTCGGACGAGGATGAGGACGAGGATGACGATGACTGCGGCTCAGGGAGTCGGACCTTGGGCGCGGCCGTGGGTTTCGCGACCTTGAGCACAGCAGGCTGAGTACTTTCATCGGAAGAAGAGTCCGAGTCAGACGAAGAGGAAGACGATTCTGATGCAACACGCCGTTTGCGCTTCCTATTCCGCTTTCGTGGTGCAGGAGCTTTCGCGGATGCAGGAGGCTTGTCGGCTGCCATGATGGTTGGGGTCAGACCGCCGAGAGCATCAAACCGAAAACCTCGCTGATCGGGCCGACCTTCCGTAACCCTAACCTGACGCGTTCCGACCCGCTTCCGAGCGTTTCGAGCGTTCGAAACCTTGTCTTCCAGCACTGACGACGGCCAAGGCTCTAAACTTTGCCTGAAGCTACGTCAGAACAAGGGCTTCACGCAATCGATCAACTCATCAACACTCGCAATTGCCTCACGTGGCGCCTATACGAGTGGCCTAGCACTATGCTGTCCACACATCGCCGAGAGCGCTTTGACAGATGACCGAATCTCCTGCGCATGCTGCAACTGGTGCGTGACTACGTCTGGCCGGTCACTTACCGGTATCTAACGGCGATATGATGCCCAGACCTCCGTGAAGATCATCTATCCGGTCAATTCCCATGAAGGCAGATTATCCCGGTCTGCGCGCGTTCGGGCTGTGACGACATGGACCCCGGCTTCCTGACAATGAGCTCGGCCTGCTGGCCTCGAGTGAGAGCTCCTCTAACTTTGCACCTCTGATGCTGGGATCGACGCTCAAGTGTCGATCCCACAGTTAGACTCGCCACTGCATGCGCGATTATGCTGGATCACCGAGTTGAGGGAGACATGAATCGGGCTGCTTTTCTGCACCGTGTAACGTATGATGTTACATGCGTTGTTTGGGTTTCGGAGTCTACTGCTTCCTACATGTCAGGAATACAAATGTGGCCGACCTATGAAGATACAATGTCGTATTCTATGGTTTATACGGCTCTGCTTCCTTGCATAAGCCATGCAGCTAGCCCTGCGCGTTCTGCGCCATCACGAGCGGAACGCCACGACGCTGCGAGAAGTCTTCGACGGAATCAACATGACCTTCAATTGATGCTCCTTTCTGGCCACAGGATCGGCGGTGCACGTACTCGGCCATCAAAGATGCAATAGACTTGAGGCTTGTTTTGTCTGTAGACCGTCATGGGTACGCGTCAAGCACTCTGTTTGGCCGTACCTGGGTCTCGCCCGGTAAGTGGAGCTCGTCGCCCTCCCTACCGTGGAGCTGATACTCTGCGAGATCCTTATAGGAACGGCCAAGGGCTACGAACCCTACGATGAGCTTGTATTGCCCCCAGTACCGACGGACTGTAACCCCATAGCCAGCGTTGACCAGACACCGGCAGTATGGGCCGTCATCCGTCCGCAGGGTGCGTACCCACGCTTCATGTTCACATAGACCTCGGTGTGCTCACTCAAGCCACACGCCGAAGCAGCAGCAACCAGTGTCTGCATCGGCATCAGCGTGTGCTCAGCTATGCAAGAGGTCAAGTCGACATGGCCGAGTCGCAAGATGGACACATGTAACATACCTTGTATAAAGACCCTGGCTGATTGCGTTGACTCCTCCATCCTTGGATCTGCCCTTCCGGTGGCTGCAGTAGCGCAACTCTATCGACTACGCCTTTCATATCTCACGTACTCTTCTACGTCATCTCATCATGTCGACTTCCGCCATCATCCTCGTCTCCTGCATCGGCCTTACTCTGGTTGTTCACCTCCTCTCCGAGTACGGGCTGAAGTGCGTTGGCCTTGCGCCTCACAAAGTCAAGCTTCCCGGTCCTCGGACGGTGCCATTCTTCGGTAACTTCTTAGAGGTACGTTAGCCGTCAATGGCGTTCAACAATGTACTCATCGGAGTTCTGCTGTAGCTTCGCAATGGACATGCGCGTACTTTCGTCAAGTGGGCACAAAAGTACGGTCCGATTATGAGGATCGTGGTTGGAGACCGCGAGGCTGTAAGTTTACTTCACTGCGATGATATGAGATCGTCTCTGACACACAGTGTCAGGTAATCCTGAACACATATGGCGCAGTCCAGAAGACTTTGATTTCGCAAGGTCAAGCTTTTCAAGGTCGCCCTGAGTTCCGCATGTACCATGGTCTTTTCGCGATGGCCGCGGACCACGACGCGCCTCCTACTCTGGGCAGTATGTACTGTTGTTTGGCAGAGTCGCGTGTATAGAACTCACGAGTGCACAGCGTCGCCTTGGACGGACAAGATCTCGACTTATCGCAAGCACCTTGGCCTGCAGACGGCCGGACACAAACTCAACCGGTATGTATCTCGCATACGCTTGATCTGGCCCTCTCAGCTTATATCGCACTCAGCTACAACCATTTCGTTGCCCGTCGTCTTTTCCGTTTCGTCAACCTTCTTGCGTCAGACTCTCGCAAGGGCCCTCGGGATCTGGGATTCCACCTCTGGACGTCTACCATTGGGCTCAGTGCAGACATGTGCTTTGGTACTCGGATTGGCGAGGAGGAGGCCCGTATGATATCCTACGCCGAGATCGACATCTTCCGCGAGCCGCGCACGCTCGGTCAACCGCTGCACATCGCCGTCCCGATTCTCGACATGGCGCAGAAGGCGCTCCGTCCCATACAGGGCCCGCTTCGCACACTGGGTCTCAGCGGCTTCCTCGACAGCGTCGACGCGAGCGAGAGCGCCGCGAAGAAGCTGCGCATGACGGAGATTGGCTACGTCGGACGTCTGAAGGAGGAGACCAAGGCGCGTGTGAAGGCGGGCGACACAACACCCAGCCAGCTCGGCGACATCATACGCAGTTTTGGCGACTCATACACCCCTCACGACGAGTACAAAGTCGCCACGTCGCTTGTGGGCTCCGGCATGGGCACCGGCACTCTCATCCTGTGGCTTGCCGCCATGCTCGCTTCGCGTCCGGACATCCAGGCCAAGGCTCAGGCTGCTATCGACGCGGAATACGGCAGCGAGACGCCTGACCCTCTTGACACGGATCGCGTCGAATATATCCAAGCGCTTGGCCTCGAGGCTGGTCGGTACTTTGCCTCGACGCGCCTCGGCTTTCCTCGGGAAACGACGGAGGATGTCATCGTCGATGGAGTCCTAATCCCCGCCGGCACCATCGTCATGCACAACACCTTTTCCGTGAACCGCGACCCTGCACGTTACGATCACGTTGACAAGTTCATTCCCGAGCGCTGGATTGATGGCCATTACGGCCGTGTTGACCAGAAGGGCCCTCGCGTAGGCGTCCCGCATCTGACAAACGGAGCGGGCAGGAGATACTGTTTGGGTGTTCCCTGTGAGGACTGCCTTTTGCTATCAGCAGGGGCGAATGCTGACCCACCATTAGACGTGAACAAGATGCTGTACGGCACAATCATCTTGCTCTTGCACTTCTTCAACATGGAGCGCGCTGCGCTGGATGAGGAAGGACGCAACGAGGTCTTCCCCGCTTACAGGGCCTCTGCGGAAGCCTCCAACGAGCTTCACCCCATCACCGACCAGATTTCAGAGTGCGCCGCGCAGGCACTGCCCAAGGCCGCCGGTATCCGCCTCACTCCGCGCGATCCCGAGGCTCTCGCACGCTGGCTGGCAGATGGTCACCAACTCATGGACCAATTTGAGCGCCCTGATGCGTCAGTCGGCGAGGCATTCTGAACGCATCGAGATTGATAGACGGATGGATGGACCCTCCTGGATCTCACTATTTTATCGGCTCTTGTACTCGATTCGCGATACCCTCATCTGCACTGTACACTCAGCACTCCACAACCTAGACGTCTCTCAGCTTCCTCGCATCTGTGTATTTATGATCCCACTCCTAGACCGGAATCCAAGCAATGTACAAATCTCCATTCATTCAAGTGTGATCGCACCAGATACGCCAGCGTATCACCATGACGAGTGCTCAAATCGCGAGTGCATCCTCGTCTGTATGTCCAGGTAATGAGGCTCGTTATCCGGCGTGATTTTACCAAGACGTATGAGGAAGTCGATCAGGACTAGTGCACAATTGGGTTTGAACTCGCCCGCATGAAGCAGCTCGAAAACGTCGTCCAAAGGCAGGAGCTGCCGGGGGTTCAGTGCGAGACTAAGAGCTAGCCGACACAACGTAACACACCTTGAATGTCTCTACTTCATTGTCCCCCGGGCTTAACTTCAAACTCTCTGAACTAGGCACGCGCATGTCGTAAACGTACTCAACCTCGGGCTGTAGCCACCCGGCCGAGGTTTGGAAGAAGTAGGAGATCACGCCAACTGCCTTCGCATATTTCTCGAAGGTAGCTTCGGGGATTGAGCCTTCTTCCATCGCTTCCTTGGCCATCGACCACCCAGGTGAGCTGCGTGCTGGTATGCCACCTGCAATCGAGTTGTCCAACAGCCCGGGCCAGCTACATACACATGAGTACTCGATGGATGTATACTGAGAAGGCTGACAAACGTTTGTTTCGTCGCAGATCGTCTTGGGACCCAGACGCGGATGGCACCGTCGTCGTCTTGTTCATAAACCGTCATATGCACGCCGTACGTAACAACGCCAAAGAGTGCGCAGGATGCACGTTCCATTGAAAAGACATAGTTCGAGTTCGTATCGAGATCATCTTCTGAGAGAGGGTCTCCTCCAGCGAGAGAGATAGGACCGAAAGGGTCCGCATATATCGCGTACCACTCTCCGCGCCACAATCGCGGGGAGATGACGCCTGGGAAACGGCCGGAGTCGCGCCACCAGGTCGTGGTATCATTCATCGCTCTTGTACGCGCAGAAGGCGTTGTAAGCGTCGAAGTGAAGAATACACGATGATTCTGTAGTTCGACCACCCAGTGTTCGGGCAATGATTGAGATCGCTGGTGTGCATTGTGTTCGAGTAGCGCGTCGACGACTGGCGGGTGTAGTAGACCCAATGTGTTACCGTCTGACGTGAGGCAGAAGGACAGAGGTCTAGGTAGAGCGGCAGACCCTGGAGCCGGGACGCGATAGTTGTCACACTTCTTGACCAGATCTAGGAAGGATAACGGTAGAGACTCGTTGGAAGACATGGCGTATCTGGGAGCGGCAAGGGTGCGCATTCGTCACGTCCAGAACTTTCATTGTCGCATTTACTCACATACCGCTAAGCAAGCGTGCCGCACAGCTGGGACCTGTGTATGGACGATGTATAAATGCGTTGATCAACGTTCCGAACCAAGATGGACGCGCGCATCAAGCGCGCATGCCCCACAAGGATGATGGGCGCGGCTCACCGGTCCGACGACGCGCGGGCCATTTCTCAGCTTTTTCCGCTGCTCCCCGTTTTCCTTGATTCTTCCACGATCAAAACGCCAGCGATGAGCATGAAGTGCAGGGCGACGAGCTCGACCCCCTCTCGGTGGGACGAGCGATGTCCTCACCCATCCGGCACACTCTACCTTGTTACTAAAAGGGATGGGTCAAATACCTCTGAGGCGTCCCTTGCTATGGAAGATGTCGCGTATCACGTCCCCACCTCTCCCTCGTCTGGCGCGCCACCAATCAACCTCTTGTCCCTCGAACATCCTATCACATACCCATCTCGTCCGTCCTTTGACTATCTGCGCATCAGGCTCGGTGTAGACACAATGAATCGCATCAGGCGCATCCCACATACCAATCGAACTAATGACTTAGTACCATAACCAATACACCGCTTTCGGTCTCGTAGGAAACTTGTTATATTACAATACAATTTACAGGTGCCCATCGAGGCGTCTAATGCAAAGCAGGTCTACAATCAATTTATACTTCGTCGCGAGTCGTGAATCGTGATCACCACCAAAGCCTGTGGGTGGGGCACTGGTAGCCGTAGGGGTTCTTGAAAAGGTACTCTGCAACAATCGTGAGGACAGGTGCTAGACGAGCGTAGCGATCCACATACCCTGGTGATAGTCCTCGGCGTTGTACCACGGTCCCGCCTTGGCGATCTCAGTGGCGATCTTCTTGCCGCGAGCGTCGACATGTTTCTCCTGAACCTCAGCCGTCACGCGCTCGGCGATCTCCTTCTGTTCTGGCGAGTGGTAGAAGATCGCAGAACGGTACTCTATATGGAGGGGTGAAATGAGACTATGATCTGCTGGAGAAATGGAAGAACGTACGAGTGCCAGTGTCCGCGCCCTGCTGGTTGACCTGCGTGGGATCGTGTGTGCGGTAGAAGAACTCTGCGTGCAACGTCAGGACCGTGTTTTGAATACAGAATAAGGCCACGCACCAACGAGCTCGGCGTACGAGACCTTCTCAGGATCGAACTCAATGCGGAGGGCCTCTGCGTGGTCGGTGTCTCCTTGGCAGACCTGGCGGTAGTTCGGGTTGGCAATATCGTCCTTGCCGCCCGTGTAGCCAACGGTAGTCTTCAGGATGCCTTTGTCATCTTTAATGGGGTAGTGCTTGAGGAAGATATGCTCGGTTCCCCAGAAGCATCCGGAGGCGAAGGTGGCGATTTCGACGGACATTTGGTGCGAGAGGTTGGAGATGCCTTGGGAATTCTGAGGGACGTAGGTATGTCCGAGGTTGATAGGGAGCAGGGAGCGCAAGCGTGCGAGAAAGGACATTACCAGGAGGTAGATGTAGGTGTAGGGAAGAGTTGCGCGATGGTGGCGAGAGAACGAGAAGTACTTGCGGTGTCTGACGATAGCTCGTCATGCGCCGCGTCTATTTATCCCCGCTCGATGTCAGCAGTCTCATCGACGTGGGCTGTTCGCACAGAGACCAATCCAACTGAGGCGGTGTTGACGCGCGCGGGTAGGAAGGGGACCATCATGTTCATGTTCGTTGTTGATCACCATTGCTTCACTACTTGAGACACAGCCCCCTGACCGTGAGGAAAGCCGATTGGTGGATAAACTTGGGAGAGCTGACAGAGGATGCCGCGCGCTGCGATCCATGACGGGTATTGGACGGGCACACGACAACAACGAAGCCTACATGGGATGCAACAGATGGGTGGCTGTAAGCGCAAAGAGACCAACTTGTTCAACAATCAAGACCCCCTGGGCCTGGGAGAATACATGATAGATATTATACGGAAGATCATTCGACTGAGCACGCCTTCTACAGTCCAGCGCCCGCCTTCACCTGGGCACGGCGGGCTGATAAATCATAGTCCAGATACGAAGTATCCTTCCTGAACAGCCCCCCTTCGGCGCCCGCTTCATCATCCCAGAGCCCACCCAACCAATCCTTCGCGAACATCTGGGTAATTTGCCGACTCCTCATCTCGATATCGAACCATGTCTTCATCCCAAAGAACTTCGGGAGTAAGGCCCACAGCTCCTGTTGGCCGCGCTTCATCTCATACTTGAACTTCGCTAAGCAGGACGGACAGAGGGCTTTGATTAACTCGTCGCGACGTCTACCTTGACCCGTTGCTCGTAGGGGGAGGACGCGTAGCGCATGACGAGGTTTCGGTAGTGTGAAGTCCTTGGTGAAGCGGACGGTGTCTGATTCCCACAGCTCGGTCATGAGCGCTTTGAGAGCGGTAGCGCACGAGATGGTACCGAACTGTGGGATTATCATCTTCCCCAACGATGTACAACCTTCGCTGAACTTGTAGTCACGGGCAACGCCATCGGCAGTGAGCCCAACCGACATATTGCCTAGGTCGTCCGGGAAGGAGGGGATCTTCTGTAAGAAACCGAAGAGAACGTCGCGCCTTGCGGACTGCATGTGCGCGCGACCTCGAAGGATACGTGCAAGTATATCACGCAGATCAAACTCGGGATCCAAGACGATCTTCGGTGCGCGGTGCTCCTCTGCCGCCTTCACCCTTTCCTGGCGGTTTTCGGCGATAGAGCCCTTAAAGTACTCCGCCTGCCATGGCTGCAGATCCAGCACGCGCGCGTGTTTCGGAATCCGGCGAGTATCTTCAACCTGAGTGATGTTAAGGCCGCCGACAGAGACAGTTGAATTGAAACTGACGAGCTCCCAGTCGTGGTTGCGAGTTGGATCGAAGATGCCTTCGATGAGGTAGCGATGGTCATAGTTGGAGAGCGTGTACATCGCGACGAGTAGAAGTTGCGGGATACAGTAGCGTACGCAGAGATGCAAGGTGTCGATGGCGTAGGTGGCCGGCAAAAGGCGTACAGCGTTATTGCGCGCGTAACGGCGATGTTGATGTAATGTCGTGGGAAAGAGCATCGTGAGGCCTGAGATGGCACAGTCACGCAGACGCAAAGACCGATAATATGCGCTGAGATGGAGCATGCGCTCAAGGTCCTCGAAGAAGATCGGGCCACGGTTAAAGAATGTGCGTCTATACTTTAGTCAGCAATTGGAACGGAAGATCTGTGTAGAAACTCTCGTACGGGGAATAGATCATCTGGCAAGCCAGACTGAAATCGCGCGGCGTCGGGCAGTCACACTTGCGCCTCTTGGTATCCTTGTCGTAGTCGTATTCCGCGAGTCCCTTGACGAGCAAGATGGTCTCCTCCTCTGATCCCGGCCGCCAGCCCTTCCCCGTAGCTTCACGTCTAGCCAGCCAGCGGGCGTTCTGACCATATCCAGAGTGTATACATCTCAAGTCGAGCAGAGGGATGTCCTGATTTTCATCTGTGTGGTAGGCGGGCGCTTTGTGCAGATTGTCGAACCTCTCCTTGTAGAAAAGGAGGTGCGGCATGATGATACGCTTGTGAACACGAAAGAGGTGGTTGTCGACATTGACGACGACGTCGCCATCGGGAAGCCACCAGCGCGAATGCCTTGTTGGCAGAGGTTCACCATCCTCATCGGTGGGAAGTATAGGGTAGAAGTTTATGTCGCGTATGGCTAGACCAGGCCGGAATTTGGCAGCCACCTTATTCCACCAAGACAATGCGCGCGGCGGGCTATCCTCCGGCCGCACGATGAAATCGTAGTTTGGATCGAAATGCGACTGGGAGAAAACCGCTTGCTGGGTAGTTGGTCGCTGGTCACTGGGCTTCCACCTTTGCTGCTCGTACAACTCCTGTTCCTCGGGCGTAAGGGCTACACCACAACAGATGTGAGCACGCGTGTCGACATCGCAGTGATGCAGTATCACGTACCAAATGCACTCCCGGGAACGGTGGCGCCTGTGGTCGGGGTCTCGCCAGTCGCCCGGGTGGCGCGCTTCGTAGAAGGACCCTCATTCGCCTCATCAGCCGCCGCGTTGTCCGTCGCCGCACTCTCATCACTGCTCGCGCTCATCACGCTATGAGTACGCTTTGTTCCACGAGTTGGGGAGGAAGGAGGCGGGGTCATCCCGAACGTGTATTTGTACCAGTCGTCCTCTTGTGGATCGCCACTCGGTGTCGGGGCTACCGGGTCAACGGGCGGTGGGTCGTTGGATCCTGAAGGTGAGGACATGGGGGTAGGTGGCGAAAGAGAGAAAAGGCGAGGTATAAGCCCTTGTGGTTTGCCTGGTCGGCCAATGCCGCGCGCCCTGGACCGGAATTTCGCGCTCCGCCTTTTGTTCTGTAGATCAGCGGCTCAACCACGTCAGATTTGTTCTCGATTAAGCACAAAAGCAAAAGTCTCGCGTTTCATTGCGGATGAGCGGCAAGAACAAGAGGTTCACGCCTTAAACGGAAGTATACCGTAAAGGGAAAGGCTCGAACAATTCGCGCATGGATAGACGGAGTGTCCGACGAGCAGCATTCTGGGTCCGTACGCACAGTGGGGTATTGCAAGGGATAGTATTTTTTTTTTCGTCAAAGCCAAGGACACTCGTACGACATCCATGTTGAACGCGTTGGTGGTGGTGGGAGGATAATCGCGCTGCGCGTGTTGCCTCTCGCGGCCCACGCGCGCACAGGCGCGCACGTCCGAGCTTGCTCTTGCCCACCACGATGCCATGATCTTGCAATCTATACGCCTTGGTCTGTGAGCTAGTATGCTGCATCATCATCATGTATATGCCTACTCTATGGAGAAGATGGACTGATAAAGCGCTCTATTCACGACGGCCGCCTTCGGTCCGAATCGGTCGTCGCTCCTGATCAGCTTTCCCACTGCAGACAAAATGTCTTTCCTGTACCGCTATTATGTCCAAAGAGCACTACTCTCGCGTATGATCCTCGTGAGGGCACCCTTTCCAACCAGTCGCCGTCTACAGCAAAATGGTAACATTGTGTCATGACCATTCGTGCTTCACATCGGGCATACAGAAGGTGCGCATGTCGAAGCGCTTACATCAAACTCGAGTCTTACATGTTGAGTGGTTCAGAAATAGGTAATTAGATGACGAGGCATGTGGGGGACGGTCAAACTGGTGGCCATGAGTAGGCAAGGGCGCCGTATGCACGGAATCTGCACCGATGGGTAAGTTTATACCTGGTTGATCCGGCATGCATGATGGGGGGGCTTTCCTTCGCGCTCACACCGAAGGTCCACGGCAGGACTTCTGGAGGTGGCGCTTCATCGAGTCGGGACGATGGAAATCGCGCCTGCAGCGCGGGCACGGTTCTGTGGTGTGCATCTCTGTCGTGCCGGGGCACGACGACTTGAGGTGGCGCTTCACCGAGCCGCGTCGTGAGAAACTTCGGCCGCATCCACTGCAGAGTACTCTGGGCCCATGTCCCGAGTGAGGCTTTGCCTTCAATGCTCTAGGACGGCGACGGTTAAGAGAAACGGGATTGCTCGTTATTGACTCCGAACTGGCCGGAAGGGGCATTGGGAGTGCCGAAGAGGGCAAAGGGTATGCCCAAGGAGGCTCGGGAAGGACTGGATGGGCTGCGGCCTCGAAAGGCTGGCCGGAGGCTTGCAAGGCCTCGCCGAACGGCGTGCCGGCGTTCGGGAGCTGAAAGCCCGGATTAAGGGTCGATAGATGGGCATTATCGGCCATATAGAAAGGTTGGTTTAGATTCTGCAAGGTCTTGGTCAGCGAGCTGTCCGGAGTAGTACGCCCCGTCCAAGCCTGTTATGTGACCTGAGACGAATTCGTCAAAGGGACTCACAACACCGCTGGTCCGGGGAGGACTTACTTCAGTCGGTAAGCTTTGGGGACCTACACCTTGATGTAACTCCGCTACCATGTATCGTGAGCTGGTTGTCGATCGAGATGGAGACTGATGCCCACATATGAACCTCGTCTCCGCCGGCATCATCGACATTTGCGAGGCATCCAATACCTGCGCATGAGGCGACATGAAGTCGGCAGTGCTCTGTCCCTGACTCGAATCGAAGTCGGAACCGAGGGATGATGGAGGTGTGCCGGTGTTCTGTCTTCTGCTCAGTATTGTGTTGACACCTCTACAGCTCCATGGCATGCATACATCCATATCATTGACCGGCATCGCAGATTCATGATCGTCGCTACTGCTTGGAAGAGGGGCGTAGGTTGCCATCCAGTCAAAGCCAGGATCGAACTGGCCGAAGAAATCGCCGAAAGGGAGAGCGTCGCCGTCCATGGAGGGGTTGATGCTTGGAACTCGTTACTTGGCAATTGAGTCCTGTGCGCCCCTCTTATACATGCCAGAGGGGCACGTATAACTCTAGCGGTGCTACCCTACTAGGATCTTGCGGTTCCCAGCGTGCACCATTGGATCCAGAGTGAACCTTGTTAAAAGGTGTGTGAGCTGTCGATCCATGACTGTGCCGCTCGCTGACTCCTCTCCCCTTTTGGTATTTCAGAAAGACCATATCGTCAAATCGCAGTTCCAATAGGGCTGCGCTACAATCGTTTATAGCACACTCGTTTGGAAGACTTGTATGCTATGTCACGCGTTATGCTGCGAAACTGCGGCGTCGCAGTACCCTGTAGATCTTCCATGATTGCATTTCCTTTGTTTGTACCAGCGCAGCTATACCCTTCTAGCTGGAGAGGCCAATCCAATCTTTACATCTTTCCAAAACGCCTCGTCTCGTTGATCATGAGGCCTGAGGTGCAAAGAAAGTTTCATGGCAAGGTCGGCTCCCTTTGAGCATACGCCTCCTCGAAGTTCGTCTTCGAGCGCTTTCTGGCACACCGCCTGGGGCTTAGCTGCACACGACAGAATGGAGGAAACCTCTCACGTTCCCGTAGACGGTGGCGTCACCGATGAGATTGGTCAAAGTGGCTCCCGTTCAATCGGAGGCCCCCAGGAAGGGACGTTGAGTCGACGGCGACCGATGCCCATTTCATAGTCACCAATTAAATTGAGACGTGACGTGTGAAAGCCAGCACAGCCTCAGCTGAGAAGGAAATATACCATTCAGGAAGAGTCCAGTAGTAGCTCGATCGCTCTGACTCGCTCTGGGTCCAGGCGTGTCCCTCGGGCAGTGGTGCAACCACCCAGTGAAACCTGGACTCATACTACGTCGGGGCTTATCACGGAGCAAAGCCATACACCTTCACCCAGAATACTAATGTTGTGAACCGATTCATCAACTGAATGCGCGTGGGTCTGCCTCGCGTTAGACGCTCATCACGAGGAAATGTGTCTACTACAAGCGCCGCTGCGGACCGTTATGGTTCCTCGGGTGCGCTTGCGAGTCGGAGTACAAACGTTATCCGCTGTGCGGTGTATCAACCGCACCCGCAAGCAATCAAAGATAGTTCTCATCAGGTACTCGAAGCGCTCGGCGAAACATTCGGCAGTGTATGATCGACGGGTACCACGACTACATGGACCCCAAGGGTAAACTTGTCCCAAGCCCAGTCATTCACCACAGGTTCAACGGCCTCTCGACCTCATCTCGCACACCCATCTCGACTGGCATGACCGTCATGTTGAACTTTGCGAACGTCAGACCAAATCGGTCACGAACACGCGGTTCCCACCCGGTCGGGAGGCGCTCTTCGATGAGGATCGTGGCGAGATCGCGTACACGGCCACCAAAGATAGTGAGCATCGTCGAGGCACTGTGCAATCGTTAGATGAATCTGTACACGCCGCGAACATGAGCCAGGTCTGAACGTACTTGGATGCGCCAAACATTCTGTGCCCGTGGTCCAGGGAGTACTGCGGGTTGAGTTGCCGAGCCTCGCGGCGTGCGTTAGAGAGAGCTAAAGACATGTCTGCCTTCGTAATGGTGGTGTCCATGTCAATCTTCTCCGTGAGCGGCGAGAATGGCGGTGCTGGTGGGCCGGTGGGGTAGTGTACGGTGAGCTTGGGCTCTTTGGGTGCGGGGCCCGTTGCCGAGGCGAGGAACCTAGTGATCAGCTCTGCGGATGGAAGACCTTGGTGAAACTTTCTGAATGTATCCTCGCCTGATGCACCGCAGTGAGATATGGATCGAAACTGCGAGATCGTCCAGACAACTCACGAAGAAGAGATGCGTCGTGTTCAATGCCATTATGGACATCCATATCGCTCAGATCCAGATGGTCGGTCGAGTATGTGCGGTTCAAGATCTTGGCGATGAATCGGGGAACGAAGATGCAGAATGTAGGTCCGAAGTTGTATGTGTCGCGCACAGTACTAGTGAGCTCGGTGAAACGAATGTTGCGCCCATCGCGGGGTAGGATGCCTGGACGGGTAGGTTAGACGAATGCGTACATGCTGCGTAACGAAGACACCACCGTACCATGATTCGCCATCGCGTTCAAGGCCGGACAAGAGCAACGACTGTCATCTTCGGTCGGGGGCTTGTACTCGGGCCAGACGCCGCCTGCGCCAGGTTTGCCCTTGGGAACCACCTTGCCTTCAGGTATCTTGGGCGTAAGGAGATTGCCAAGGAAGAGCATCCCATCCCATGAGAAGAGGAATGTGGCGAAAGCGGCTTCAAAAAGGCTCGCGTATATTTTACGGGCGAAACGCCGCAGAGCCAGTACAATGACAGCCATGATAGAGGAGAGAGAGAGACAGGTGGCAAGACAAGGGAGCCCGCACGCGGCATATAAAGGGAGGGCTTGCCTCCTGCTACCTGTCAGAACAGGCATGGAAGGTCGCAATCAGGAGTGAGTCCTGCCAGCTTGCGAATCTGAATCATTTTGCCTCTTCATTACGCGTTCTGGCCAACAGGCGATGATCTAACGCCGGCATAGGAAGTCGTATGCCGACATGCAGACGTCAAGTGATTGGCTGTGATTATCTGAACAGTGTCCAGGTGGACAAAGGAAGACGCAGGGCGTAAAGGCGTGGCGCTAGAAGGGCGGGAATATTCCAAGTACCGGCTCGGTCTTTTGCACGCCTACCCCAGCCAAGGACTCCGCAAGAGTATCGAGCACGATGTACGTGTTTCGTCATGATGTGTCGCCCACCGTCGCGCACAACTGTCAACGTACATGTCAACGCGGAAAGCCCGCATCAGACGGTGGTGGTCAGGGCAAAAGCGACGACCGAAGCCGCAAACGCGAGTCGCGCATCCGGGCCGGAGCCCGGACGAGACTGACTTTTTGACTTTGGGCGCGACTTCACTCCCGCTCTCATCGCCACAGACCATTGGTGCGGTTCCGTTAAGATGGTGGTAGGCATATCTGTTCAGAGTGAAGTATCGCACCGTCGGCTAAGCTGGCGCACAGAAAATATCAGTACTCCAACATGCACCCTCCACCCATTTGCCTGCACGTCCGGGTGACCCAAAACCGACGCAGCGAAATCTGGATCCCCTCATGCATCCTTTCGCCCGAGCACGCGAGCGGACTCGCGCATTGAACGCTGCGAAGATGGAACGTATGTTTGCGAAACCATTCGTTGCCGCATTGGAGGGGCATCAAGACGCTATCGAGGTTCTGGCGAAAAGGCCGGAGAGCGTTACGGATGTTGCCAGTGGAAGCTGGGACGGAGGTCCGTTGTGATTGACGTTTATGTATGAAACATTCTGACATGTCTGCGAATGCAGAGATCATCATGCACAATGTTGCTAGGCGAACGCAGATCGCCAAGATACCCGGCGCGCACAAGGGAAAACTTTCGGGCATATGTTGGGCGGACGAGAATAGGTTGCTGAGCAGTGGTGTGGATAAGACTGTGAAGATGTGGGATATGCGAAGCTCGCCCGAGATGAGTTCACCTGGCGCTGGTCCATCAGAGCCCAAGCCCATGGCGGTATTCCCGGGAAAGGCGCCGTTCAAGTGAGCATCTTCAGCGCATCATTCACAAGACAGCGTCTCAACGTATGACAGCGGAATTGCACATCACTGGACAGATCCCGTATTTGCAACGGCGTCAAATGTTGTCCAAATATGGGATGAGACGAAGTGCGTCTATCTTTCCTATATGGTAGTTCCGCTGCTTAACCTGCGCAAAGGAGCGCGCCTATCATGGACATCACCTTCTCCACGTCGGCCGAATCCGTGACAGGCATCCGCTTCAACCCATCGGAATCTTCCGTACTGGCAAGTATAGGTTCAGACCGTACATTCACCCTGTATGACATTCGAACGGGGAAAGCAGAGAGGAGGGTGGTCATGAGCGTACGTCGGCTGGTCTCTGAGTCGGGTGAATGACGATAGCTAACGGCCGTGCAGATGACGAGCAACGACTTGGCATGGTCTCCGACATTCCCTACGATGATCCTTCTTGCATCCGAGGACCACAACTTGTACACGTTTGACATCCGCAAACTCAACGCGCCCCGGCAAATATACAAGGGGCACGTTGCCGCTGTCATGAGCTGCGACTGGAGCCCAACGGGTCTGGAGTTCACGAGCGGAGGGTGGGACAGGACGGTGCGCATTTGGAAGGAAGGTCAGGGCACGCATCCGGAGGTGTACCACACGAAGCGCATGCAGCGGTAAGCAGGGATTCCCACAACCTTCTCCCGGCTGATGTCTGACGCCGAATGCAGCGTACTGAGCACCGCGTTCACCGCGGATGCTCGCTTCGTGTTATCAGGATCGGACGATGGCAACGTGCGCGTATGGAAGGCGAACGCGTCCGAGAAGCTTGGCGTTATCACTGCTCGCGAGCGCGCTGCTATCGAGTATCGCGAGACGCTCAAGAGCAAGTGGCAAGCAGACCAACAAGTCGGCAAAGTGCAACGGTATGCGATTCCCTGCTTACTTAGCGCGAAGACATTACTGAACGGCTTTTCCACAGGAGTCGTCATATACCGAAGCCGGTGTACAAGGCTGGCCAACTCAAGCGGACGATGCTCGAGGCCCAGCGCGTCAAGGAGGAGAGACGTCGGAAGCACACGCGCGCTGGAGAGAGCAAACCCAAAGCTGCGAAACAAAAGTTTGTACTTGCCGAGCAGTCATAGTGTATCTTTGCATGCTGCCCTCGTGCTTTTGGGCCCTTGCTTTGTTGCTTTCAAGCGCTTGTTTTCGACTTCCCCTTGTGTACTACGTAGAAACCTCCTGTAGCAATTTCTGCACACACTCGTTTACCGTAGCTTTGCTTTCTCGCCTCACTACCTCTGGGTACTCACCAAAAGAATAATCGCGCGTGCAGGCATGCGGGGCATTTTATCAGGTGATCGTGTTTGATGGCGTGGTTGGCGCTTGCGGCGGCAGCGGGTCTGGAATCGAAGCTGTAACTTGCGTCCTGCCACATCTCCCCTTCTTTCCACCTTCCGGCCCCTTCACCACACAGACCACGAAGCCATGTCGGACGTGGACTTAGATGACGAGCTTCTTGCTCTTGCTGGAGACGAGGAGCACAAGGAGTCTAAGAAGCGTAAATCGGCGAAGCAAGGTTCCTCGAGCAAGATGAAGCGCCGTAGGGCTGAGTACGTATTTATGTCCGCCTCTGAATGACCATCATCTGATGTTCAGTATCTGAAAGAGATGAGTCGGACGAAGAGTCCCCCGCTGGCAACAAAGAGACGGGCCCGAGTTGGCAGGAAATGTTGGCCGCATATGAACGGAAATATCCTCTCGAGGGACTATACGTGGATGACGAAGAGCGCGACCGGTACGCTCATGCGTCACTACTACTCTGACTGTTTACTGATCAGGCGCATAGTCTACTTCAAATGACTGAATTTGAGCGCGAGGACATCCTTACGCAGCGGCGTGATGAGAAGCAAAAGATCGACGACAAGCGTCAATTAGAGAGCATTCTTGCAACACGAGGTGGCCCCAAAGATAGCGTATCTCAAGCGGCCAAACGTATGTCTTACATATATTATACACGCACCATTTCATCTCACAGTTATGCTTAGGTGAACATGGGATCCGTGGTGCGACCAAGGAGAAGACGAAACAGTTGGAGAACCTGCGAGCGAAGAGGACAGAGCGCGCAGAGAAGCGGGTGCGGCGGATATTGCCGGCCTATTCTGAACCTTGCTCAGTTGACTTTAGGCGCGCGGTGGTTCGCCGGGCCGAGATAGGTCATCTTCTCCTATGGAGATGGAGACGGACGAAGAGGATGAGGACGGTCAGATTGGGAGGGACGAGCAGGACGACGAGCGTCTACGGAGGTTATCTGGCGGTTACACCAAGTCGTCCAAGGACGAGCCAATTGAGAAGGAGGATCTGAACAGGATACAACTTACTCGGGATCGCATAGCGAAGTATTACCTGGCGCCGTGGTTCAAGGACTACGTCAAGGGTACGTTCTGTGTTATATATGTACTCTATCACCGCTCATATGGGTCCCAGGGATGTGGGTCCGGTATCTCATCGGAAACGAGGATGGTCGACCAGTTTACCGCGCATGCGAAGTACTCTGTGAGTACCTGTCTATATGCATTCCGATGTTACACGTGCTCATATACGGCAGCGCTGTCCGACGAGAAGGTGAAACCCTATCCTGTAAACGACGTCATGGTCGACCAGGAGTTCGAGCTACGACACGGTCAAGCCTGCAAGTTTTGGCCTATGGACAAAACGTCTAACGCCGAATTCACCGATGTGAGTTGACCGACAACGCATACTCCCCGTGAGCTCATCATATCATACAGCGCGAGTTCGACCGCATTGTGAAGGTGTGCAAGGCCGACGGTATCCCGTTCCCTGGTAAAGACGCTTGCGAGAAGAAACTGAAGGAGATGGATGCATTCTACCAGAAACGCCACACCGAGGTGCGTTCCATTCATGACGTACGCGGCGTCCGGTCTGTGCTAACTTGCATACAGAAAGATGTTGACGCGATACTCCAACGCAAACGGGATCTCTCTGGTGGACTCACAATACAGGAAGAACGCATACGGCGCGCAGAATTGCAACAGGCGAGGAACCATGCTGTCAAGTATGGCGACCACGCTGAGGTCCAGAGGGTCGACGAACAGCTGGCTGCATTGGGTGTCAATGCGCAGCCTACGACGCCCGCTCCAGCTGATGATCCAGCCGCGCGCTGGGCGAAAGTCAACGAGCGGAATCGGAAGGCCAATCTGGAAGCCGTACGCAAGATTGAGCACGCGGAGGCCGAGCGCAAGAGGAAAGAACGCGAGCAACGTCGGCTTGCAGCTGCTTCAAGGTGTGTTCTTCATCATCCTTGCGGCTTGATGCTCTGCTCATTCAGGGTAGAACTGCGACACCCTTACCACCTGGCACGCCGGACACCTCCATCGCGAAACCCGTCTCTGATTCGAAGGGCAAAGACTTCGAGGCGAGCGTCCTTGAGAGTATAGAGATTGACCTTGGTGATTTCTGAGCTGTATGAGGATCTCTTCCTCGGTCTCTTCGTCATACTCTGTTGTCATCGTACTCGTGGGTTAGGGATTAGCGTACAGCTCCCATTTGGTACTTAGCATAGCACCATGCTTGTTACCTAGCTTGGCTAGGTTTCCCACTTTCGAAATCCGGCGCAGGAACCGACCAACCGGTGATTGCCGGAGACGCGCTGATACGATCAGTTGCGTTACATCACCCGGTTTCCCAACCTTTTTTACCCCAAGCCACGCAGTAGTCCTGCACGGCCTTGCTTTAGTGGGCAGAAAGATCAGTCGAGGATACTATCTTGAACTGCCTTATGAGACTCAGCCAGGAGCAAGGGCGGGCTGGAGCGACAGCGTCGCTCGAATCAGCCGCGCCGGCCGAATGTTGGGTTTCCGACGGTCAGCTTCGACTCAATGCCCTTGTGAGGGCGTCTATTGCACCAGCTACTCTACGTAGTGTACAATATGGTCGTGTTTTCTGTATCGTGTCCGAAACGAGTCCTTTGAGCTCTGTCCTTATATACCCCTAGCTTACAAATCCGCAGTATTCTAGCACAGTCATCCTATGTACAGCCTCTTAATATATATGTTCTAAAGTATCGAGTCCATCGAACCGTTGGTTCGCGATAGGGAAGCTCGACGCCGCGCTCCGGGCGCGACTCGGGCATGGGAACGATCCCCGAGGCAAGCCCGACGCGAAGCGCAGCTGTGCAGCGCTGCGCCGTTCGTCGCGTTCGTCCTCCGCCTATCACCATCCGCGATGGGTCGGCGAGCTTCGCTCGCCTCTTTGCCAGCTGACACACAGGATCTCACAAAATCCCTACACCGAAGGCCGTGGCCCCTGGCCGGCCACAATTGCTTTCGACTGCGAAGAGAGACTCTTATACACTGTAGTAAGGCCTATAGCGCCAGTGGTATACTCACCCCGCACGAGATGCTGAGATTACAACTTGGAAGCCTATTCTTTCCAAGCTAGGTTTCAGCTGCAAAATGCAGCGCTTCTAGTAATTATTACTATCACAAATGGTATATCAACGGCCCCTCTGTTGGGTTGCCCCGATTGCCCGAGCCCAGAACTGTATCTCCCGATCCCTCCTGGCTTGCGTATATCGGGCAGGACGACCAGGGGAACGAGTCTCGGAGGTCGTAATTCATGTCCGCTACAGCGCCGAGGGCCATCAACATGCCGGCCCCTCCGGAAGTCCCGGCGCGGCGAAGTTCTTCTTCCCCGCAACCGTCATGTTACGCCCTCAGCGCTCTGCATTCGGAAAACATGTACATAAATACCCCAGACTGCATGTTATGACATGGCTCAGCCCAGTGAGCGAAGCTTCACTGCGTCACGTACGGGTCTCTTGGCATTTTCCCGGCCACGGCGGCGGTAGACGCTGATGCCCTGGGAACGCAGCGTCGCCACCTGCGTGAAGACGATGGCAACTGGTTTCTATGCCCCTTACACCGGTTCTGGAACACCCGCACTTGCTGCATCTTTACTACCCTCGTGGGGACCATCATGGGAATCAATCGAAGAGGGGGGGCCAGTGCTTTACGCGCTTGCACCGAATAGTGTTGCTCTCGACTTTCGTCTTCTCTTCTGCTTCACCCCGCGGGTCGCTCGTTCTGCAGCCAGTCTGCATTCCATTCCTTTGTACCTCTTTCTGTTCTGACTGTTGTTTCTGTCGCTGTTTGTCAATCGCCGGGTCGCGCTCTTCTGTCCTGGAGATGTATTGAAGAACAACACTACTTTCAACATCCTACAACCCCGGCCACCGAACTACCACTCGTCATCTCGCTATCGGACCGGTCTATGGGCTCAACTTGCCTGTCTCTCGTCCCCGTCTTACGGTGTATCGGCCTCACGAGGCTGGAGAGCGGGCTTTTGCTGATCCCTGCTGGTCTTGAATTGATTTTCTCTCTTGGGTTAATCGTCGCAGGTAGAGGACAAGGCCGGTACGTCCACTACTCCAAGCTATCGAGCATACGATGCTGATGCTTCCTGGTAGACGACGCTATCTACTTGCTGCCGAGGGCATCTTCTACTTGTTTCTCGCCGTCCTCGATGTCCTCACGCACGAAATCCCCATGTTCAGCAGTTCGCTCTCATCTTTCCGAAACCTCGACATATTCATTGGTGCGTCCATGCAACTGGTTACGCCACCTCTTGAGACTGAGACTGACGTTCGAGTCAGGCGCCACCTCATTCATACCCATACTTCTGTTCACAGGCTTCCTGTATATCTTCAAACGAACGGAATTCTTCCCATACTTCCCACGACGCTTTGTCTTCGTGGCCCACACGTTTGCCCTCGTCGTCATCCCCGTCCTTCTCGCCACGAATGAAGTTGGATCTTTCATCGGGAACAACTACAGTGCGTCTTCCTTTGTGTGGCCTCCCGTGTAAGATGAACTAATCCTCATGGAAAGCCGTGGTGCAATTTCCCACAGGCCCTCAGTTCGCAGTAGGCACCCGCAACGGCGGAGCGGAGACCGCGCGCGTGTTCTTCAACAGCTTCAGCCTGGCTCTCATGGCCACGTACTCCGTCGTCACGTTCCTTGTCTTCTTTGTTCGCCTCGCGAGTTCATTCGTACGGCAGAAGGAGATCGAGGACAAGGGCGGCATGCAGGAGGAGACGTATCTATTCAAGGGCACGGGTTGGGTTGCACTGGGCATGGCTCTGTCCGCTGCGGAAGCGTTCGTCGGCTTCGCGGACGGATCCTTTGGGATCTATCTCACCAGGAGAATCCTGCGCATGGTCGGTCGTGCATGCGTTATCATCGGCGTCGTGAAGGGGTACGGTCAACCATGTTGCGCTACGTTCATTGGATCCGGATACTAACTTCGTTTCCCAGCCCCGACCGTCACCTACGTTTTGAGATGATGGACAGCGAGAAGGATTCCAGACGTGTGAAGCGCAACACCACTCTTCGTCTACAGATCGGAAACCCTATGCTCGTCAGCAGCTCTGCACGCTTGTCGAATCTCCCCGCCGTGGACCTTGCCCCGCCACGTTCTGCCTCGATACTATCTGCAACCGCCGTCGGCACAGCACCCCTCATGGCTGGCGGGATGGTCCAGTTCCCCTCTATGCCCCGACCTCTCAGTCGTTACCGTCCCAGCGGCGAACGTGCGGACGTATCGTCTATGGACACCACTCGACGCGTCACGGTCTCCTTGGGGCGCAATCGCGCACCTACGCTCATTCTGCGCTTGTCGGATACGAACCTCCCATCGCCCAGCATCTTCATGCCGCCCCGTGGCCGAGGCTCCAACCGTAATAGCGATGCTTCGAATCACTACTCGCTCAGGAATGACCCCGAGGCCTTTGCACGGTTCCAAGCGCGACGCGAAGCTGATGATCGGGTATCCAGCCCCGCCTTTGCGTATAGCCCTGGCCGACCTCTCACATACAACCCTGGCGAACCACAGCGACCAACGGGCAGCCTCTTGCGCTCTCACTGGAGTAGTAGCGGAGTTGGCATCGACCCTCCCTCTCCTCATCGCCCTGGTATTCGCGATTCCCTACGGAGAGCATCCGCTCTCTTCGGACGGATCGCTCGGTTCCCGCTTCCACCAAAGGAGCAGGCGCGTTCATCGTACCAAGGCACGGAAGCCGGTCCCCCGTATGCGCCTCGAACGTCTGGTGACGACCTCATGCGTCGGTCATCTTCAAGGCGCAAACCTGTCCCACCCGTTCGCGCGTCTATGTTCGAAGACGCCACTGGCCTGCTCGATCGCGATAACTTCACCTCACCTGTAACACCGGGCGATCAGTACCCCGCCATCCCCGATTCTGCAGGCCTTCGCCGCGTGCCAGAAAGCTCCCGTGAAGATGTTACATCGATGGCTTCTCCAGAAAGCGTCACGTCGGGCCAGTGGATCGCCGCGTATCCCCGCTCACGTTCGTTGACCGCGTCGACGAGCCTCATGCCAGCGCCGAAGACTCAAGACCAGGCCATCAATGATCCGAACAGGAGTCTTCAGTCGCTTGAGCCCGCGAACGCGTCCGGCGGGAGTGAGCTGCCTGGCCCGCTGAGCGCCGCCGCAAACGAGCACGCTGCCAACATGGACTGGCTCTCGAACCCCGACTTGGCAGATGATGCGCCCGACACTGCGTTCCAAGCAGCGAGGGCGCATGCGCGCACCAGTAGCCAGGCAATGCCGCTTATGTTGACGAGGGCAGTTCGCCCACCTTCAGCAAATCCATCGCAAACGTCTCTCGTAACCCCACGGCCTGGAGGCACACCTTCACGCCAGCTAAGCTTCGGCACTGTGATGCGCCGTACGACGCCCGAGCCCTCGTCGACGCCTGTACGAGGCAGCGTTGCGCCGGAGCATGACTCGATCGACATGATCGACAGCGTTGTGCGCGGGGACTCCGATGCTGATAGTGATATCATCGACTTCTCGCGTCTGCAACCCACGCAGGAGGAGGAGGATGCGAGCGAACGGGCACTCGAGGACGAGTCCATCGCGGGCTCACCAACAAGCTTGTTGCGCCAGGACTCAGCCGTCCTGCCTAGGGACCTGGACGAGGCGCGCAGGAGGCGGGCCTCCCAGCTTACTGGCTGAGCAAGCATCGCGCAGTCAATTTCCCATCTTTGAGGTCTTCGTCGGACGTTGATGACAGTGGACATTTCACCTTGCTTTCGAGTTTGCCTGTACTCCTTGCTTTGTACGTACCAATCTATACCATTATGTGAGCGTGTGCAGATCATTGGCATCGCGAATCTGTCATGCGATTGTGTAGAAAGAGACAGGAAAGCAACATTGTTCCGCGTGAAGTGACAGGTAGTTCGCGAGAGATATAATGATAGGAAATACAAGTACGCGCCCGCGCTCAGTTCTGTTGGGACATTCAGTAAATTGAACATGAAAGGACACAGTGGCGCGCACATCAGGTATCCGGAAGATGGTGATCTCGTTCTGCTTGTAGTATCTCCGGTTCTCCTCGTCGACAAGTACAAGGTTGAGGTAGTACCGGGTGTTGAACTTCTTGTTCACATCCCGGAACGTGGGCGTGAGGTCGAAGCCACCGAGGAACAGTCGGATAGGGATGGTCTCGCCTGCACAAAATGTCAGAACACGCGGAATGGAAGACACAGCTGTGGGCTCTAACCTCGTACTGGTGCACCATCCATGATTTCGAACTTGGTTATCGTTTCGCTCTCGTTATATTGATTGGGTGGTGATCCCGTTGTTTCGCGGCGGATGATAGACAGTTCCATATGCTTGATCTTGATTCGTACGAGCAAAAAGTATATCTTGCCCACAATGACATCTTTTAGATGGTATCTATGTCAACGTCAGCAACGACATGCAATCTCGCGAGCGTAGTGTGGTGGAGCGTACTTGGACTTGTTATACTCGAACTCGATATGCAGACTGTCCTCTATGCCGACTTCCATCTTGATAGAGTTGTTGCTGTCCGGCGGCATCCGGAATGAGTGTACCCAGATCTCCCTCTCCTTCACGACCTCCGCCATCCGTCGGGATATCGTGACGCGCAGGAAGTATCTGTCTCGCGAGTTCAGGTAAGCATGTCCGGCTCGAAGGAACCGCGACGTACCGTAACTTCACATTGATACCCTGGTAGCTTTCGTGTTGCTTCTCCACGCTCTTGAACTGAAAGTCGAACGTCTGCGCTTGCCGCATTTCACCCGGCGCAGCCAGCTCTTGTGATAATGTCAAGAACTCGTGGTGGTGCCCCCGGTCATAGAACAGCTCTGCAATCAATATGAGTAGATCATACACGCTATGAGGCTTTGAGGGTACCGATATTGCCCACAAACTCCACCTTGATCCCATCGTGTACTATCTTCTTGCCGTCCCGTACCCGCACAGTAACCTTGTGCGACGTTCAGGACGCGTATCCATTGAATCATTGATAATACTTACCGTTCCAGACACGTTCTCTTCGTCATAATATACAGGACATGAGATGATGCGGTCTTTCTCTGCCTTCGCCTCGACCTTCTTCCGCAAGTCCTCCCCTTCAAGTTGGATGTCGACGTCAACCGGCGACGCGAAGAAGTACGCAGCCATAGTTCAGGACAATAGCCAATAGAGTATAAGCGCCCAATGTGGCCAGTTGTAAAAGATATTGTGGGCGCAGAGAGCGGAACCGAGTCGGTGCTCTATGTGGGTGTAAGGGCGAAAGCAGTGGCAAGTCGGTTCGGGTGCCTGAATCAAACGCGTCCACCGCGGCAAAGTCCGTCGTCGCGTCTTGATTCCAACCACCACATCCCCGCGTCGCAGCTCGCTTGGTCTGGCCACCCGCCTGCGACGTTTCTGTCTGTCGCGCGCTATGCCAAAAGCTAAGGCGCCTCGCTTCTCGCGACGCAAGTCGCATAAGATTGCTACAGTCAAGCTACGCGATACAAACGACGCGAACATAACCTTCGAGGAGTTCCAGACGCTCGCTAAACTTCCGACGTTTACTAGTGCGTTGTTCGTGTAGGGTCTCGGCACCGCGACCCTCCACTGATCATCATGGCTGTAGAAACTGGCTCAAAGAAGAACTACAAAGTAGTCTTCAAACCTGGCGATTAGTAGGCCTTCTCAATCTCCTAGCCACCAGAGTACTGACAACTGTGCGTCTGTTCTCGCGCAGTGCTCGATTCTATAACGTCACTCTGGAAGGTCGAGACGACGTCTTGGATAGCGAGTACTGGGTAGGCAAGATCAAAGAGATACGCAGCGCAGATTCAGGCAGCAGTGTAAGTAGCTTACTGTATGGTGTTCTTGTGGATCTATCGCTCATCCGTGTCTACAGGCTTGGGTCCACGTTCAATGGCTCTGGGCGCCAGAAGAAGTTCAAGCTCTAAACGCGGAAATGTATGGTTCAGCTTGTTGTAAGACGCAGCGTAGTGACTCGCCTCATGAACTCCAGTGATGTCTCTCATATGGGTGAATGGGAACGAATCCTGTGTGACAACGCTTTCAAGAGCGAGACCGTCGTCCATACGGATACTATTGAAGGTGCACGTCGATTGGGTCTCTTATATGCATACGACACTCATATTCATCGTCAAGGCCCTACGGAGGTGTACTTTTTCGACGAACATGTGATGCGTATCCCAGACATCGATGCATTCTATGTGCGGAGTATTTTTAATTATGGGAAGAAAACATTGACGGTGAGTCATTTCGAATGAACGTACATTGTTGGGTCTGACGTACTGCTGCAGCACTTCAACAAAGAGTCCGACTGTAGCTGTGTGCAGTGCGGACAAGGATATAATCCCGACAGGTCGTATGAGACCCCGCTACGATATTGTGCGACTTGCCGTGTCTGGTGTCATACTGGCTGTCGCAAGGGCGAAAGCAAACGACTGATTGAATCCTCCGAGTTTACAAATGGACAGCACTACGCGAAAGGACTTCTTCTATCTGGACCCGCCGGGGATCCCGTGCGCCCTGGACCAAGGTCCAAGAAAGCTCGGAACGTTGCAGAGCGAGCCATCAACGTGAACCTCAAAACTCTGTCCACGCGCGTGCCAAAGCGTTTGCTCAATACCCTCGTTTCTCTCGCAGAGACGCGCATCGTGCGCCCTCTTCCCGGCAACATCGTGGGCAATAAAGCGTACGTGCTCCGTGCGCGGGAGTGGGTTCGCGAAGCTCGCACTCCAGGCGGATTGTCGCGTGATCGCGTCAAAAAGCTCGAGAAATGGTTCGACGAGCTGACTGACGAGATTGCAGTCAACGATCTCCTTGCGCGCGACATCCGCAGAGAAGCCGACTTGACTGAGCTTTTCGTTTGCAATGAATGTGGCTACCCCGTTTGATTCGCTATGTAACATGCTATCGCCAACATATCTTCTCGGACTTGTCCCCCTGTCTTGCTTTCCTTGCCCGCTTTCTTGTCCGCCTGTCGATATGTAACAACTACGCCCATAATTTACTTAGTCCTTGACATCGCTCTATCCGCTCTTGAAGTACATATCACGCAGATACTTCTCTCCGTGTACTCTATCACACTCCTATCTTGAACGGATCTCGTCTCGCTCCCGTTCCACCTGTTTTCTTGATTTTGTTGCTCACACGTCGTCCTTGCTGAATGTCGAGTTTCAACCGCCCGCACCCATGTACATAATGCAACTTCGTGCATCACTGACTTCCCTGTTTTGCTCTCCATTTCAGGACGCCCGTTAACCTCTCCCAGAATGGGCCGTGTCGGACCAGTACGATTCTCTTTCAACGATGCGATCCGCTTGTTACTCACGCCCGCCGCGCGCGTGCACGCTTTGTGGGCGCCAGAACCACAGTAGGCGCCCGATCTACACGCGGTCATCGCACGACGGTGATATGGCGTTTTGTTTTATGCCACCATCGCGCATCGCAAGTGCTCTCACCCCAGCTCAGAATCCCCCGTCATGCCTAAAGCTCCCCGGGTATCTATGACGAAATCCCCTCGCAAGACGAAGGCTAGTGTCAACGAGGATGCCAATATCGCCGTAGAGGCGTTCAAGAGCTTGGTTGTGGCGAATAGTTTCACTCGTGAGTGAACCGTTTGTAGCCTCGTTGATCTGATCGTGACCTGTACCAGAGGCGATTGCCTCCTCTAGTGCGAAGGGAGAGAAACACACATTCAAGACCGGGCAATTGTGAGGCGGGAGTCGAATCGGAGGAAACGCATCATCGTGGTACTGACGGTGTTGTGCTTCTAGTGCTCGTTTCTTGGGAGCTCCTCTCATGAACCTTTCTCGGTCGATCGAGCCGTGGGAGTGGTGGGTAGGCCAGATAATCGACATTCGCCGCGCGAATACGGGTAACGGTGTGAGTATGCTTTTGCTTTACCTCTGTGATATCGGCGCCGGACACGTTCTGAGCAAGATGGCTTGTCTTCTTAGTACTGGCTTTGTGTGCAATGGCTCTGGAGCAGAGACGAGATTCAGGCTGAAGGTGTCAAAAGGTGGGCGATCTTCATTGGGAATCTGACGAGCACGTCTGATTGGTTCGGCAGCGGTGATCCCTCATGCATGGGTAGATGGGAGCGGAGCTCTTGCCAATCCGTGAAAGGGCAGGACTTCGTTCATTCTGCTACCATCGACGGTCAGCACCCTACAAGCACTACGCGATTTGCTCTGACTTTACAGCACACCATAGGTCCTGCCGACGTTCGTCCGCTCAACGAGCATGTCCATTTCCTCCCGGATGTAGATGTCTTCTACATCAGGAGTGCTTTCCGCCTCAACTCGAAACAAAACAGCGTACTAGAAGTGAGTACGCATAGATTGACTGCCAGCTGATGCTCATCATTCTTATGTCAGTTTACTGAAAAGGAGGTGAACTGTAAATGTGCAGATTGTGGGATTGGATACAACCCAGACGATGCTCTCGTCCATCCCCTGCGATTCTGCGCAAACTGTAAGGTCTGGTGCCACTCTGATTGCCGTGAGGGCGGCCGACTTGTGCAGTCAACCCGCTTCGCGAACATTGCGCATCATGCGAAGGGCCTTCTTCTGGCTGGTCTTGGAGAAACAGCTCATCCCGGACCTCAGTCTCAGAAATCGGCCATTATCGCAAATCGCGCTAGGCAACTCGATCTTGCTAAGGTCCGGCAATGCTTGCCCCGAGACCTCGCGAAGTCCCTTGTCGACATAGCGCAGCAGCGTATAGTACGTCCCTTACCCGGCAACATCGCGGGCAATATCGCGTATGTCCTTCGTGCGCGCGAATGGATCCGCGAAGCGCACACGTCAGGAGTCTTGTCACAGTCTCGGCGTAAGATTCTCAAGCAGTGGTTCGAGGAGTTAACTGAAGCTATCGATCTTGAAGACATACTGGCCCCAGATACGCGCGAGGAAGCGCAAAACTCTGCACTGTACGTTTGCCAGAAGTGTGATCACCCCATTTGATTGCCCAACTTGTACCACCACCATTGTTGTCAGTCCATCGCACATCATCCTTGCTTTCTATCACCTACGCCGCATTCTTTACAACTCGAAGTCTCCAATGCCAATGCTTCCTATCTCGCTCTCGATACGCTCTTTACTCACTTCCGCCACACTCCCATCGTTCCAACGCCCGCTATATTCGTCAAAACGTACCTGTTTTTGTATATATGTCGAAGCTCCATTCCCTCATCTCAGTCACGCTTTTCATTGTGCATCCCCTAGTATCTACAGATCCCACATCTGCGTCTCGTAGCGTTATGTGCTCGGCACAGATCTCAGTGCCAGTAGTTCGAGGCAACAGGGAGAACTAGCTTCCACGCTTCATCCAAAGCCTCAAGCACGTCCTCAGCTATTCCCGACAACGTCAGCACACAGGCCAGTTTCGACGTATGAGCGAGCTACTCACGGAGCGGTCCCTTCTCCAGATCGATGAGGTTCTGTTCCAAGTGCTTCGTGCTCGACGCGCCAATGATCACAGCGTCACCGGTCTCGCGTTTGAGCAGGCTGTGGTGCGACATCCAGCGAAGGGCCACCTCAGCCAAGGTCAAGCCGTGTTTCTCGCAGACAGGACGCAGGAGGTCGAGAGCCTTAAAGTAGGGGTCGTTCCAGTAGCGCTTGCGGTATGCTTGGCCTTGCCAGTTCTTCGTATCGAAGCGCAATCCAGCAGCATCGCTATCCGGGTTGTATTTCCCGGTGAAGAAACCTCCGCCAACTAAACATCTAACCGTCAGAATCAGGGCTAACCATGACGAGAGAATGACATACGGGCGTTGAACGCGTAGAAGCTGAGGCCGAACTTGCGCAAGCACGGGAAGAGCTCGGGCTCAACGCGGCTGTTTGTGTCTATCAGTACAATGTTATGTCAGGCCTAGCGGTATAAACACACCGTTGGATAGCATTGTAGAGACCCTGGTAAACGGTCGGCTGGATCCATCCGTTGCTTCGGCAAATCATGACGATCTCTGCAACCTCCCACCTATCCGCAGACGCAGTGTCAGGGTCCTAGTCTCATGCAGCGATGACGGTGAGCTACGCACGAGTAGTAGTTGCTAATACCAAAGCGCTTGAACTTGCCCTCCTTGTAAAGCTCGTTAACCGTGCGGAGTGTCTCCTCGTACGGCGTCGTGCGGTCCGGGCCGTGCAGGTACCACATTTCCAGACAGCTTGTGACAATGTAAAGCAAAGAAGCTATAAGACATCTCGTGGACGTACTCGGTGTTCATAGCCTTGAGCGATATATCGAGGTGTTGGCGCAGATCCTGGAGAGCAACTTTAGACCCCGGTTCGGACGCGGCATATACAATCACGAGTGCATACCGCAGGGCTGTGCGAGACTTTGATCTGCGGGGCCTATACCAATTGAACGTTGTTCAGTCTCTACTTGTGCGTGAAGATGAGGCCGTTGCACGTACAGGATACAGCTTCGTCTCATATAGCAGTCCGCGGGCTTTGTAGTCGATCTTGCCGAGCAACTCCTCGGACGATCCATTGCAGTAGAAGCGTGCGGAGTCAACCTGCAAAGATGATGCGACGATGAGAACCAGTACTCAAGCGATCGCAAGAACATCGTTACCTCCTTATGGCCGTGCTTCTGGAAGACGTCGAGGACCTCAGAAACAGCCTCGGGCGTGTGCAGGCGACCGCCGTCTGTGCCTTCGTACCCGAAGGTCATGGCACCCTACAGCCAATGAGATGATGTGATGGAGTAGCAGGGGATGTCGTGCGAACCATGATCACGTTCAGAGCGCTCTTCTGTTCGGACATTGTGTGGTATGCGTAGAGAACAGGTAGAGGGGCGAGTTTGCGTTGACCTCATTGCGGCGATCCTCGAGAGCTTATATACCTTTCAGTACATGGTGGGTCGCAGTCAGTAAGCACCCGATGCCTTCCAAGGTGGATTGGTCTACTCAGCTGGCTGAGGGGATGAGAGCCACATGACCCTGGCGAAAACTGGCATTGACAGCACATTGATAATGTCATTATGCGTGCCGCAACAACACGTATCCACACGTCTGTACTTCCTGTACGCTATCATAGGACAGTAAACGTGAACGCAGTTGGATGAGAGGCCGATGTTGTACGGGGCTGCACCCGACCTAACCGAGTCTAACCGAGATGACGCGGCTCAATTATCGTAATGAGACCGCGAGTGAACTATATTCTTCTCACTTACAGCCGACTCCGAGTGTCATGGATCGCATATTTTTACTGCCGGTGCGCTCCTTATCATGAATCGACATGACAGAACGAGGAAAATCGTGCTCAATTCGCCGTGGGTCCCCTTGTCGACGGATTTGGAACGTCGATTCTTCGCCAATGTGGTATCTCTTGTGACGCACGAGCAAGAGACGTGATCATATCAGCATTCCAAGCAAGGTAGAACGACACAGGTAAACATTTATTCCGAGTGTACTAGAGTCCGACGTCATGGGCGCACGAAGCGAAGACGGCGCAGGCGCGCGCGGTTGCGCGTCTTGCTCTCACCGTCATCATGAACGGCGGTCATGCCCAGTGATTGAATGAACCTCGTGCCCTATTCTTTCTGTCTCTCAACGTTTGTTTGCCTCTCGCGAATCTTCACATCAGGCGCAATACTGTCGTGAGAGCAAGAGCGGTCGCAGACACGATCTAGACGTTCAGGCGCCACCTTGCTATGTACTCCATCCCGGACGCGTTACAGCGCAGTTGTGGTCGATTCGTGCATATATTACATATAGCGCAGATCACCGATGAGATATATTTCTCCTGCTCTGACCGCGCTTCATTTTCAGCATAATCTCATAATCCACCACCCTTCAATGCCAGTAATTCGACGCCACCGGCATGACCGACACCCATGCCTCATCAAGTGCCTTCAACACGTCCTCAGCTATAGACTTGTCAGCTTACATCCTCAGCACCGGCACTCGACAAGCACTCACGCAAGGGTCCCTTCTCGAGGTCGACCAAGTTCTGCTCAAGATGCTTCGTGCTCGACGCGCCGATGATGACCGAGTCGCCATGCTCGCGGCTCATCAAGCTGTGGTGCGAGATCCACCGGAGCGCGACCTCGGCGAGCGTGAGGTTATTCTTCTCGCATACGGGCTTCAAGAGGTCGATAGCCTTGAAGTAGGGGTCATTCCAGTACCTACTTCTACATCAGCGGCGTGCGTGTGGAGAGAAGGCGCTTGTACGGACCGCTTGCGGTACATCTGGCCCTGCCTGCCGTTTGCGTCGAAGCGCTGGCCTGCTGCGTCGCTCGAGGAACTGTACTTCCCTGTGAAGAAGCCTCCACCGACTGAACGAAAAGACATGAGCTCAACCCCGCACATCAGCGGAAAGTGGACATACGCGCGTTGAAGGCATAGAAGCTGAGGCCGAACTTGCGCAAGCAAGGGAAGAGCTCGGGCTCGACGCGACTGTGTGGTACGGTGCACATCGTCAATTGCTAGAGAAGCATCACGGCGGCGAGAGGCGTACCGGTGAATGGCATTGTAGATGCCCTGGTACGCGGTAGGCTGGATCCAGTCGTTATTGCGACAGATGAGTACGATCTCCGCGACCTCCCATCTACGCGAGACGGTGAGCATCAGGGGCCGTGCATCTCCATCCGTTGAGACTGCTCACGCGTAGTAGTTGCTGATGCCGAAGCGCTTGAACTTGCCCTCTTTGTAGAGGTCGTTAACCGTGCGCATGGTCTCCTCATACGGCGTGCTGCGGTCGGGAGCGTGCAGATACCACATCTCGAGGCAGCTTGATAGTGGGTCAGTGGGCTTAAGAGGTGGCCTAAGGGAATCAGTGCTGCTCACTCGGTGTTCATAGCCTTGAGGGACTTCTCCAGGTTCTCGCGCAAGCTCTGGATTACATGCTCAGTGGCGTTCGCGTGAGTATCGATGCCTACTAGCACGAACCTCGGGCTTGTGCGTGATGTTCATGGGAGCCGCCTGTAGCGTGATAGAGGGTCAGTACATCCCTGAGCGGGAGTGATATGAAACGCACGGGGTACAGCTTCGTCTCGTACAATAGCCCACGAGCCTTGTAGTCGATCTTGCCGAGTAGCTCTTCAGACGATCCGCTCGTGTAGACGCGTGCAGAGTCGATCTAACGAGTGATGAGCCATGCGAATGAAAGAGACGAGAACTTGGGTGGCATAGCTGAAGCAGGGAAGAGGAACACACCTCATTGAAGCCATGGTTCTGGAAGACGTCAAGGACCTCGGATACGGCTTCGGGCGTGTGCAGGCGCGCCCCGTCCGTTCCTTCGTATCCGAAGGTCATGGCACCCTTCGCGCCAATCCGTGAGCCAAACCCGTACTGGCAAGTACCAACACGATCCAGCGTACCATGACCACGTTCAGCGCGCTCTTCTGTTCCGGCATTGTATACTTAGAGCACTATTCAAGTTGCTTTGTGAAGGAGATCAAAGCGATCCACTGCTCAGAACGTCGAAGTATATATACCAGCCGGGAGATGTGGATCGCGGAAGGTCGAGCGAGAGTGGGTTCGACCGTATCGAGGTCTATATGTTTATGCGTGCCACAGGTTCTCAGTCCCTTGCGCCTGACTGACATCATCCCGTCGGCGCAAGGCGATAATGATAAGATCGGCCACTTCGGCCACTTCGGCCGTGGGCCGGATGGATGTTCGGCGCGCTCTGAACGCGAAGGAGGTACAACACGAAACGTGGACATGTAATGGTTATACGATACGCCTTACAGCGGCCCAGTATTCGCCATCGCCTACTAGTCCTGCATCTACCGACTGAGCCAACCCGGTGATCGCGCGCACAACGGCAGCATCAAGCTTCTCCCTCACTGCTCCTTCGGGTGCGCACGAGCCAACAGTAGCGGCAACATCCAGCGCGAGCCGCCTATCCGTATGGCTTAGCTTCGCGTACGGGCCAGATATAGTCCCGCGTGTAGGGTGTGTTATCGAAAAGAAGGGCGCCAGGCGTTCCGCAATCTACAGGCACAACATCAGCCTCTACAACTCATGAAACGTGATCACACAGGCGCCTACCTTCTTCCAGACGCTCCCGTCCAGCGCTCGTCTTTGTGCGAGGCGCAGGACAGTCCTGAGTGTACGCGCCGTCTGCGTGGGTGCACCGCTTAGCTCCCACAATGCGCGCGGAAGACCGAGTACCCAGCTCTCGACGAGATCGTGAGGGGGTGATAGAGGTGAGCATACGGTGAAGCCCGGTGCGGTCTCGAGCAAGACGAGTCGGGCGGCGAACTCGCGCGCTAGAGCGCCAACGGCGCTTGTTGCTGGCACGCGCGCCGAATGCGCGAGCGCGGCACGCAGAACGTCTGCGTTTTCAGTCTCGTCGACGTCCATCGCGTCCTCCCTGCCCTTGCCCTTACTCCTCTTCTCACTCGGAGAGGTAGGTGACGAGGATAGCAAAGCCCATGCGGCTGGCACGAGCGCGGCATAGGCGCTCGCGCTCGGCCCTCGTGCAGAGCCCAAGCCATCTCCGGGTGCAGATGCGGCATTGAGGAGCGAAGCGAGGTGTGCTGACGCGGAAGATGCCAATGCACGAGCTTGAGACTGCGCGCGTTTCGATGTCTGTGATGGAGCAGACAACAATCTTGCCGCAAGGGCACAATACGCCAAGTCCAACACCTCGAGCGCCTCTTCCCTCTCTTTTCTTCCTGTCGTGGTGGCATCAGGCCCGCGGAAGGGGAAGTACGGCGCCATGTGTGATAGGAAGGTCTGCAGCTCGTCCAAGGGTACATCTGCTGGCGCGGAGGTATACAGTGCGAGGTAGATCTCGGAGACAGCACGGGTGATTGTAAGGTCGTGTTCGGGTCCTGGAGCGCCGGGGGAGAAGGCGGAGGGCGCGGCGTCGAGGAAGGCTGCTAAGAGGACTGGGTGAAGTGTACGAGCTATCCGCTATAGCATGACGCGCATCAGACATAAGCCGGTAGGGAGATGGTGAGGAGACTCACAGCTTGGTATGACAGGCCGCCGTCCTGCTCTTCCGCCTGCAGGGACGACAGGTCGCGCAACGAAGGACCCGCGTCGAGTTTGAACCCAGCCGTGACTTCCGCGACAAAGAAATCATTCGCGGCATCCGCGCGGGGCGTCCACACAGCTTGAGGAGCAGTCTTCGGGCGTAACAGATGATCAAATGCTTCGAACGCCTTTTCGCTCTCGAAATGCGGCTTCAAGAAGCTGATGTCCAGCCCTTCCTTGACCGCCTTCCCATCTTGCCCAAGGAACACGCGTAAGAAGCGTGCCAGCGACTTGAGTACTACCGCACGACTCGGAGGCGAGAGGACCACGCTGGCTGTACTGGTAGCCTTTGGCTCGCCAACTTCGTCTGCGCCGAAGGCTGTGCCGGCGCTTAGAAGGGACAGGTAGCCCTGTAACACGCGAGGTGTGGCTACGGCTTCCGGCAATATATCGAGGAGAAGGTCGAGTAGTCGGACGGCGTCGAGAGCTACGGCCGGGAAGATGTGCGTTTGAGCGCTGGCGGTGAAGAGCAGGAGGGAGGGCGCATGGGGAGCTAGTGATTCGGGTCCGGCGGTCGGGAGGACAAAGGAGAGCAGCGAAAGCAAAGCTTTGCGGACTGATTGATCATCGTCGGATATCAGGCGCGCAGTGGAGGTCAAGAGGCGCGGAAGTGCGGGTAGCAAGAGATTTGGATGTCCGGTGAGAAGTTCGCGGAGACCGGAGAGGGCGTCGCGGCGGGTGGAAGGCGAGTAGTGTTTTAGTTGCGCAAGGAGATCGTCGAGCGAGAGCTTGCGTTTGGTCGTGGGCTCGTTCGAAGATTTGGATGAAGCAATGGATTGGGAGGGAAGGGCGATGGACCGCGCTTTGAAGGAGGTGTCGACTGCGTTTGTTGGGAGCTGTTTGCCCTTGCCGAGTTTAAGTTTGGATTTCTGGAAAGATTATCAGATACGGAAGCCTTGCATCTTATATGAAGCGTGTGCGTACTGAGAAGTCGGCAGCCTTCTCTTTCTTCTTGCGCGTTGCCTTCGCCATGGCGGTTGTGGCGGTTTACTAGCGGATAGGGGCACTCGGAAACGCGGCCCGAGAAGAGACAATGCAATTTGCGTTTATAGAACACGCGTCAATGATCCAGGTGGGCAGTCTTCTGTCAGCGGCGAGCCACTAGAACCTAGATATCCGGCTACAGCAGTTGATAGGGTATTACACGAGCCAGTCCAAAGGAACCGGAGCCGGTGAGAGGGAAGAGAAGAAACACTGTAGCGGGGGCCATCAAACGGAAACATTGTATTTCCCACGATTCGGCGCGTCGGGAGATCTGAGATTCGTGCAGGAGAGGGTGAAGGTTGCCAGTTGCCACGCCTCATCGAACCTGCCCCCGACGTCGACGTCTCCCTCTCCCTCTCTCCCGACTCGCCTCTACGCGATGTCCGCGCCACACAGCATGGCCTCCTCCGGCCCGCTCAGCCCGCTGGCCGCCTCGCCCTCACCCCCGACCGCGCCACCTCCACCGGCCTCGGCACCGACGAAACGCCAGCACTCGATCGACGCTTCGAGCGAGCTCAGCGAACTGACCGACAACGATGACGATGACGCACCCAAGGCCCAGACCACACCCAAAGCGTACACCCACGGTCGCGCGCGCAACAATTCGAACCCCACGGTGTCAACGTCCCTCAACGCGCGAAGAGGCATCGGTCACCGGCGCCTATCAAGCCTGAATGATGTCAACGCGAGCAGGAGTAGCTCGGACCGCGAACCCGCCAGCCCCGGAAAGAGCCAGGGAGGGTCGAGCGCGCCCACGAGTCGGAGGGGGAAGAAGAGGCGGAGTCTGATTCCCGAGCCGATGTGGGGTTGGGCGTACAAGCACGACGAAGAGGACGAGGAAGGCGAGGAGGACGAGGACGGGGAGGACAAGCCGGACGGGAACGTGACCACGAAACCGCCCATCAACAATAAATCCAAACCAAGCCCGGACGACGATGACGACGGCGCAACGGAGGACGAAATGAGCGACGTCGAAGCGCCCGTCAAACCTACACCCGTATCCGGGCCGAGCAAGCCGGTCGTCGTAGCGGGAGAGTCGAGCGATAGCGGGGAGAGCGAGGCGGAGGAAGAGGAGAGCGCCACGGAAGATCCCGAAGCGGGATACGACGACGAGGATACGGCGAGCGATGCAGAGCCCGAGCCCGACGCCGGGGCCATGGACGTCGACCCCGAAACTGACACCGCCGCAGTCCCGGAGCCCGGTCGGGCGGATGTCATCGCAGCGGCACAGGCGCTTATTGGCATGGAAGACGCGTTGCCCACACCGCCGGCTCCGCCTGTGCCCAAAGCGGTCGTGACAGCTGATGCGACTGCGAATCCGAAACCACCCGCCGCTGGGAGCAGTATCATGGCCGGCGCCGAGATACTGGACCCTGAAGCCGAAGAGGCGGACGAGGATGCTGAAGACGAAGAGGATGACGTTGAGAAGACCCCTGCACCTGCATTGCCGAAGGCGGAGGAGATGGATGTCGACTTGGCACCTGAAGACGGTGCAGGTGTTGAAGAAGATGAAGCGGAGGGAGAGGGCGAACTCCAACCTCAACACCGCGTCGAAGCGCTCGACGAACTCGCCAAGGTTGAATTCAAGTTTGCGAGGTTGAGGGAGTGCGTCTTCATAGAGAAGATGGACGCACTTGCTTGGGAGGAATCCCTTATTCACAATGGTCCGTTATTCACCACCTTTTGTATTTGTGCATAGGCTAAGACTTGTTTCCTATAGGAACACACCCAGAAATGTTGCACTTGCAACACGAGCTTACAGCACGCCGCGACGGTCGGATTGAACTTGCAGAGCGCCGCCGCGTTTACGAGGTGAATAACGCATTGAAGAAACGCAAAGCGGCCGATGACGCAGTCTGGACGTGGTGGATGGTCTGTCGTTCACACAACCAGTATGGACTACTTGCTAATGTGTCAATCATTATAGAATGCCCGCGACGGCGTGCAGAACGACATGATCGCCGAAGCGAATCGTAAGCGCCGCAAGATTGAGCGCGAACGGCGCAACGGCGAGCGCCCACCGCCTGGTTCGTATCCTTCACCCTGCGAACTTATTACCATATACTGACCTTACCGTATAGCGCGCACACTACCTCACCCTCCCAACGAGGCTCCGCCTCCTGCGACACTCTACGCGCTCGTACATTCGCACCCCGCACTGTTGCCGGCGGGAGAACAAACACGCTCAGACCGGCGCGTCTATCCCGACCTCGAGTCTCTTCCGCTTGCGGAAACCTCGGCCGATCTCGAGTTCATATTCGCACATCGAAACGCTTTCCCACCACTCGCGCTTCCTCCGCCTCCTCCCTCGCGTGACCTCGGTCCACAACAGCCCCCACCCGACTTTGGCCGGCCACAGCAGCCTCAGCCGCCACCTGAGTATGTCGCTGTTGGTGGGAGGCAACCGCAGCACCCACCACCAGCCGACTATGTGCCAAGGGATTACCGTCCTACGGCGCAGAGCCAGCCCCAGCAACCGCCTTTGCCCCCCCAGCAACGCGAAGACCGCGGCCACGGCCCGCAGATGCCCGGCTTTGGTGCTCCCTCTGCGCCACCCTCGAGTGTGGGCGAGCATCCGAAGGTGAACGGATGGGGACCAGCACCTGCACCACTCCATTCGCATGCACACAACCATGGACCAGCACCGCACCACCACCATGTGCACCACCATCACCACCACCATCACCATGGACCTGGACCCGGTTCGGCGACGGCTTCAGAGCGTGATAGGGATAGGGATATGCAGCGAGAGCGCGAGCCGGAGCATGCGACGTTGACACTCAGTCCAACGAGTGCACGCCATCGTGAGCGCGAGCGGGAGGGGTGGAGGCAGGAAGAACGCGAACGCGAGGCGTATGCGCGTCAGGCCGCTCTGCAAGCTCGCGAGGCGAGAGAGCAGAGAGATCGCGAGCCGCCCTTTGCTCGTGAAGTCCGCGACGCGCCGTTCCCGCGCGGTGATCCTGCGGCGAGTTCGGCGCCGTATACGCAGGACAGGTTTGGTACATACGTCAATCCTCCGGGTCCATATCGCGGCGAACCGATACCAGGGAGGGAGAGGGGCGACTCTGTACATGGTCGGGAGCCACCGCTCTCGCGCGATGGACCGCCTCATAGTAGAGATGGTCCTCCGTCCGGGCACAGGGACTTTGCGCCTGTTCCCGCGAGGGACTATCCGCCGCATACGCCGATCTCGCGCGAGCCGCCGTTCGCGAGGGATGTGGCCGCGGCGCCGTTTGGACCGTTCCCCGGTCAGCGCGAAAGGGAGCGCGAGCGGGAGAGGGATATGTACCCTACAAGAGAACGCGAACGCGAGCCTGCCTATGTGCGGGAACGAGAGCCCGCGCCGTACTCGAATACTCCGCGCGACCGCGAGCGGGAGCGCGAAACGAATGGACCATTCACCACACGTGACCGCGACGCTGTTACGCCGTTCCCTCCCGGTCCGTTCACGCGTGAGCCGGCTGCTGGGCCTGGTTTCCAGCGCGATGCTACGGGTCCGGGTTTCCAGCGCGACGCAGGCCCGTCACCCTTCGCACGTTCGCCACCGTTTACGAGTAGCCCGAGCGCATTCGGCCCACCGCCCCAGTCGTTCCCGCCTGCATCGCCCTACGCAAGAGCGGAATCTCAAGCAACGAGTCCATACGCGCCTCCCGCTACAAGTCCATACGCCGCACGCGGACCAGAGTCGTTTGGCCCTGGACCGTTCGGGCCGAGGCCTGGAGAGCAAAGAAGACCGGCGCAGAGGAGACAGAGTGTCAGCCAGTTTGCGCGAGATGATGATAGGGAGCGAGAACGCGGCCCGCCGTTCGATCGTGAGCGCGCGTTCGCTGGGCCGGGTGTACCGGGACCTCTTGATACACGGATGGATGGTCCTCCTCGGTCTGGTATGCCGCTCGATGGCCCGCGGTCGGCTATGCCGCTTGATGGTCCGCGGTCTGGTATGCCGCTTGATGGTCCGCGCTCGACGATGGCTCTTGATGGACCGCCGCGTTCTGCGATATTGGACGGCCCGAGGTCAGCGATGCCACTCGATGGTCCGCCGCCGAGGTCGTCGATGCCTATGGACGGGCCTGCACGACCGAGGGGTATGCCGCTGGACAGAGTGCTCGATGGGCCGTCGACGCCTTTGCCACCTCCACCGCAGCATAGGCAGGACGAGCCGGACAGGATGCATGTCGATCCTAGACCCGGGGTAGCTGTTGAGGGCGGTGCGTGAGCGGATGACGGACATTTGATGTTGTTTTGTGCTATAGCTATTTCGTTCGCAGAATGTTTTGAGGTTTCGATCGATATCTGGAGTACATAGCGTATATACGATTTGTTTTGGGCAGTTTTCGTTGCCTGTTGTAATTGAACCCTACTTCTAGTGATATTTGACATTGACCCTTTATGAAGTGCGGGTTGGAAGTGTGACTATGGTACGTCGATGGGGTTCCAACTGATAGCGCCGTTCGCTCCTCGATCGAGTGCGTCTAGCGCCTGCATGTCCTCGGTATCTAGCTCGAAGTCGTAGAGCGCCGCGTTGCTCCAGATGCGCTTCGGCGTCTCGGTCTTCGGGAGAGGGATGAGGCCGTGCTGCAGCGACCATCGCAACAGGACGCGAACAGGCTCGCGCTGATGCTGCCGACGAACTCAACATCAGCTACATACTGAAGTGGATTGAATGATGACGACACTGACCTTCTCGGCTATGCGTACGAGTACAGGGTCGCCTATTAACTCGGGAATGTTCCTTACTATGGGACAATACGCCTGTACAACGATACCCTTGCGCTCGCAATACGCCCTGATCTCACGTTGCTGGCACCACGGATGGACCTCCAACTGGTTCACAGCGGGCGTCTCGAGTCCCGCGGAGACGAGCTCTTCCAGATGCCGGACGCCGAAGTTTGACACACCGACAGTCCTGATCATGCCGGCGTCGCGCTTCTCAAGAAGCGCCCGGTATGTCTCGATACGTTTCGTTTTGCCAGGCTTGGGAGTGTGGATGAGGAAGAGGTCGATGTAGTCGAGGTTTGCGGCGGAGAGGGAGCGGTCGACTGCTGCGAGAGTCGAGGTATAGCCTTGGTCAGAGTCGATTATCTTCGTTGCTGAGAAGGAACATGACCATGAGCGGGATGTGTGCCAAAGAGATCGAGGGGAAGTAGAGCCATACTGTAGAAGATCTCCGAGCGAGGTATGCCGCTCCGCCAGATTGCTTCCCCGCATTCGGCTTCGTTCCGGTAGAGCTTGGCGCTGTCGACGTCTAGACGCTGTCAGAGCCAGGACGACGTTTGCATGTAACGGTGAACGTACGCCTGTAGCCAGCTTTGAACGCTTCAAGCACTGTCGGGAGCGTATTGTGGTTCATTCCCACCCCATACCCTAGTTGAGGGATATCATAACCTGCGTAGAGTGAGCGGCATATAGTGGACGATTTCAACATTCTGGGGCGCACCTGAAGGCAGTCGAACCTTGTCGTCGATCGAGAGCATATTGCTTGCTGGGGGAGGTAGGACAGCGATGACAGAGTAAGTTGGCTCGTTGGTCCCTAATAGAGGTCTCGGAGATATCAGTGGAGGTGCAAGCCGGTGGGAAGGCTTCGCTGTAAACGGTGTGGCGCTTACGCCTCATCGACCAGAGCGGCAGGCAACCGCAGTAGTCGCTGTCATCGGGCGGAAGCACAGAATTTGCTTACGAGTTGAAGCATACGCTACCCTCATAGCAAACGCCTCATATCACTTGAAGGATACACGAGTACCGGCTGCAGTAGCAGGAGATAGCAGTCCTTTGTGCTCGCGCGCTGCCGCGGTCATGAAGCAGCACGCGGCATTGATCGTCATATCGAATGATCGCGGTTTCCGAACTGGCGTGACTATCAAGAAATACGCATTTGATAACTTGGGGAAGCAATGAACTGTGCCTCTCCAAACGGGTACATGAACGCGCGGGACAAGGGAGCCGCCAGTGAGTCGTGACGGCTGTGTTGATTCGTGACGTGACGGCACGCGCGCTGGCGCTGATCGCTGAAATGCCGGGTGCAGCTCGACCTCTTCTTGCAGCCATCATCGGATATCCGTGCACCGAGAATATGATGTCAATGGACAGTCTCCTGATACCAGCTGTGTGGTCTGTGATGAAACGGGGGCTCGCTTGTCGAATGCGGCGGGAGTGGTCCGATGAGCCGCGCTGGGCGCTATTCTTCTTTCCCCTGGCTCTCCGGTACAGAAAAGACCGACTGATCCCTTCGATCCAATGTGCGCTTTCACGCTTTGACGCCAATTTGCTCTTGCTGATAACGTATTCCAGCAGCTCATAATTACCCCTCAGGCAAAGTAAGGCATCAGGAAGGAGGTCCAGCGCACACCCTCGTTGTCCCTTGAACTGCAGCTGGAAGAAGTCTGCAGTCAGTCGACGTCGGAGAGCTTGGTACGAAAGACCCTCTTCAATGATTCTCTCTGTGCGATTGGACTTCAAACGCGCCTCCAAGAGCTTTAGCATGAGGTCTGAGCGTGGTCTCCGTGGGCTGTGCGAAAAGCGGGCTCTACTCGAGCGCCCATACTTACCGGCACAGCACACTTCCGTCTCTCTACGGGGGCCGACAACGGCTCACCTGCAGGCATGGTTAAGCTGTCAGCGGAGTTAACCCCGGGAGTACTCGTATATGTAGGACGAACGAATCGAGGACGTTTCTGTACTCGACCTCTTGCCCCTCTACGAAATGGCGTCCTCTGGCGTCTTCAGCTTGTCAGACTTGCAGTGGTCGCTTTCGAATGCCAACGGCTCGATCGTCGTTCCGGGGTCGCTCCCTTCCCAAGTGCATCTTGACCTGGAACGGGCCGGAGTCATAACCGAACCGCTCCTTGGAATCAACGGTGCGGTTGCCATCTTCACCCATGCCAAGACAACGAACTCACCTTCCGATGTAGATTTTACACAGAGATGGATTGTTTATGATAACTGGACTTACACTGCGGATATATCTCCTTTCCTCAATTTTCAGTTTAATTCGACATCTGATGCTACGCTGCTTGTGTTCTATGGCATCGATACTGTGGCGAACATCGTAGGCATTGCCTTCGCTCATCTCAGGGGCATATTGACTGATCATCATCTCCAGACCCTAGCAGAGCAGCCTGTGGCTTGGGTTGCCAACGAGTTCCAGCAATACGTATTCAACGTGACAGACATCCTGTCAACGACCAATACCAGTCTGAACACAAACCTCACGCTTGCTTTCGAGTCCGCATACTTGTACGGATTGAATGCATCTGGCCCTGCACCGGATACTCAGACGTGGGCTGATGTGGGTGCCTCCATATTCGCTGTCCCTTCGATAAGCTGATCGAGTACGCAGGCCGAGTTTCCGTGGGCTAGGATCTGGGTGCGCAAGATACAATCAGACTTTGGATGGGACTGGTAAATCTTCTTCATCATCCGAAAGACCTTGGGCTTACTTCTACCAAGGGGGCCCGCGTTCGTTCCGGCAGGCATCCACAAACCGGCGTACTTCATCATGCTTCAGGCCGAGTCTGCTGGCAACCACTCCGACCCTCCCTCTCCAGTGCTCGTCTCAGAGACTTCCATCGACATATATAAGCAAGGCTTTGAGGTCGCCACACAGGAACCTGCTGATGAGTCGACGGACTGGGTCGTAGAAGTAAAGCTTGGCGTGCACTCCGTCGTCACGGGAGACGCAACACTTACTCTGGCGATACCTGAAATGGATATCACGTCTGACGCGTTACCGTTGGGTTCGATACCATCACTGAGCGGCAGTATTGCCAGCGCGCCCTTCTTCGTATTCGCCAATTGGACCATAGCGGATGACCTTCCGGAGCGCTGGTGGCCCCACAACCTCGGCAACCCCAAGCTGTACAACATGACGCTTACATTGAACGTTGGCGATACTCCTCTGACTTTCAGCTCGACAGTCGGGTTCCGCACCATCAGGCTCGCGCAAACGCGCTATTCCGACGAGGAGACCACTGCTCGTGGTATCACCCCGGGCGATCAGTGGCACTTTGAAGTCAACGGCGTCCCGTTCTACTCGAAGGGCACCAACGTCATACCGTTTGATCCGTTCTACGCACGTGTCACGGACGAACAAGTCCGCTGGCTTGTCGAGAGCGCGGTACAGAGCGGCCAAAACATGGTAAGCATCCTCGACTATGGTATGTATAGTGTGTTGACAAGCTACCATAGCTCCGAATCTGGGGCGGTGGCACGTACCAGCCAAGCTCCACGAACTCTGCGATCACACCGGTTTACCCACCTCATACCACCGAGACCTACTCCTTCTACTCTTTCTGCGACGAGCTAGGCGTCCTTGCGTGGTCTGAGTTCATCTTCTCTGATGATATATATCATCCCGATGATTGGATGATGTCCTCTATCAAGACGGAAGTGCGGCAGAACGTTCGACGAGTCAACAAACATCCCAGTGTCGCGGAGTGGGCGGGCAGTAACGAGATCGAAGTCATTATGCTTTTCCTCAACCAAAGTGGGGACCCGAACGTGCCCGCTTATATGGATGAGGCACGTACTTTCATGGCGTCAATGGCGTTCGATGGTGCTGAAGTAGCCAATGCAGTTCACCCAATTATTCCAGAACGAGCTCCGGAGTGTCACATACGAAGAAACCAAGTCGGTAAGCAATCGGGACTCATCGTCGCTGAGCTTGTCGTCGGACTCAGACCACTTGCAGGTTCCTTATACTGATTGCTCAACTACACATGGCGTTCTCAGCATCGATCCTCTTGTCGTTCGCTGGAATAATGCTACGCCAGGAGAGATCTACGGCAACAGCGGTGTGTATAAGTATATGTCACATGACGATGAGGATCCTCACTGACGCTTCGGTTAAGAGGTATACATTTATGATGGCGCTCAAGCCTTCAACTACAGTGCATTCCCAGTGTCGCGGTGAGTCTTGACATGCCATGGTTGCGAACTCTGTCTGATACCGCCCTTCTTACCAGCTTCACGAACGAGTTCGGGTACGTCGCATCCATCTAGACTTTAAACCCCAATGTTTGCCCCAATATCTGACAACCTGACCAGCTTCCATTCTATGTCGTCTTTCTACAGCTGGGGGCAAGTCCTTGAGTCTCCGGATGACTTCGCGTTCAACTCTACCGTCGTCATGTCCCGCGATCACCACCCATGGGCTGGCAACCTCACCTTCCCAAACCCCAACGCCCCTCAAGGCCAGGGCCAGATGACTCGTGCTGTCGAGCTCTGGTTACCCACGCCCAACCTTGATGAGAGGAACAGTACATTCGCCGCCTGGACGTGGTCCACCCAGGTCTTCCAAGCTATGGCTATGGACGCCCAAATCGCATGGTATCGGCGCGGCGCGGGTCTCGGCGAGAACAACTTGGGTGCGCTCGTTTGGCAACTCAACGAGATCTGGCAGGGTGTGAGCTGGTCGAGCATCGAGCACGACGGGCGGTGGAAAGTCTTGCAGTACACGTTGTCACGTGACTTCCAGCCTGTGGTCATCAACGCCTTTTGGACACCCGAGAACGAGACGCTTCAGCTCATGGTCACATCTGATCTTCAGAAGGAGGTGACTGGTACAGCGCAGTGGACGTGGTACGACTGGTCGGGCAAGGTTTTGTCGTTGTCGTCAGCAAACTTCACCGTCCCGACGCTCAACAACTCTGTGGTCTTCGAGGGTCAGGGACTCTCAAACATCCTGCCAACGGGCGCCAACCTCGACAACGCTTGGTTGCTCATGAACATCACGGCCGACGTCGACAATAGTCCGATAGTGCATGAGAGCTATGTACGTTCATGTCAAACAATGCTAGCACTCAGCTGATGCTCCTCCAGATGACGTTGTCCTCGCTTGCCGATGCACCTCTCGTCGACCCTCAGCTCAAGCTCACAGCAGGTTCGGATGAAGGCCTCTCTTTCACTGTCTCGGCGCAAGGAGGTGTCGCGGCATGGGCCTGGCTCGAACACCCAGCTGGTACCGTGGGCGTTTTTGTCGACACCGCTACCGGCTTACCCTCAAATGCCTTCTATGTGGTTCCCGGTGTAGACCGTAATGGTGCGTTAAGGCCCCCGCGACAGACTTTTTTTCGGCTGACGCGATCTCCTACAGTGACCTTTGTCGTGAATAAGGCTTTGTCGAAGAACCAGACGCCGCTGCCCGAGGACTTCGTGATCAGGTCAATATGGAATAACACGCATGCTTGAGTCAGGCTGCGCGCTTGTGCGCTCGTCCCCGTAGTCGTAGATAGATCAAGTTCCGCTTGCTTCCGATACTGCTTGAATTTACTACCTTGCTTTTGTTGCACATACGAGCGTTGCTGCCTGAAAGTTGACTAGTTCGAACACTCAGGCGCTCATGAACGAGCCGGCGATGCCGACTGTGCCGCAGTGCCAAACCGTGGGCACATCCTGCCTAAAGCGTGTCATCACTTTGAGTTGTTGAGATCCCACCAACACCAGGGACGCGTACACAACTTGTACCCTACGCCCATCACCCACGCTTTCCTAGTTTCGGTCCTGCGTTCTCAATATGGCGCACCAGTCGCCGATGATCTCTGTGCCGCGGAAGGTGACAGATGAAGTTGACTGGACGACGCCCATCCGGAACGCAATCGCGCACTCGTACGGAGAGGATCCGGATAGTTACGCTGCAGAGTGCGCATCACTACAGCGATGCAGACAGGACGCAGTAAGAGGTGCAGGTAGTGATATCACAGGTGTGTGACGGGTGTGTATGATATAACGAGTTGATTGACTGAGTGCTATACTAGCGCGGGACTTGCTATATAAGTACTTCGGCCAGCTAGAGCTGCTCGAGTTGCGCTTCCCGGAGATCCGCGTCAACTTTCCCTGGTGCGATGCATTCACGACCAAGAAGATCGTCCAAACGTCTCTGGCGTACGAGAAGGCGTCTATCATATTCAACATCGCCGCCACGCACTCTGCCATCGCATCCTCCCAGGCGCGCTCGGACCCGGAAGGCATCAAGCGCGCTTTCTACTACTTCCGCTGCTCGGCAGGCATGCTCACGTACATCAACGACAACTTCCTTCACGCGCCTAGCACGGATCTCAGCCGCGAGGTCATCAAATTCCTAGTCGGGGTCATACTGGCGCAAGCGACGGAAGTGTTCTTCGAGAAGTGTAGGGACGAGAAGAAGGCAAATGTACTCCTCCAGAGGGTGGCCAGCCAGACGGCCAGCATGTACACCTCGTTGACGGAGGAGGTCAAGGAGTTCATGGGTAAAGGCATCTTTGACCGTAATTGGGTAACTGTCATCCAGGTGCGGATCGTTTCCCTTCCACTTCGACGTGCACGCGCTTATCTGATTACCTTTCACAGACTAAGGCCAAATACTTCACTTCCCTCACGCACTACTACCGCGGTCTCACAGACCACACAGCCGGCAAATACGGCGATGCGCTTGTCCGGTTCCAACTAGCTGATACCAATGCGAAGGAGGCGAACCGTATCGCGTCGAGCTTCGGCACGATGTTCTTACCGCAGATGTCTCCGAACCTTCCGCCAGACGCCGGCCAATCTCTCGCGGACTTGCTCAAGGCGCACGCGGCGCTTATGGCCGATAAGAGGGCAGAGGCGCAGAAGGACAACGACCTGATTTACAATGCTGTACTCCCTACACCCGAAACGCTACCGGCGGTCGAGAAGGCGGCCGTTGCTACGCCTATACCGATTCAGGAAGTCTATGGCGCGCCTGATGTCCAACGCGTCATTGGACCAGACCTCTTCTCCCGCCTCATTCCATTGGGGGTACATGAGAGCGCGTCGGTCTACTCGGAAGAGAAAGCCAAGCTCTTGAGAGGAGAGATCGAGCGAGTTGAGATCGCTGATGGAGAGACGAGAAGCGCGTTGGATGCGCTCGGTATTAGGGCTGGCCTTGCAAGGTTCAGGGCTATGGTGGAGGGCAGCGTCGCTGGCGAGGACGAGTTACCGACAGACGTACGCCGATGGAGGGAGGATATCACGCTCATCGAGTCGCGCGAGCCTGTTCCTGCATTACTCGATCGTTTGAACAAGGCGCGCGATAGCGTACGAGGGGCACTGGATGGTATCGGCCGCGACCTCGAGATTGAGAGTCGAGATTGCGAGGCAGCGCGCGTCAAATATGACCATAACTTCACGCAGGCGCCGAGCGCTGGGTTTACGAAAGAGATCCGCGGAGATCTCAAGACCAACTATGACGCCCTCGAAGCTGCCAATGCGTCTGACTCTCAGGTTCTGGCACTCTGGGAAGCAGTGAAGGGCGATATCCAACTGCTCATCAGTGGCGAGGTCGAGAACGTGTTCCGTAACTCGGCTCAATCCGGTCATAACCGGCGCGAGAGCTTATTGGATCTTGATATGGAGAAGGACGACGGAGAGAGGGCGAAGATCGCTGGATATGTCGATGAGATTGAAGAGAGGATCGGAAGGTTGAACAAGATTGAACGGGAGAGGAGCGAGACGCTCAAGGAGCTCAAGGAGAAGGTAGAACAACGTTCATTGGAATTGAATGTCATCACGCTGACTACAACTTGCGGTAGATTGTGAATGACGATGTCTCGCATCTCTTACTTCTCAACCGCCGTAACCCGAACGTCGAATCAACCATCTTCGCCGCCGAGCTCGAGAAGTTCAAGCCATACCAGCAGAAGTTGTCTTCGAGCATGACCTCACAGCAAACTGCTATCGCTGAGGTCACTCAGCTGTGGCGCGGTCTCCGCGATCTCGCCGGCCGAGGTGAAGGCGCGCGACGTTGGGAGGAGCGCGAACGTCGTAAAGCTGATGCGACGCGTCGTTTCCAACGCGCTCGCGACGGATACATGGAGGCACGTGACGGCGCCGCGAAGGGACTGCAGTTCTACTCGGAGCTCAGCGCTCTGGCGGAATCGTTGCGCGACGCTGTGAAGAGCTTTGTCGCCGAGCGAATGAGGGAGCGTCAGTCTATGATTGGGCAGGCCGAGGCGAAACAGAGGTTGAGCGAACCTCCTCCCAGGCCGCCGCCGCCGCCCTCAAGCGCCGCTTCGGGGCTGGAAAGATCATTTGGGAGCATGGGTTTAGGTAACAGCGCATCGCCTCCTCCAGCGAATTGGGGTTCTCCGAGCACGCCGGGTCTTCCGCCACCGCCACCGCGCCCGGTGCAACCAACGTACTCATCACCTAGCCAACCTCAATCCTCATATCCACCGCCCCCGGTACAGGGCCAGAGTCCATACCCGCCACCCCCGCCCACGCAGGCGCCGTATTCGCCACCTCCGAGCCAGCCGTCATACGGGCAAGCTCAGGCATATGGTCAGACGCCCTCCGCACCGCCGCCTCCGCCGCCTCAACAACGTGATCCGTACGCTGCACTTGGGAACATGAACTTCGCTTCTCCCACGCCGCCTCCGCCACCACCGTCTCAGCCACAACGACAGTCGACCTTCCCTCCGCCTCCGTCAACGCAGGGCAGTTACCCGCCTCCACCGCCTGGCCAGCAAAGCTACGGTCCGCCTCAGTCTTATGCTCCACCGCCCCAGCAGCAGCAGCAGCAACCACAGTATGGTGGGCAGCAGTCGCAGTACGGAGCGTATGGCGCGCCGGCACCGAGCAGACAAGAGTCGTCGCCATTCCCACCGCCTCCACCGCCTGTGGGATACGCTCAACCTCAGCAGCAGCAGCCGGCGTATGGTGCGTACGGGACGCCACCACCGCCAGCTCAGCAGGGTTATGGGCAGCCGCAGTATACGGGACAGACGCAGCAAGGACAGTACGGCGGATACAATCAGTATCAGCGATGATCAGTGTCGTGTTATGTAAGCATGAATCGCTCGAAGGGCTCCGTGGAAGATGTATGTAGTGCGCTCGTTGCTGTATTTCTTTCTCGTCATCACGACTGTACAGGTTTCATGGATTCTTCGTATCCGGCACCGAAATGCACATGACTTGCAGACTCCATAGCTTTCGAACAGGAAAGCCTCCCAATCCTCCCGGGGTTATAAGTGCCGCCAACTGCTATAACGCATCCTGGTACTGACGTAGTCAGACTCGACGTGCATGTACATCTCAGATCTCGGGCTCAGTTTGCGACGTGTAGTTTTTCCCTTCGATTCATAGTCCGATGTCATCAATAGATGGGATTGACAAAGCAACGACTTCTACAATATGCCGAGGCAGTAACACAGAGTTAGGTTGCACTGGATAATCATACGGATCACGGGCCTATGGTAGCATATCCCGAACGGCTTGCCGCCGCAACTTGGCCACAACCTGGCGAGCCAGACGATGGCAACATTATGCGGGAGCACCTAATAGAATAACGTCAGTCGGTATCAAGGCCAATCTCTCTTCTCTATCGCTCACCTGCCATAGCCGATGCCAGGAGGTCGGGTAATGAATTCCAGACCACTCGGGCATCATCCTGGATCGCTCGCGTAACCCTCGCTTGGCAAGAACCACAGAGTTCTTGTTTCAACCGCTGGATAAGAGCGTAGCGGTCGTCCTCGCCAACTGGGTACTGGCGCGGGGGTGCGAGACCTAACCTGACTATTTTGAATGTTTTTTCCAATGCCGGCCCACATACATCTTGCTTTTCGCACGGCGCGGACGCCGAGAACAGACCCATGGGCATGGGGATAGTCTTCAGGTGTGCTGGATTCAGTTTCAGGAGTTGCACGCCTCCTCGTTTCGCCAATATCTCACGACCGAGCGCGCAAGCCCAAAGAACATCGGGAGTGAGCAGCGTCGTCAACTCGAGTTTCAGGTCCGCAAGTGGCCAGCGGCAGCATCCGTACAAGGCTCGTGCAGCGATGGTGTTCATGACATGGTCGCGCGCGAGGACGTAGATGTCAAAACAGTGCTGGCGCTTCCATGGAGCGATTGGGAAGTCGGCTCTTGCATTAGGATCGGGGGTGCCACAGTATAGACTGCCACCGAATAGACTAACAGCCTGGTTGCGTTCCTGGAACACTTCAAGGGAAACGTCGTATAATTCCCTCAAAATGTTGTCCCCCTCTGCGCGCATAGCAGGTATGTCGTACTTTTCCCCAAGGCGGACGAGTACACAAAGCACCTCTAAGGTAACTTTTCGACTGGTTCTATCTCTGGATAGGCGTGAATAGTGTGATAGTGTACGCTGAGCATCTGCTCACCTCAACCCGTACATATCCTTCAGCATGCAGCGAACCTCCGATGGGTGGTCGCCGAATAGACGAACAAAGGGGCATCCGTCGACCTCCTCCCCAGTATGCGGAGGGCCACTAAACATTCCATCAAAGACTTCAGAGTGCTTGGATAGGACACTCTTGTGGACGCGGAAGAGGGTCGAACCCGAGCCGACAACGACGTTGCCGTCCGAGTACCAGAGAGCGCTGTCTCTGGTCATCTCATGGATGGGAGGACACGATTGATCGCTTTCGCCAGTGCGCCACTGCTTTTGACCTTCGTGCGAGACAGACGTAGTGTTCGTGAGGGACGTGTGATGCACAAAGTCAGACATACGAGGGAATGAAAGGTGAAGACAAGTGTCAAAGCCACCAGGCCGCCGCAAGTAGATATGGTTCCATGTCAACGAAAGGCTGATTGTGGCAGTCGCCCTTTCAGGACCCTTGTATCTGATAAGATCGTCGTACAAGACTATCGCCACGGGGACACCACGACAGTGATCCGAGACAAGGATAGTGCTGGCGTGAGGGAAGAACGGTCGTAAGTTACATAGGTCGATGATGATGATGGGTGATCAATTATGTCCCACGCCTTGGAATAAGCGCCACAGAGCAACTGACTCTATACCGTCGCCCTCTTTACCGTCATCACTCGTTCTTCCCCAAATGTGAACAAAGCGTTATCATTCTCACTCTTCGAGCTATCCAGTTCTGTGTCGGCATCAAGCCAGCCATGGGAACTCCCGAGAACAAGGCTTCGCCCCGAGTAGGAACAAGCACCTCCCGGCACAAAAGCCCGTCGCTCGGATGACACTCCGCAAATTACAATGGCACTCGCACCAGACCCCGTTACGCGCCACTTGAGGACCGGTCGGCTTCGTGGCCTGTGCGCACTGACCGACGACATCTTGCTCGACTTTGTTCTGACGAACGTCTCCGTCCGCGACGTACTTGCTCTTCGCGGGACATGCCGCACGCTATACGACCTCACACACCACCCTACCGTCTGGAAACGCATTCTACGCTCGTTTGGCGCTCCGTTGCCTCCTCTGCCACCAACCGCTCGGTTCTCTTTGGGTCGCCTGTCGTCGCTGGAGACAGAGCGCCTAGTCACTCGCGCGCTGTCCGCAGACGTCAACTGGCGTAGCGAAAGGCCGCGTGCTTGGCAGGTCTGGAAAGTGCCTCTCTTCTGGCAGGCGCTCAGCGTCAAACTGCTGCCGGGGGGACAGCATATGGTAGCCGCAGTCAAGCGAGCGCCGCATAGCTATGGGCTTCTTGTGGTCCAACTCGACCACCGACAGAAGACTGCCTATCCTATAGCTATGTTTCCCTCCGGGGCGGTGAAACCATACGCCCTTGAAGCCAAGTACATGGACTTCGAAGGCGAGCCGAGGATCATGATAAGCTACGTCAGTCGCGAATGCGCTCACCAAAGGGATAGAGAAGCTGGGTAATGTCCTTTGTCTGCTGAAATTGTACCGCGGGCTGACGCCTTCCTGTCAGTATTGACGTTCAAGACTTTTCTGATCGCCTCGATTTCGACTACCCAGTGCGGGTACGCTACGAACTCGTCGTTCTCCATTGCTCGCTCGATGTATTACAAAATGTCGAAGGCGCGTCACCAGGCACTCCGGAGTACATGGCGAAGATGATGGAGAACCCGACCGTCTTCAAAGTGACCACCATCGTCAGATCCAATAGCCCGTTTGATTTCATAGAACTTGACGTACGCATTGAACGTGAGACAGACACTATCACACAAGATCCCTGCGTCATATGGGTGCAGGGGGATACCGTTAAGTTGAAGAACCTCCACACCCGTGAGATATCCTCCTTCACGTGCGGGCCTGTGGAGAATAATCATGATGAGGTACGTCGAAACAACGGTCGCTCATTCAGTTGCTGACTATACTACGCAGCCCGTCGGTCATCGCCCCTTCCGCATACGAGCCATTCGTATGCTGCCACCTCAAGGAGAACTCCTTATAGTTCGCACCGCAGACGTCGCTGGTCTGGCGTTACAACTCTTCACTATCCCGTCTCCGGGCACAACGGTCACAAACGCTATGCCGCGACAGCAGCGTTTGCATACCGAAGATCAGGGCACTCCGGGACGGGTGCACGTTGAGATATCTATTTCCGCGCACAACCTTCCGCTTCCTCGCGACACAAGTCTCCTTGCAACGCTTGCTCCACATGCCGAGCCACCTCCACTCTACGTTTACACGATCTCCGAATCTCCGTGGGGTGCCACTATGTTCCGGCTATGGCCTCAGCGCGTACGCCTGGAATCCGCTCGCGACTTCTCGGACTCGCTCGATGTCGATGCCTTTGCTGCCGAGGTCGAAGGTGCCATGTACGATGCGGAAACGTCTTCAGATGAAGACGACGACCCCTTCTCCGAACCACGACAGCGACGCGGAGGTGCCCCGCGATCAAAGCAGCTTCTTCAAGATACGACCTTTCGCTACAGCGTGCGGCCAATCCTCAATAGCTATATCGTCCCCAACGCATTTACCCACGACTTCATCGCGCCCGCAACTGCGGATACTCCTGGGACACCAAGCGCGGAGATGAGCCAACGACTTCGTATCCTACCCGGCTGCGTCAGAGCACTACTCGTTGGCACAGACCCCGAAGATCGTTCGCTTGCTCCAAGACTTCTCAATCTTCACGCGTTCGCCGACATGCATCCCTCGGTGCGGCGGGAAGCACGTTGGCCTGACGATGTCCGCCGGGAAGAAGCTGCTGCTCGACGGCACGGATGGGTGAAAGGCACAGTGAAGGAGAGAGAGGGTCTCAATGCCATTGCGCCCCTTCTTTACGGTGTCGCAGACGTTCAAGAAGTCTTTGAGAAGGGTGTTGTCGCTGTCGGCTGGGACGACTGGGCGGCACGCATATGCATGATACCGCAATCTATGCCTACTACTGCATATCTACTTGAGTTCGCGCACACCCCACGTGAAGGTACGCGCTTACAACTTGATTTGGTGACCTTGAATTGTCGTTGACAACGGTGCAGATCCTTGTGGCCATCGCCTACCATTACCCGTGCCCTACGATTTCGCTACGGAGCTCAAGTTCAATACCAGTTCTCATATAGACGCCGAGTCGGGATCATCCATGGATTGGGAGCCTGAGAAGTAACAGAGTAGCCGATTTGGTGGTGGTGTTTGCTCTTCGCTAATCCTTCGCCCAATCCTGGCTCGCTTTGCTAACCCGAGTTGGCCGTGCACCATCGATGTTGTATATCTATATTACCATCTCATCATCCACCTCACGATCACGACCTGTTTCTGTTCTGTGCGAGTTTGAAACATTGATATCTGGCTGCAATGAAGCGCTGTCCTCGGTAGCAAACTTTGATGGCGGCTTCCCGGGCCGGGCCCGAGAAGGCGGTTTCGGCCGAATTTCACGCGATGGCCTGCTTTGCCGTCAACCGCCATCATCGTCTCTACCCCGACTGTCTGCGGCAAGTTACCTCCGATGGACGAGGTACAGGTTGGATATGGGGATACTGCGGAGGACAGGAATATACAAACCTATGCTAGGAACTTGGCTCGCGATCCAGCTGGTATGGTGAAGCGCTTTCGCCGTCTCCAAATGAAAGCACGGGGAATCCCCTCGGACACGAAGCGATCAGACACCCAATCAGATCAAGACTTCCACCTTTTCATCTTTACTATGTGTCTTGCCCTCGCTGAGCACACCGATGACGGCGATGGCACGGCGGTCTCGCTCATACACGCTGGTCTCATTGAGGCGTACATTAGCGTCATAACGGCACCGAGGTTCTTCGACTGGCCTGTGGTAAGCTGTCCTTGATGGACGTATGTTGAGAACTAGAGCGTCTGCTGATGTCCTCGTTGATATGCGACGTATTTTTCTAGGCGTGGCGCGCGAGAATCTACATGGCTATGCTTCTGGTGATGGAAGGCGCGCGGACTGACACCTCTGCCAGAGAAAGAGTCTTTAGTACGACAACTGGATTGTTTGGATCTCTCTGGACGCATCGTAGTTCCGTCAAGCTAGCAGATCGCGGGGTAATGCACCTGGGCGATATTGAGGACGATTCGACCTTTTTGCTCAGGTTAATTGATAAGTACTATATGCTCTACATGGAGTAGGTGCATTGTGTCCATGTCTGGTTCGACGAGAGCACTGAGAACGGCTACCCACAGGAGCGATAGAGTTCCAGGCATGGACACATATCTAAACCACGTACACCTTCTCACTTGGGTTCTCGCGCGCGAAGAGGATGAAGTCCCGAGTGATAGGTTTGAGATCAATGCCTTGCTTCCCTCTTCACTTCACGCTGCATGGGGCCCAAGTCTGTCTGAGATTCGAAAGGCCGAACTCAAGAACCGCTTGACGACGACAGAATACCTGGACATCCGAGATCGCTTCGTTGACGACTGCATCTTGGATGGCATTGGAGGCGAACGCTTCATCAAAGCATGCGAGATCGAACTCCGGAGTTTACTCGATCATAACAAGTGTGATTGTGAGAACCATGTCTACGATTCTCGCACAATCGGACTACACTTCATTACCGCGGAAAAGTTAATGCCCATGGTCTTCCAAAGAGACTTATTGGGCTTCTCCCTAGAAGTCATGAAGCAACTATTCGCGACTGAATTCGGCGCGCCTATGTGTACGAACCTCTGTCTGTTCTGCCATATGCTATCATAGTGAGTCTTCCTATTGTTCATATGCATTCTAAGCTCAACTCGCTCCAGCTACTATGATATGTATTCTGTCAATCATGGGGTTCGGGCAGCGGCTCCTCATCAGTACCCTGACATCGTCGACCTATACGTAGCCGGCGTCGAACTGACCGCTGGGGGTTGTAACGAGAGCGTCACACAAGGAGGTTCGTATATCCATCATGAAGTTCTCTTTGTGTAAAGACTGACAAAAGCTAGATCTCCAGGGCGCGTTGACCATGGGATTACGGAATGTCATGGACCGTATGCAGGAAGATCGCGATGCACAAGAAGGCGAGTCACCGAAGTACATGTCCCAGCTCAAGCGCCGTGCCAAACCCCTCTGGTATCCATCTCTGCGACGTCTTGAGCTCGCGCTTCCCATCCTGCAACGATACGAGCACGATCCTCCAACACCCGTAGCAGACTTGCTAGAGGGCTGGTCTCAATTTGGAGCCTTCATAGGATTGGACATTGACAAGGAACGCAAGAGACATGAGGGTGGAATGCAGGAACGTTGCTGGTGGCGTTGCTGTGCGCATCGAGGTGATTCCGACCCTGCGACTCGGACCTCGAAACTTCTTCAATGTGCAGGCTGTGGGCAGGCGCGGTATTGTAGCAAGGAATGTCAAAGGATGTGAGTACACCTAGACTCCTTTGAGACAATCCGGCTCACATCTTCTCAGCGACTGGAAGACGGGAGGACACAAGAGAGTGTGCCGACGGCTCAAGTAAACCGCATAATATGTAGCTCGCACGCGCTTGTTCGCATCAGGACTGACGAGATAATCATATTCTTGCTTTCTACTTCGATAATGAAGTTCATGATCTAACGAAATAACATGGCACGGTCCTTACGCATCTAGCAAGCGATTTACAGGCGCCAGTCTAGGTATCGCGTATGGCGAAACCCTAATCTAGGGGCTACTCCCTCCAGTGATCCGCCAGGTGCCCTCCGTGATGTGCTGAAGTTCGGACCGCGAAAGTCGGCGACGCGCTCGCAACTTCGATGCACACGTCGTCGTCGCTGCTTGCAGATCCTATCTTCATCCGTGCAGGCAACGTGCAGGGCCGCCGCTGCTAGACGCCGGATAGCATCAGCGCCTCCCGTAAACCTGAATGGTTGCGAATCGCCGCAGGCGCAACTTGAACCCCATTAATAGTGTATCACGAGCAGTCTGTTCGCTCACAACGTGTACGTACGTTCCCGCCCATTTCGGACATGCAAGTCGAGTGACTACCAGTCGGAGTGCAAAATGAAAGGATGAGCCTGAGCCGGAAGATGGACGTGGAGATTTCAAAGATGGCCTTCTGCGGGTAGCAGTGACGACCCTGCGCATACAGTAGCGGTACATGCAGGGCTGTCGAGATGCGGGGTTGCCGGATAGACATATGTAGCAACCGCATCTCCTTACAAGTATGGCCATCCCAACGTGGAAAGCCAGGCTTGTTCTCCGGCTGCAATCCGTGCAAGGGTCGCTCGACAGATATGAACGCCGCACACGAGTAGCCATCGGTATGACTCAATAGAACACGGCAGGCGGTACGCGTGCAAAGGGCCACACCTCCAGGAATGGACCTCCGTTCAATAGGATTCGCAAGGGATGAGAGCGCGTGGGACGGGCGTCAACACCCGAAGAACCTCGTCTTCGAGGGTGGTTTGGACGATATGACGGACGGATACGTCGCGGAAGAAGAAGAGTTCGAGCCTGAGCGTCTCCGCGGTGATTCTGTGCAGGAAGACGTTCGTTCAGAAGCCCAAGACAAGAACGACGCGAGACACGAAAGCGCGCGCTGTACACGCCGGTATGGGTATGCGCAACTCCGCGCATCTGTGCGCAAGCCGGCGACTCCAACGCCGATGGGCGGAAGTGAACTTGGCGGAGATCAATAGACCGGCGCCGATGCCGACCGTATTCGTTTCGTAGATTAGTATTCGAACGACAAGTTAAAACGCAAACAAAGACGCTCCACTGACTTCTTCTGAGTGTCCTTTCGCCATTGAGTCCGTGACGTGCCCGAGGCAGCATGCGTAGGGCCGCGTATTGATGCCCGCCTCTAGAAACGCATCGGCGCGGGAGAAGCAAGCAGGGTACACATCCTGTGCGAGCCAGAGAGCTCAGCGAGGTCGTCATCCATGAGCACTCGGACCGCAGTTCTCCAAGTCGGGGGACACACAACGGATCCAGATAGAGTACGGAGGCGAGCTAAACTGCGAGTGCGGGGTAGAGGCACGGCGAAGAATGAGATGCGAGAGATGAGAACGGAATCGAACCTGAGCGTGCGCGCGAACCTGAACCGGAGTGGCGCGCGACGCGTCGCGACCCTGAGGGATGTTCCCGGTCGAGTGTGCACGGGGCGGCGGCGCGGGGTTTCTTGCAGGGCTGTCTCGATGTGACTGGTACGGTCATATTTCAGGTTACATCGAGACGACGAGGATCGCGCCGAGCTCGAGGGCCTGGTACACAGGCTTGGCTCGACGCTAATGGGCATACGGAGAGACTTGTTCTCTGGATAAGATCGATAAGTCACTTCGCCGACAGACTGGACTCGCTCATGCAGAACTACCTTGGCTTTGCTCATGACCCGATGGTTGTCGATACGCCACGATTCAGGAAGCAGGGCTGGCTCGAACCAGTATGGAGGGGACGGGGCTCTGTATCCCTGAAGGATGGCAAAGGTATCGGTAATCGTCAAAGCGGCTTGAATATCCTCGCCACAAGAGATCTGAACATTGTCGAGCTCGAGGGGCGTCCACGGAAGTCCGCATGCAAGTATCTTGGTGTCCAGCGCGAGGACTGGAAGGCACGCCTAGCCAGGAGCGACTGCTGCAAAGACACGCCGAACTTCTCCTCTTGCAACAACAGCGCAAAGTCCAATGGTAAGGTAGCGTGCATGCATGTATCTGCTGTGACGGGGGCTGCAGTGTATACCCAGAAGGCACACCTACTTCTGGCGTGCGCGCTCAGTTGACGTTACCGTCAATGCTGACTGGCGTCGTCTGTCAGCAAGCCTGAAAGACAAATGTCAGGCTCTGGACCAGCCCTGCCGTTACTTTCTCCTGCGACGAGGGCTCTATCAAACCGCAGGTATCGGAAGGTCACGCCGCTTGTCCGACCAGGAGGTGCATGCTCGCGATGTCTCTGCAACCCTGCAAGTACAGTTCGTACCGGTCAGCAGTGCGAGTGCCATCAGGTCCTTGACATGGGTTCCGGGTCGGTATGAAGTTATCCCACTGGTGGAAACGTTCAGAAGGTAGCTGTGCGGCGCGCGCCATACGTCCTGAGGTTCACCCAAGTGTCCTCCTGCGGTGTCTTCGCGCACGGGGGAGTTGTAGGCTGAGGAGCCAGGTTCGTCGCAAGCATCTGGTTGGGTAAATGAACATGCACTCCGTCTCATGCATCACAGATGGTCGCCGTCGAGGACAAACCCGAGGACAAGGTCATCGGCGCCGCGTCTCAACGCGTCTCGCTTGGCCCTCCGGGACCTTTCCAGTAGGGTTTTCTTTTCTACTATACTTTCTATCCCTGATCTCACTCACAGATAGCTGCATACGCTGCTGTCAAGGCCTCTCTTGGGTTCCTGCGGCTCCTACGGCTTCGACGGTGAAGCGTCTATGGTGGTCGCTCTACGCACTCGCGCTTGATCAGTTCGGTCTTCTTCTTGCCCCCCGAGCGTCCTCCACGGCAACATCGGCAACTGCCCTACATCCGGATATCCTCCTCAACGACCACTTCCACCGGCTCCAACCCTTACCCTCTTCCGTGTTTGGACCGCGAGAACTTCGCGGCTTGTCGCCTGGAAACTTTGTTCATGAACGCGCTCGCGCACCGTGTGCGTGTCAGAGCCGCGATTGGCAGCTCCCAGCAGGACCCTGCATACATGAGCCCATGATCTTTCCTCGGCGGGGCTCCGCGCGGGAGCCTTGAGAACAGCAGAGCGGTAGCGGAAGAATATCTTCGGATGTCCCCTTGCACGCTGGCAAACACATCTGCCTTCACAGTCATCGGCGAGCTCGTCGCGTTTCGACCTTCGCCAATAGGCTTACACGGTTGCTTCGTCTGGGTTGTATGTACGTGTAACTGGTCGACGATGGAAGAAGGTTACAATATATTATGTCTTCGGGCTTGCCGCAAGCTGAAGACCCTGCCTCTTCCTGCGCCGATCGCCACTCTAGGGCCTTCTTCGCCCCGCGGCCGTGTCGGCCGCCTTATCCTGAGTCTATTTTATCGATCCTCCAAACCTCCGCAGGAAGGGACATTGCTCTTTTGTGGTCGGCGACTTGCTGGGCGTCAAAAGTGCGAACCTCAAGCCACGACGGCGCCAAACTGTCAAAGCAGCACGCGTGCATGCCGTTAGAGACGAGTGAGGCGCCGTTCACCCCCACTGTGGCCGACGTACGACATTGAGATGGGCTGGGCGTTGGGCAGCGTACGACGCGCAGACGTTTCTTGTGGGCTCATGACACGCAGGGTCCAGCGGGGCAGCTGGGCGGCGTGATATAATCATACGGCCGCCTGATCGTTGCGCAAAGAAAGCTTTCCATGAGTTGTCGTCAGACGACCGCGGCTGTCTCAGACACGTCTCAAATAGTATTGTAGTAGCGGATGTGCCTTCGTAGAGAGAGATGAAGATGCGAACTGCGATGCTAGTGTGTGTGTACGTGTGTGATGCTGAGCGTGTGTGGAAGGTGTGGACATGAGCGCGTCATGGAGAAGAAGATACCAACATCCGGCGGCGCGGCGCGGAAGTTCTGTGATGGGATAGAAGATCGGGCGGAGCGTGCACTCAGGGTCCAACGGAGGGAGCGGATTGCGGTAAACTAGCGAGCAGGGCCGCTCAGCGGTCCTGCGCAGGGCAGTCGAGAATGGTTATACGGATAATGGACTATGTAATGGGCGAGAAGCGAAGGTAAATGCGCCGAGAGTATGGGACAAGAAAGGGTCAGGACGGAGTGAGAGAAGGGAAGGATCGAGGCGGGAGGAGGAGAAGGGACGTGCCGAGAGGGCGGACCCTGGATGGGCACGGCACAGGTAAATTGATAAGTCTGAGTGCATAAAGCTCGGAGGTGGACGAGGTCATGATGGCGTCTGTGTTGGCACCCCAGGAAGTATGGCCGTCGACATGGCCCTGCGCTTGCGCCGGAGTGTGCCCATCACTCCTTCACTCAAGCGACGATGTCCGCGCCGTGCCGTGGTCATGAACCTGGACGCGCTGAGCACGATCCAGAGCTTCCTCGACCGCCAGACCCTGCTCGCCTGCATGATGACCTCCAAGGATCTCTATCACTCTGGCGTCCGCTTCCTGCTTCGATTTGACACCTCTCTCACGACAGACGCCCACGTCCAGTCCTTTGCCGCTTTCGTCGCCCGCGACAGGCGCACCCGGCTGCACCTCCTCCGACATTTCTCTTTGGAGATCAGCGACACCACCTCGTCTGCCGTACCGTTGGCGAAGGATTTGCTACTCGATGTGCTCAGTTATTCACCATTATTGGAGAAGCTCGTCATCGAGGGATTTACATCCTCGCTCGGGGATGATACCACCGTCGTTCGGTTGATCACCCACCTCCGGCATCTCAAGGAACTCCACATCCTCGTTTCGCGCGATACCGCACCGGCGCTACTGTCAGACCTGTCCGCGCCCGTCGCAAAGCTCGACATTCACGTGCTCGACGACCTGGGTGACCCATGGGAGGCGATGCCAATGGTCACCCGCTTCACGCGTTCGCTCGAAGAGCTTTGCCTGTCAGCGCTCGTGACCCTGACTTCCCTGCCCAACCATGCCGTCTTCCCGCGCATGCATCGCCTATCACTCAACGGCGCCTACTTCCGTCACGTCGCACCCCTTCTATTCGCATTCCCCAATCTCAACGAGCTATACGTCGCATACGCCCATCTGCACCAGCACGAGATCGAAGATACGCGAGCGTCGAACATTGCTGCACAGGCTGTTAGGCGCTGGGAGAAGCTTGATGACCTGTCGGGCGTTCTCCGCGCGCTATATGTCGCAGCTATAGACGCGGACGTTCACAGGATGAGCATACAACTCGTCGACTGCCTGGAGACGGACATCATGCGCCTAAATGCCGTACTTGAACCCACGCGCCCGCGTGTGCTCAACCTGGATTTCTTGCTGCGTTTGGTACGCGAGTTGCCAAACATGATTCCGGAGGAGGCGGGCAAGAACTTGCAGGCGTTGAGGTTGTGCATCAATATGGCAGCGTGCACGCCGGATATGTGCGCCGAGAGCATACTGGTGTGTAACATCATTCCTTTGCGAAGTCCTTCGTGCTGATATGATGCAGGACGGCATCTATGGCCTACTCGCCCCCTTCTCCTCGCTCACGCATCTCACTGTCCGCCTCTTCTGCCCCGACTGGAGCACGGACTCGCGTGAAGCATATCGCGACCGTGTCGCTGCATTCCGTGGTATGGAGATACACTCAATTGCGGAGCGCGTTGTGGAAGAAGTCCCGAACCTAAGGTAGATCGTCATTTACCCTGGCCTCGATGCGAGCGAAGATCCTGACCGGAATGGAAACATAGGCATCTGATGCTGGACATCTGCCCTGGCGCGACGCTCACGCAGACCGACGGCCCGCAGCTCTCATCAGGCCGTGCGGCAGAGTATTGGGAGTGCCGAGAGGGCCAGGTCGCGCTTGGCGAGTGGGCCGAGGGCGAACGACTCATGACGGATGTCGGGTTATAGCCTCACACCCGCATCGACCGCACAAAACGAAAACGAGTTACGACTGATACCCCATCAAGCATAAAACACAAGGGATCCTGGACTGCTCTCATCCTCACCTTCATCTTCGAACTCGGCTCGCGAACACTTGCTCTATGTGTGAACCTTATTCACCTCTGCTTCGCTGTTCGATATGCCTCTATCTTTGACGTTCATGACTCGGTTTCATCCCACTGTACATCGGTCCCAGCAACCATACACCCAGATTGATACAAACCAATCCCCATGTAGTTCTTACATCTTACAATCCCACCCACGCACTGTAATACCAGCACACGCCGCATCCCTCGACGCATGCTCGCATATCGCCGCGGGCGAATACTACTACCTCTTGTTGCTTATATCATGAGTTCATATACTCGCTACATCTTGTCCCATAAGCGGGCCTTGCTAGAACGCGAGACCTGGGCGTTTCAGTATACGCATCGAGGAACAGAGAAGCTCATGTTCGTGTAGTGCCGTGTGCGTGTCGCGTCGAGGTCATCACCCATTCGAAGTCGAAGTCGATCATCAACCGCGTTTTGACATCCACCTACGAGGTCCCCTCACTAAGTTAGCCAACGACCACTGGGCACATCATGTCCTACGTTCCCGTAGAAGCTGACGATGTACGTATGTGTCGTAGTCATATAAAACCAATGCGCCATATTTATGTTGTTAGCACGTCGAGGAGGGACGGCCTGAACTCGAGTTCAAGAGTGCGTTGCTCGCCCTCTTTGTGCTCTGCCGTATTCAGACACTGATAATTTCATCATGTAGACTTCGACGATCTACCCGCACCTCGCAGTGGTGCGGCATCACGGCCAGGTCTGTACTATTGCGAACTATATCCCGCACACGCTGACCGTTCATGGAACCCTCCTGCAGGCTTCATCTCAGATGCACCCTCCCGCGCATCACCCTGGGCCCTCGAATACTATCAGCCACTTTTCGACGTCTCTACGCGTACCGTCATAACAAGATGCATAACAACCCTCAATCCCCTCTCGCCATACTACACAACCCTCCACCTCTCACCCCAACCCGATCTGTACGGCCCATTCTGGACGCTGACAACCTTGATCTTCTTCTTGTTCGTTACCTCGTCCCTGGCGAGCAGTGTCGCGAGCTACCTCAGCGACTCGCCCATCACATATGATTTCGAGCTACTCAGTGTGGCTGTGGGCGTGGTCTACGCCTACGGATTAGCAGTACCGGCAGCACTGTGGGGTATCTTGAGGTGGTGGGGAGTCGTTGCGCCAGGCGGTGAAGGATGGGGACTTGTTGAGGCATGGGCGTGCTGGGGATATGCCATGTTCGTCTGGATACCCGTTTCGGTGCGTTCGATTCCTTCCAGATTCTAGCGTCCGCGCAAGATGTTGATGAGTCGCGAACAGATACTCTGCATCATACCCAGCGCCATCGTTCGCTGGGTCCTTGTTGGCATCGCCTTCGGACTTAGCGGCTACTTCCTCGTCGCGAACGTATACCCCATCCTCGCATCCGTACGTTGACCGCAGTATCACTCGTTTGCCCTAGCTAACATCCGATCCTGCCTAGTCGGACCACAAATACGCTCGCGCGTTGATCGTGCTCGTCGCGGTCCTGCATGCCGCCCTTGCCCTCGTCTTCAAGGTCGAGTTCTTCGCGTACTACGTTGTCAAGAATATCGGGCCGGAGGATCCGACGGGAGAAGCGCCCGCCTTGAGTTTTTGACTGAAAAGCGAGTGGCGACTTTCTGTTCTTCTCTCAAGCAGTCACCAACGTGTATAATCGATAATGGATAACGTATTATTTTCTTCCCGCTATGTGTGACCTGAGAACGTGCCGGGCTCACAACTCCGCGCCACGGAGAGTTGACCAACATCCCACGTCCATACGAGACCGATCCAGCGGTGCTTCAGCCCATCGACATTGAAATGCGAGGCGACGTCTGTGGTGCTCGCTGTGCATGCCGAACTCTCCGCCGAATGCCGCCGCCTATACTGCGTGCGCGCTGGTCTGGGAACCGGCTAAGTATAGCACGGCACAGGAAGCCACAGTGGCAAAGCCGTACGATTTCATCACCTACTGTATCGGACAACGATACAATGATACTGTCATGACGAGGGCGTTCATCGCCGCTCAAAGAGGACATGTGCTTTTCCCTGTGCGACATGCTATGACCGCCCGAGCTGAATATGGGCACGGTTCTCCCGCATAACCTTCTCGGCACGTCGCAAACCGACTTTGACAGTTACAGTACCGCCGGCTATTGTGACTGCGGCGTTCCTAGTCTCGCCGTTTCTCGGCGTATTGGTCGTGTACAGGCGCTGCAGGGTCTGCATCTTCCACCTGGCGCGAAGGACAGAAGTAGTTCTGGCGCGGGTCGTCTCAGGCCTGTTAGGCCGTCTGGGAAGTATGTGGAGTAACTCTAAGCCGTCCTCTGTACACGGTTGCATTCTTCGCTCAGTACCCTGACAGGGACGCGCATGTGCAGAATGAGGCATGTCCGGCATGTGTCATTACGGACGTGGCCGGGGGAGGCGCTATTCTCGAATCCAGATACAGGAAACTGCGCATCCGGGTAACCCGTGCTGATAGGCTCGCGTACATTCATCCAAGCCTCTCGACATGCCCTCAAGCTCATACCGAGCGGCTTCCGAGCAGTCAGTAAGGAATGAAAGCTACATTGCCAATGCGGTCGTTCTCGAGATCTCACGCCACCACTACGTGTGCGGTTTCGAGGGTCGACGACCTTCATCTCAGAGCCGGCTTCTTCCCATTTCGTACCGCAGCGTGCTTGCCTCGCGAGCTTTCTCAAGCGTAACCCTGCAGGAATGCATCCAGGGCATCACCCTGCGGTCTAGCGAAGAGAGCGAAAGGCGCACACCGCGCATCTCGCGCGTTTTCCATGCTCCGACTATTACACGCGCGACATCCTACTTCAACCGTCGACACAGTTTCTTGTGTCCTCCTTCTTTCCAATCGCTAAAGGTGTTCAGTTTCATGTCACAAAGACCTGCAAGAAAGGTACTCACAGTCTCTGGCACTCCCTACTACAGTATCGCGCCTCACCGCATCCCGCACATTTGCGGAGATCAAGCGCTCCGTCGCTGGGTTTCCGACACTTATGCCAGTTGCAATGGTCTTGTTTGCCGCGTTCATATCGTTTGCGCTCCTCGGCGGCATCAAGGCCAATGAAGGCTCCAAATTTGGCCCAGCACTCAATCACGTCTGAGACTGGGGCATATCCATTGAGCTCTTTCTCCTCGATTTTAGGCGCGGCGACTGTCAATCGTTGAAGTGATGGGTACCACCCCGAAGGTGATGCTGCGCGAAGCCTCAGGGAGGCAACGTACTCTGGTAGCTGCCCTCTACACTCGATGGTATCCCTCTCAATTTGTCGCATGACCATCCCTGTTATCTCCACCAACACCACGTGCAAGTCTACCACACGCAGTGAATACTATGCACATCCAATAATGAATACGTCACGTACCACCACGTGAGACATATGAGCTGCATCCTCCGGCAGCAAGCTCTACTCCGGCAACAAGAAGATCGATGAAATCGGGGTATTGAAAGGGCATGGCCGCCTTGAGCCCGGACAGCAGATGGTACGCATAGTAGTGGCTGGGGAGAACTGAGTGAATAGGATCATGACCATGATCAAAGGACATACATAACCAATTGAAAGCAGAATAAACAGAGGTTGGTGCACATAGGAGGATAGAACCCTGTCGCAAATAAGTTCCTTAAGATATCCAATGCGTAACCAAGTAGATCCCGTTTGTGAAGCGTGGGTAAAAACATGTTGGCACCAAGCACATGACGGGCGAGTACCCTGAGGTCTGCGATATGGGACTCGCATTGACAGTCCGTATGTGAGAGAAGGTCTCGTAGATCGGCTTCGCAAGCGTCTATCACGCGGTTGACCCCGATGACATCGAGTATGCACTCCCGGAAAAACCGATCCCGAACGTCGTAAAGGCTGGGATCCTCCAGCACGTCCACAAAACTGGATACTCTATCCTCAACTTCCTTCATCGCGGTAAGGTCAGAACCCCGTGCGGAGTACAGGGAGGTTGTCCATAGAGGGTTCAAGGGAATATTTGGTATACTCCCATCTTCGCGCGACAAAATCCAGATTAAGAAATGAACGTGGTGAATATGAGTATCATGATCTGGAGATCGATTGCGTCTACATAGAAGAGCCCTGTGAGGGATGTAATTCAACGGAGAAGGACCAAGGTACATACACTCTGTAGATATCGTAGTAGGCATCGACAACGGTTGCCAACATCGTCGTGTCGTCAATGGTACTCTGATGTTGCGCCCCAGGGTCTGACAATTTGATAGTGGTCCTAAGACTCCATAGGTGACCGAAGAAATCGCCAGTGGTGCCATATATCCGCTCTTGAGCAGCGGGATCGGTTTGCGCGAACGTAACGACGACGGCAAGAATTTCGAGAACCACAGCACGCCATTGCTATAAGCATAACGGTGAGGGGAGGATATGATTGTATAATTAGGCCTGCAAGCCTACCACATCCCACGTCCAAAAGTGCTTGTCCTTGACAAGGTCGATGTACGTCTCGATGACTCCCACTTCTACGAAACGAATCGCCCGCTTATTATTCTCGCTGATTGTGTGTTTTATGGCTTGACCAAGATCCCAGAGAAAGCGAGAGAATGGAGTTGGTTTATCTAAACATGGTGGATCTCCACTGGCCTCCGCCCGAAGCCGGCGAAGTCGACCCAAAACAGCAATAGCGTCACGAGCTAGCTCTCGTTCCAGAATCCGCGGACTAGCCTTATCGAGAGGGGTCGAGATCCATATTGATAGCAGTTCACGTAGAGATGGCATGTGTGCAGGAAATATTCGTGTCGTACTGCACACCGTCAAACGGTCCTGCACGATGGCGGTCGGGCTCAAGCTACATCGCAGTGACGCGCGTTTGTACTAGGTGGGAATGTTTGGCCACGTGGAGATGCTGCGCACGTGAATAGATGGCCAGGCACGGTTTTTACCCTCTGGGAGGCATGTCCGCCCTTTCTTATAGAGTATAGCGGACGGTGATACATCCTTGATCGGTGCAGAAAGGGGATCGAAACCGGAAAATGTTGCACAGTAACATAAACAATCGACAGAACTACAAAGCAACGACATAGCAAGAAATAGCAAGATTGACCACACGCTGCAACCGCAAGAAGAATTCACTTTGTGAGCCCATGCTCAACAACGATGCCTAGCTCCTCCATCGCCGCACGGCCCCTGTCCTCCCAGAACTTGAACGCGCCTTCATCTTCAAACCACATCTTCGCTGCTTCAGCAACCTTCTCTACCTCGATCCCCGCAACAGCCTCGTTGCCATCCATGGCGTTACCCGGGACCTCGTGCTTCCCGTCAGGCCACAACCCTCCAGCCCGTATCCATCCCGCGACATTGCTTTCGTCCTTGAGCGTATGCAGTACACCAACGACGGCCAGGAGAGTAGGGTCCATCCGCGACCCATCATCCTCGGGTGGTGGCGCCTCTAATGCACGTTGAGCTCTCTTGCGTGCCTTGCGCTCACGGCGCTTAAGAAGGCGAGCCTCACCGGCTTGTTCGGCCGTCAACGGACCTATCGGCGCGTCCGCTTCAGGAACGGGAGGTGAAGAGTCTGGTGCGGCATCGGAGCTGGGTGCAACGTCGGGATGTGGTGTAGCAGCGAGGGCGGCAGCATGTTCAGCGCGGGCTCTCTCCGCGGTGAGGATCGCCAGGTCGGCGTTGCGAAGAGTCTGTGTGTAGTCCGGGATGCAGAGGTGGTTCCATGGTTGTAAGACGGCTTTCTTGGGCGAGTCGTCGAGCAGAAGCGTGGTCAGCGCCGAGTGGACCGCAGAAGACTGCGGCGCATCGGACGCGATGGAAAGCTGGGAGGACGGCGGTAACGTGGGAGATGACGTAGGATCACGCTCTGTAGGTGCAACGGAGGATTGTCTGGAATGGGATAACACGGGCTCTTGAAGTTCCACTGAGTCCACGGCGCTCGAAGGATTGAGGATGGCGGGTAATTCGGACCAGGGTTTCCGCAAGTCCTTGACCGTCTGGACCTTCTTGTCTATGGACGACTCGTTAGTTCACTCGAAAAAGGACGCGAGATGATATGTTACTAACGGTAATGATCTTGGCTGAGTCCCAGCGTATCCCTAGCCCAGATCGCGACGAGGTCCTTCTTGTGCCTCCCAAACGCCTTGTCCACCATATCATTCACGCTGTAAGGTTGCGCGCTACTCCACACCATCACGTCCAGCCATTCCTTCGTCTGGGGATGGAAGAGAAATTCGCAGAAGGAACCCATGTACGGCCGCGGATTGACGGTTCGTACAGGTTGTGGGCCGGGTCCCGGTTTGCGTGCCGAGCGGATGACCAGGGATCCATTGAGATCAAGAACGAGCAGCTTGCGAGGTGCGGAGAGGGTACAAGTTGATGGCTCAGAGGAGAGCTCGATGTAAGAGGGCGTCGGACTACCCGGAGGCTCGGGCTCTATAGTTGGCGAGCGATGTCGGCCGCGAATACTGCGCGAAGGAGGGACTTGAGAATGAGGACGTTTGCCGTTGTGATTCTCTTCCCTGTTGTGGTACGCGAGGTTCGGTGGAAAGGGCGGCCTAGCATGCGGCGGGAGGGGTGGCATGGGAAGTGGCGCATGTGAGTATTCGGGGTACTCGCTCGATGCACCTCGTCCCGAATAAGAATGATAGTCATGGTTATTGTAGCCTGCTTGCTCATGACCACCATTTTCATGATATCTATCTGATCCGTAGTTTCTTTCGTGATGCCGGTAATCAGATCTGTAGTCGTGCATTGCATTGGCAGGCTCAGAATAGCCGTAGCGCCAAGAACCATAGCTGGGGCCAGAATGCCACTCAGAATGACCGTAGTAAGTTTGGGCATGGTTGTCATATTCCCATGAGCGCGAGCGGTCATTCGGGTGCTGCGCGGGATAATCAGACTGTCTCGTAGCGCTGCGTGACTGTCGTCGTGGGGGTGCCACAGGGTTGTAACCGGGAGGAAACGCCATCTTATTTCGGCCAAGGCAAAGCAACAGTGATCTACGATTGATCATCGGTACCCACTTGGGACGTGGTTGCGACCGCTCGCGCGCGCGGCAACGCACCTATTGTTCGCGACGTCGACGATGGAAGGGCGGACCGAGCAGACCGTGGCGAACGTCGGAGGCAAGAGCCAGAAACGCGCCTCGTCCGACGCGTCGCGGACCTTCACGCGTCGAGAGCGCGTCGTCGCGCACCATCATGTCCAGGCCACACCCTTATTATGCCAACCAGCCCCAACGACGGACTATAAGGGTGCTCGCGGCCGGCACACTTTTTCTAACACATTCACTGGCAGTACAGTCACACCCTGCACCATCAACGACCGTACGAGCACAAACATATGTCAAGTCACGAAATGGTTCTGCCACGAATATTCTGGCGATGTTGGCCCAGCTGAAGAGCGTCGGCGTTGATGGATGCTGGCTGGTCGCTAGTTTGGGTGGAAATGATGAGGGGTCGAGTATAGTGAGGGAGCTCGAGAAGGCAGGCGTCAGTACACGGTACTCCAAGGTTTGGGACGGATTCGGCGTCCCTGCCGCCTGGGTCCTGCATGCCGGTGAGTGATAGCTCGGCTCATGCAGATTTGTGATAATAATAGTCCAAGTGAGTGCTTGTCGCGTTGTCCATCAGACATCACACCCACACTGTTCTTACTTTTGATGTTCAGACAGCTAACGCCTTGCACCAGGCGATACGGACTCGCAGACGGTCATCAACCACAATCCACTACCCGATATCACACATGAAGAGTTCATCGCTGCGCTCGGACCTGTTCTTGCACCCGAGAACTATCCTCCAGAAATGGACGGTACTGGTTCACCAGAAGCTCCTCGACCCAGTCTATCCTCGCAACAGCCGCCTCGATCACCGCGATCTCTGGCACCATTTGACTGGATGCACTTTGAGGGACGTAGTGTCAAGACAACATTAAGCAACATCGTTGGCTTAGACGGGTTGGCAAAGGAACGCCACTGGCGCTCACAGTGCGTCTTCTCAGTTGACGTGGGACGACGTGCCAGACAAGGCATCGAAGCGGTGCGTCCCGTGGTCTTGGTTCAAATCCCTTTGATTTACTTGCCGATCTGATGTCGATATGCAGCTTATTCCACATGCGGATGTGCTATTCCTGAATCGACATTACGCCCAGACGCACTCTCCAGCCTACGCCCGCACACCACGCGCCTTCCTCCTCTCGCTCGCCACGCTAGCCCCGCCGCATGCTTTATTAGTTGCCTACTGGGGTGAAGACGGCGCGGCCGTCTTATCTGTACCAACTCGGGAATACTATCAGAGCTCAGGCTGGGTTGATGACGCGCCATACATGCCGCAGCCCTTACCCGGCGACATTGAAGACGTCGAAAGCGTGAAGAGTGTGCGATCTGGGAGCGACTTTTGGGCGGGCCGGCGAGCCAGTCAAGCAACCAGCAGCAGCGCATTCTTCAGTGCAGGCGTCGCGAGCCCTACGCCAGGCCCGCACATGCGTTCTCTGCCCTCAGACGATTCCCACGCTACTCCTGCTCGACGACGAAACGGCAAGGGAAAGCAGCGCGCGCACGATGATGGCGATGATTCCGACGATAGTCAAGGCACCGAGATCGGCGCCGCACCTTCTTCCATGCCACCACAACCGAAGAAGGCCGAAGTCCTGGACGATGTTGGTGCACAGGACGCTTTCGTTGCGGGCATGATGTATGCGCTCAGTCGCCGGCTTGTCCCGGGTGCTCCATACGCGCCCGGTCTCGCTAGTCATTCACCTCCGAATTCTCAAGATGGCGGAAGATGGAGACTCGATGAGTGTCTGCGGTTTGCTACCGAGTTGGCTGGACGGAAAGCGCGGATGCGAGGCTGGGATGGATTGGGAGAGGAGATGAGCAGGGCGGGTTGGTTTGAGTCTTGATATCAACTCTCGTATCCTTTCTTTGTTGTTCTTAGTCGTATACCCGGGCAGAGTGCTACTTTTCTCCTAGTCTATACATTTGCTTCATCAAGTTTCATGAGCTGTAGTGATAATACTGGATGGTATTGAGTGTCTATCCTACGACACACGCTTGTGAAATGAGACAGTAGTTTTTTCGCCGACGCGCGTCCATATTGGCCAGGTCGACATTTTCTTTTTCGCTATGACCTCCAACGGCACGCCTGCCCTTTCCCGACTCTCCATGAGGTCCATGAGTGATACATCAAGCTCAAGCCTGCTCCATTCCCCAGCGTCTGCGCGCTTTCTCGGTCCCTCGTGGATGACGATGGTCTGCAGTTGAGGAAACAGGGACATCCCGCCGTCAACTCCTGTACGTGCCAGGGCCTCCAACAGAGGAAGTGCGTGTTTGAGTGATATGGAGAGGCGCTTGACCGTGACAGCCGTCGAGAACGATTGCATCCAAGCGTCGGCCGATGAGAATCGCTTCTGGAGATCGGAGGTGAAGCGGACGGACGTTAAGTCTATCATTGGCAGTCTATGCACATGCGTATGAACCTCCGCAGACCACGTCAAAATGGTCCTCTTGCGAGCGGATGACTGCAAGGGCGCGGACTGCGGCATAGTGATGTTTGGGTCATCATCGGGGTACAACACTATAACAGATTTGTCATTCAACAAGAGCTCCTTGGGATTGCTACCACCGTCCAGAAGCTGGAGTACGGGGTCGAGAAAGTGCCATCCCTCGTCATCCCAGGAGTCGTACTCGTCCAACATAATCTTCAGATCGACTGTAGAAGCGACCGGGAAGACGAACGACTCCCAAAAGTCCGCGTTCAAGTCTTCGTACACGGTGCCGCAGTCGACCTTGATCTTCAGATGGCGAAAGCGGTTGGACAGAGTGAGCGGCTCGAGTTGTCTTTGATCGGGTGGGCAGGGCCGAGGATAAAAGTTCTGTAGAACAAGATGTTCCAGGCCCGGTAGTGAGACTAGTACCGCACGGAACTCTGCCATGTCCGGTAGGAACAATGCGTCCTCGGCGACCCACGTGGCTGAGAGCGTCAGGCTCGTGATCGGCGAGGAGAACAAGACAGAGTCCCACTGAGGGACACAGTCTTGGAAGAGAACATCGGTGAGATGAGGATAGTTCCCGGGGAAAACTGTCTCGGGAAGTCGGACCACATCCTCGTCTCCGTCCTCAAGTTCAAGTTTCAATCTGCGAAGAATTGGCATCGGGTGCGCCATGAGGGTAAACCAGGTTTTGAAGTCTTCTGCAGGTACTTCTTCGACCCGAAGGATGGAAGTACGCCGCAAGAGATATGGGCAGAGCCAACCACGCAAAGCCGACTGAGTAGTTTGCGTATCGGCGGGCCAGTCATTGATAACGAGTTCAAGAGGTTGATTTCTTGATCGACAGATGATTTCGCTCGCAAGAAGTGGCGGTATGCCCAAGCATGGAAGACATTGCCATAAACGAGCAGTGCTCAAGCCAACCTGCACATCGTGTGACACACTTCATCAGTACTATACTTATATTCAGATGATACTGGAAGCACACCTGGCGCCACGAGTGACAGACATGTGTCACGAATATCCATCCAAGGTCATATGAGTACTCAAAAAGCTCCTTCTCTCCATCTTCGTCAGAGTCGTCAGAGTCTGATTTATTGGATTTTATCGCCACTGGCTGCCAATTCTCTTGCGCAAGCTCGAAGATCACGGATAGTACCTCCGCCGGCAGAGCACCCACAGGAGAGAGCTTATTCCTAGCCTGTCTCATGACGACTTCAAACTCTTTGAGGACGTCGAGTTCATGGTCCGCTGCGACCAATCTGGCAGCACGCCCTTGGGTACCCAGTGTTTTAGGTCCGCCGAATAATCCCTCGCATCGTATTCGAACGAAGGACTCCCAAGCCTCCCTAAACGCTAGGTGTCAGATGATAGGGAAAGCCATTACGAAGTGCCTGTACCTGGATCTGGACATGGTGAGCGTAGGAGCTAAGCTTAGATGCGTAAAGAGTAAACATGGATTGCCGTGACGCGGCTCGGGGTCACGTCGCGCGGCGGCAAGCCCGCGCAGCGTCGCCTTTCTGTTCCTCCCATGACCGATACCTACTCTCAGTCACCTTCTGTCCTTCCGCATGATGTGATTTGATGCAGATACAACGCTGTCACCACTGTCTGGTAAAGCGGAGCACTGGTGCAGTCACTGGGATGACCAATGAGCGTGTGACGCCACGCGAAGACGCCGTGTGCGGACGCCTCTCCGTCGGTCAAAGCGCCGATTTGCGAGCTCTTTCACTGACGGTCATCGTCGGCCCGCGTATCATGTCCATCGAGCACAAAGATCGTCATGTAGCGGTCACTCCATCCCCTCTGTCCAAGGTCTACGACTTCGGATTTGTCCCTGTCCCAAGTAGACTGCACTACGATCCTACCCGTCCCGCGAAATTTGGGCTATTTCTGAATGTCATATTCGGCGTTGTCAGTGCAGTCGGTAAGATCACGATGGTGAGGACGCTTCTAGCACTCATACGCGCACCGTCAGCCACCGCCAACTTGTATTACAACCAGCCGCTTCTGAGTACGCCTATCAGATGTTACGCATACGCCCCGCGCGACTAACTTCGAGCGTAGTTGAACTCTCGCAATCCTTTGGTGTCTCATACCACTCTATCTCCAAGTATGTACTCGGCGATCAATAATCATGACCCCGGTACTCAGATACCTGATAGAGTACCCACGCTTGTACAGGGAGGGTACGTGTTTCGTCTTGACCTTGACTGAGAAGAAATGGGCTTATATATCGTCCTAGGTACGGGGCAGGCTTGCTTCTATTAGCGCCAATGGGCGACCTGACCCGTCGGAGGCCACTCGTTCTGGCACCCCTTCTCATAGGCGCCGCACTGACCGTAGGCTTGGCGGTGACACGCTCGCTCATTGTCTTCGAAGTTCTATCCTTTCTTGTCGGCATGTTCAGCATAGCATCGAACTCTCTTATCCCTCTGGCGGCGGACTTGGCACCTCCTGAACGGCGGGCCACGGCAATTTCCATTGCGTTCTCAGGCAACCTAGTAGGAATACTCCTCGCCCGTGTGGTCGCAGGTATCATCGCCCAATACGTGTCGTGGCGGGTCGTCTACTACGTTGCTGTTGGGGCACAGGTCTTCTGCCTCATCATCATGTGGACAGTCTTGCCGGATTATCCCGGTTCGAAGGACAAGGATCTCACGTACTTGAAGATACTCTCAAGTATGGCGCGGCTGGCTGTCACAGAGCCCACGGTCATACAGGGCTTCCTCTGTCACGTGGGCGCCGCTTCAAGCTTCACAGACTTCTGGGTGGGGTCCGATCGTCCCGCAGGTCAGAACTTCGTCGTTGACAGCACAATAGGTGACCTTGACGTTCTTACTTGGCGATACTCCTTATCATTATGATACCTTTACGATTGGGATGTTTGGCCTCATCGGTGAGCCGGTCTCATAGCTTTCATCTCCACACGACTCATCATGGTCAGGCGCGGTTGGTGTGCTTGGTGCACCGCTGTTCGGTCGGATCATTGACCGAGTCAACCCTTGGTACGGCATCGTAACTGCCACTAGTATCATGCTTCTTTCAAAGGCATTATACTGGGGAGCTGCCGGCATCAATCTTGCCGTTGTGGTCATCGTCTGTATCGGACTGGACCTTGCAAGGCAGTCACAGCAAGTCGCACTCGCTACGCAGGTCTTCCAAGTTGAGGACGGAATGCGCTCGAGAATCAATTCGCTTTGTATATTCGCGGTGCGTGCAGCCGCCTCTGGCTTCGCACGGAATGTGTTACCTAATGCTGATTCCGACAGACCTTCATTGGCCAAGTGATGGGTAGTGCGGTGGGGTCAGAGGTGTTTCTTCAACATGGCTGGCGGGCGAATGGGGCGCTTATGTTCGCATTCTGCGTCTTTCAACTCTCGATCATGCTCATCCGTGGTCCTCATGTCGGGAGATACACGTGGTTCGGGTACGAGGGGGGGTTGGACTGGAGGGAAAAAGCGCACTCGGATGAGTCGAGAGTGGCGGAATACGACACTGAAAAGGGAGACATAGATGCTCAAGAAATGGGACGAGTGTAGACAAGCGAGGACATGCATGTCGCCTACAGGCGCCGAGTGTAGAGAGGTCACTAGGACACTTGATGCATGGATTTCAGACAAGTATTGGCTCACACCAACGTGTGATTACGGGAAGCTCTACAGAGTGTCATAGGGTACCGTCGTGGACAAACCCTGTCGGTTGGTGCAAGACGCGAGTCACTGGTACTGTGCTTCGGACGCGGCACGTCTGTAACAGAAAATCGTGGGAGCTCCCAAACGCGATCACATGACTTGCTCCTCATCACCCGCTTTCTCGATCGAGATGCACAAACGTTTGCACCTGCCACCAACGCGATGCTTCTAGCTCACTTCATACCATGTCAAACGAGCAAATGCGCCATTTTTATCCCCAAAGAATTGTGGTGATCATCTACACCTAGCGTGTACATCCATTTTGGTACATACAACAGTGTTCATCCAAGTCATAACCCAAATGTTCAAGTGAATATTTACGACTGAGCGGGGTTGTTCTCCGCGAAGTACTCGTGGTTGCTGCAGGAAATCGGCAATTAGATATGATATATGGAACGAGGGGGACAACGACGTACTCAGCGTTGAAGATGGCCTCGCTGGGGTTTGACGACGCAAGGCTCTTGGCGGAGCTCTGGCCGTAGACGTAGTCCTGGGTACCACCGTTCACGGTGAAGTGCGACTGCTCGTGGACGATGGTGCCGGCCTGGGAGTCAGTGCCGGTACTGCAATGGCATGTGAGCTTCAAGTAGAATCAGGAGCACTTCAGAAGTTACTTACGCGGGCGCCTGCCAGAAGACAGGGCAGAGGTAGACGTAGCCGGGCGAGTCGGCGTAGACGTAGGCGTACGTGCCGGACTCGCTGCAAGTGCAGTCGTAGGTCGAGCTCGTGGGGTCAGTGCCAATGTTGGTGTAGTGGCTCTGGACGGTGTTCTTGTTCGAGCTCGAGTACGTGCCGAACCAGGTCTTGTAGCGCGTGGTGCTGGCGCTGATACCCTTGAGGTAGGTCACAGCGTTCGCGGCATAGGTAACGGCGTTGCTAGCGGCGGTCTTGATCTGAGTCTGCTGAGACGACGAGCAGCCGTTGAAGCCGACTGCGCGCTTGGCGAGACCAGAGGAGTGGCGCGAGGGGCGGACCACGTTCGCGGCGAGCTTGCCGGAGATGTGTGCGGTAGTGGGCTCGGTCGCAGCGAGGACGGTGTCGATGGAGCCGTCCTCGGTGAGGTAGTGGAAGCGCGGGCTCGCGTCGAGCTATAAGAGAGCGATAGTCAGGAAGATGGTTAGGTGACAGATATGTAGAGACGTACATCGTAGACACCCTCGCCAGTAGAGGTCAGGTTGTAGACACCCGCAAGCGAGTGCTCGACCTGAACGCTCTCGCCTGCTGCGAGCGTCGTCTGCTCAGCGCGGTCAATGGCGAACTTGACCTTCGCGCCAGTGAAGGCGGGAGAGGCGCCAGATGCCGACTTGAGCTTGAAGGTGTCCGTCTCGAAGGGGTTGAGGACCGACTCCGGGGTCTTCAAGAGCTGAACGTCGGGTGAGTTATGTGCTACGCAAGGGTTGTGATCATGTTGAACTTACCGTAACGGACTCATCACCAGTGTTCGTGAGCGTCGTCGTGACCTTGAGGTTCGCAACGTCCTCAACGGCCGCCGGGGCGGAAACAGAGAGGAGAAGGCTGGGCGACGCGGAGACGCTGACAGCGGCGAGGATGAACGAGGCGACGGAGGCACGCATGATGACCGGAGGTGGCTCGAGAGGATGACCTGGAAGCAGACGGCAGAGCGCAAGCTGAGGATTATAGGCTGTAGAGCGCCGTGTTTTATACCGGGACGGCGCGTATACTTCGCACTTGCGAGACTATGCGATGTGCATGCTCATGGCCCGATGGGTCGGAGGCCATGCAGACAACAGCCTTGGCGTCGTCGAGCCGCTATCTCTGATCCTGCCAGTGAATCTCCCGGCCACACGAAGTTGTAACGGATCCATGTGGTAGTCGTCGGGAAGTCATCACAGCAGGCGCCGGGCCGCTGAGATACGCCATTGCACACCATGCCGGGAAGAAGGCCGGCTTCTGTTCGAGGTGGAATGATGGCCTTGCGAAGCTTCTTCCTCGCAATACACATGTATTGTAGCTTATGGCGGCAAGAGCGCTCTAAGATTCCGATACGATTTCGATGAACACTTGTAGCGGTCAAGACAGTACGATGTTGGGGTGATGGACCCATCATGAGTCCTGTCAAGGCCATGACAAGGTGTATAGAGGCGTATTCTGTGCCAAGGTGTCTGGTACTAGACCACACATGATCGATGATCCTTTGCAAGCACGTCTTCGGAGCCACCGTAGAGTACAACATTCCGCGGGGTCGCAGCCTGATGCGAAGTCTGCTGTATACTCGTGAAATCGTCCGCATTGAGCGTCTGTGAGGGGTCCGTGCTTGGCGAGCGGCGCATGCCGGCGTAGAAGGCATAGATAGAAATAGCGCTGCCCAGGCCGCCCAGGCCCAATGCCATCTAGAGACGCGACAAGCTTCCGCCCGATGCAGCATACGAATCATGCGCGTTCTTGAAGGGTCCGGGAAGTTGATGGGGATTGCGCCGCAACTCCTTCATCAGATAATCGCCGGCGCCGAGCCCAAGTGACACGCCGCCGAGAGCAAGGCTGTAGAGATGGACGTGCTGCATGTGGTGACAATGCACGCGTTCGCGCATAGATAGCGAACGGTCGGTCCTCGGAACGCGTAATCGTCATAGGACACGACGCGTACACTTGGGATTTCGAGGTTGCAGCACAGCTAGACCACATATGCCCAGCATCGCCCAACTCTCGTCGACTGCCTTCATTGCAGTGCTCCTCTTCGCTGCATTCTCCACCTTGTCCACGACATCTTCCCTCCGCATCCAGTCTTATTTCACCACTACGACCATGTCCTCTTCAGGCTGGCACTCTCGCGCTTCTCCTCATCCTGCCGGCCCATCCTACGAGCCATCGCGGTCGGATCTATTGCTTGTTCTGAAGCGCAGTACGCGTGTCGAGCCGGATGGCTTCTCGCTCGCTCTCCTTGCGCCAGATGTGGCCGTTGACGCGCTCGGACGCGTATTGACTGTTCCATCCGACGACTTTGCTGCATTACAAGCGCTAGCAAGTAACGTCGCAGACACAAACAAAGTGCCAGATACGGGTTCTTTCGGCAACCAATGGCGGTAGGCGGCAGTCGCAACTCCAGGGTGATGCTGCGAGCTGATGCGTATCCCGCAGGATCAAACAGAGGCGCACAGATTGGCCTATCGACTCGTTTCGTGTCGCACGAGGACCGGATGAGGCTCCGCGGGAGGTTGGCGTATACGGGTTCGACGGTGAACAGAGGGAGCTGAATGCTCCCGTGGGCGATATCACGGAGCTTCCCAATGTGCGTAGAGTGTAGTAGTGGCAGGATTGAGGTTGATTTCCTTTATTAGGACCTGCATGAGCTTCTGAAGCTCACGCTCGAGGCGCGCGAGGGCTTGGAGGGCGGTGAACGGGATGACACGGTCATACGCAAAGTATTGGCTTTATTGGACTGAGTGGTGGTTGAGAGCAACCTGCGCACGGAACGAGGCGCTTGGACCGGACCTCTCTTTATATGATTACTTCGCTCAGCGCCTCATGTATCCGCAGTTCATGTATAGTGCGCCATATCCTCGAACGCTATATTGATGAGAGTGGTTCGGACACGACCACGTGAGATTCAGCACTACGCTATATCGCTTCTTCGAGAAGCCCGCCCGCATGCGCGCCTATTTTACTGCAACGCCCACTCCCTGAATTTTCTGGCTTCTTCAATCCTCTTGAGAGCTACTTTCGTCGCGTCAGAGCCCCATACAATCTCAGGACTGCGGGCTCCCGGCCTCACGCCTAAGAGGTCGCCCTTCGCGTCGACGACCCTGACGCTCGTCTCTCCAGGTACAAGCACGCCCGAACTGGCCGCCGACGTAGCCATACTGATGAGCTCGCCTGAATCGTCACCGGAGCTCTCGCCGTTCCCGCTGCTCTCACTGGCCTGCTTCCTCGGTACCTCGATGACGCCGAACACTTCGCGCACCGCTCGTTCGGCCTCTTTGAACTCGGCAACTACGCAGTTCTCAGTTGATAGGGGCTGAGATGGATCCCAGCGCACGAGCGCCGCACGAGCACATGTCGCGTATGGCGGCACAATGGAGCGACCCGTGGCGATATCCTCGAAGATGAGGGCAATGTCAACATGCGAGAGGGGCAATGTACTATAATCACGAGCTTATTAGCTCGGCAACCAATGCTTCAGACATACCACTCACCCCAGTTCATGACCGGCGATTCGCTGTTCTCGGTGTAGAAGGTCTTTCCAAAGTCGCTCATACAGTTTCTTCCGATGGCGAACAGGCAGTGGACGCTCCAGTGGTTTTCCTGCCAGCTCGCAGACGAGATACGACGCTATGTGCAGGCCAAAGATGGCAGGCAGTGGACCGATGACAGGAAGAATCCTGACGCGGAAGTCGTCGAATGCAGCAAGCTCGTCGACCTTGCCTTTCTTGAACTCCTCGTCCGCGAGCGGTAGTAGCGAAACCTCTCCCGGAACCTCCGTGGAATACACTACGGGAATCTCCACGTTTGCCGCGTCTTTTCCCAAAGCTGCCTTGAGCTTCTGCCTGACAGAACGCGCCAGTGGATCATAATGTGTGGCGCTCAGGTCGGCAATTTGCACACGCGTAGGATCCGCCTTCGCGCCAGCGCCCATGCTGCTGAAGACGCGAATGCCGTTCTGCGCGCAGTATTTGAGTAAGTCGACCTTCGTTTGAATGTTGTCTATTGCGTCTACGACCCAATCCGCCCCTTCCAGGAGTTGTTCGCCTCCCTCTCCCGCGCGCCAGAGCTCGATGCGGGGATCAACGTCGACGAATCTAGCTATACTTGATAGCGCACGAGCCACGCAAAGTACCTGAAGGAGCATCAACACATCTGCCCGCGTGTCGGTCTACCAAAGAGCCTTACCTTCGGCGTTCCGACGTCTGCAAGCCTTGCAGTCGCATGTCGATTCAGGGATGAGAGGGTCACGTAGTCGAAGTCAATAAGTCGGATACTTGATACACCACTATATTTGAGAGTATCGTGAGCTTCATGTTCGCGGAGATGCATAGAAAGTACGCACGACCGCGCAAGCATGACTGCCGCCCAACTTCCTACACCTCCGCATCCGACCACAACCACCTTCGCCTTCCTGACCTTCGCCATAGCCTCGTCTCCAAAGAAAGCGTAGTTCCTCGCCAATTGCTCCCGTATGAGTTCCTCGTCATATGCATAAGCTTCGATTTCTTCCTCTTCCTTCTCCTCCAGACTCTCGCTAAGGTCGGCACGTTGCTTTCCCTTCGCCTTCGAAGCCGAAGAAGCGAAGTCAGATGCCGACGGTAGAATTTGCCCGGGTCTGTCTGGGACATCCCGACTGAGCGACGCTTTGATGCTGTCACTCAGCTCGGCACGCTTCTTACGCCGAGTGTGTGCGTTGTACGCGCTCAGAACAGAGGCCGTCGCAACTGCCGTGCCGGCAGCTACAAGCAGAAGCTGAGTGCGATGGTCATGAGGGTCAATGAGAGGCATGCTTGGCACGGTACAGAAGCTTGACTGAGACCAGAGTGCTGCTCGTGGCGGCCGAGAGCAAGTTACGTGGGGTTGCGGCAGAGGCAGCGCCGCACCGGAGAAGTCCGAACAAAGGGAGATGACGCGAATTTGCGCCACATTTACTGTTCTTGCTACACACCCTCACCATACCACGGCGATACACTCGCTCTCAATGCCACGGGTCCGGGGTAAGCATACTGCGCATCCTGTTCTAAGTCTCGCCCAGTGAGTGTTTCGTATTAAGAATGCCGCTCAGCATGATGATTCCGTCGGCAGATCACTACCCGCCGACATACTATGCGAGCTGTTCTCCTTATTATCCGTCAACTGGCCGATCTGGCCTCTTTCCGACTTCCCGGATGCAAGACTGGGCTGGCTCGTCCTCAGCCACGTCTGTCGTCACTGGCGTGAGGTCGCTATCGCTTGGAGTCCTAGCTACTGGGCCGCCATAGCCACGGACTTTGCGTATACCGGCTCAGGCGGAAAAGACTCGCCGGAAGTGCTTGTATCTCGAGCGCGAGATCAACCCCTCACCCTGAATATGATATCGTCCAACCTACGGCCCAAGTCGAAGAGGCTACAAAAGCGGTACTCCCATCTATCCCGACTTGCTTCGGAACGCCTGTCGGAGGATCGGGTGCTCCACCTACATGACCAACTCTTCGCGGACGTTTGGTGGTTGAGGGACCTGCCTGGCGCACGGCGCCCACAGTTGAAGACACTGCGTCTCGAACATCGGCCAATATCGCATAGCCACATGCATTCGTTTATGGTGCTTCTACGTGTGATTGCCAAGCTCCCGCCGCTAGACGCGCCCAACCTACACAAGCTCGAAATCAGCGGCTTTCACCTTCCGATACTCGCCCCTTCTTTGCAGTCTTTGAAGCTAGACTATGCTCCTCCCTTGTGCGGAAAGACAATCCCCTTGAGCGCCGTCCTCGACATCCTGCGACAAACGCCCCAGCTGCGAAACTTGGAACTCGCCACGTCCATATTTATGTCCGAAGCCGACGTAGATGATGGCGTGGGCGTCATACCATTACCGCACCTGCAGTCAATCAGCCTTTCGGGAGGCTCTATCATCGTCGCCAGACTATGGCGTATTCTTGGTGAACCCGTAGATGCCATGCTATCCACGCAGGTCACGACGTGGGAACCGGACTCGGACTCTTCTTCGTCGTCTTCAAGTTCTTCCTCTTCGACGTCCGACCCCAACTCAGATGATACCGACGTTTCCACCGTATCGACCCTCTCTTCTTTCTCTCTCACATCCCTCCACTTCACGGACTTCTCACTCATATCACCATTCATCGCAGCTTTGGCAACAAAGCTTCGGCATCCTGGACACGAACGCCTAACCATTTTCGGGCTACCCCACGACGGACGTTATACGCAATACAACCCTGTTATGTCAATGAGGGCTGACGGAGGCACGAGACTCTTGTTCTCCGACGAGAGGAACCGGTTCTCTATGTCACGCCTAGACGTCAATCCAAATACGGCGGAAAGCGAACAATCCACAAGCATCACCGTAGCGCATAATCCGTGGGAAAGCATCGCTGTGGTTCATACATCGGTTGGATACCTGAACGAGGCCGACATGCCCATCAGAGCGCTCGACATGAGCTACGCCTCTGTGACCCTCCTCGTTGGCATGCCGGCACTCCAGAACGTACGGACTCTTTGCGCCGACATCTCAGATGTAGCGGGTCAGGAAAATGACTGCTTCGAGACCTGGCGGCTACCTTCCCTGGACACTATCGAGATCACATGCCGAGGCGGATATATCATCACGCATCGCTCAGACTGTGAGTACTGGTGGTACATGGTCGCGAGGCTTCTCGAAGTACGGGCTAGGCGCAATGCACGGGTCCAGAAGCTCGTCATACTCAACGACGACCAGACCGACTGGGCCCATTTCAGGAAGGTGGCCGGTCGAGCCGACGCAGAAGGGTTGAGCGCAGTGAAGCAATGGGTCGATGAAGTTGATGACCGAAGAGTAAAGCCCAAACGGCGTGAGAAATGACTAGTACAAGCCTGAGGTACATATTGTTGGTATTGATTATACAATTTGCTATCGTTTAGCCATCGCAAGTGTGAACCCTGTCTCCAGAGCAACCCTCAACGAACTCAACACCCTGCCTTCCGCTACATCCTTCTTGAAACTCCCGCTGACGGCAGTCCAATGACGTTCCCACCATCTCATGGGCGTCTATCCCACTCCGCATAGACCGGTACTCGCTTCCAACGTAGGTGGCCGTCTGATCGATGTCTGTATCACAGCCTGGGCGCTCACCCCGGTTGATGGCGAACCGCAATCCGTGAGCCGCATACTCACCCTTCTCTTCATCAGACTTGCGCGACGCGACCTGAAGAGGGTCGACGCCGAACTCGTCGAAGATGGTGCGAGAGTTATGCTTGTTGTCTTCGGTTGCTACCCTGAATGAAGACATCGGCGGCGTCTCTACATCTGAGTCGTCCGATGTACCGCGCCCGTGGTAGACGCGCAGGCGAAGGATGAAACGCGCCGTCAGTAAGCCGGACAAGCTGGGAGGGTCTACAATGAGCTAGCTTGTGAGGGGTCGGAGCTATTGTGCTCACGGTAGAGTTATGGCGTTGAGTAAACGCTGAAAGAAGCCTCCCGGAGCGCGGAAGTTGAGAACTGTGGCTCCGATCGTGAAAGCTGAGATGAGAGAGAAGTACAGGATGCCTGGGTGTTGCCTCAATCAGACGCTCGCTGATCGCTTCAAAGTGTCGCTGACCTTGTTCGGCAACAAGGTAGTTGAAGGTATGTCGCTTTGCTGACACGGGGGACGCCCCGAATCGAAGAGCTTGTATGCTTCGAAACAGAGTGAGAAGCGCTGCTAGCGATTCGAATACGCAAACGAGTATAGACAAGAGCGTGTTGGCACTAGTAAGAGGATATCAGCTGCAAGTTGAGGCGTCAGAACTGTGCATTGGCGGCGTACATTTGTATCGAGGATGATCCCTTGCATCGGAGCCCCGGGACATGAATCTTCACGAATTCAGTGAATCGTCCTGAAGCAACGGAAGGACGGTCTCACAGCATCCAGGACTACGCATGTCACCGCGATGGCGCCAAGTCCAATGAGTATGAACTTGTTCCTCGCGCAAACAACGTACACCCGAGCCAGGAATGTGACTATGTAAGGTCAGAGTGGTACTGCGACTCTGGTATGAAGCGCAGGCTTACATATGACAGCTGCGCGACCCAGCACGCTGACTACGCCGAGAACCTTATACACGACGTCACAAGAGCTTGGCCCTCCAAGTTTATTGGCGATGGCGAGAAGATATAGTACGTTCGCCAGTAGTGCGTATCGGCAAAGGACATATAGGACGATCAGCAAGCTCCGTTTGCTCCCCTTCCATATGTATTTGACCTCTTGTGGGAAGGTCAAGGCGTAGTCGTAGTAAAGCAAGGCTAAGACGTGGTGAGAAAAAGGCGAGAGCGATGAAAGGCACCGACATACCTATGCTGGACCATTGGATCGCGAACTGAAGAAAGCTTTGACGATGTTTAGATTGACTAGAGTGTGGATGCCTGGAAGTATCATCTTACTGGGTCTCAGCGGCGGACGGCATACCGATGTGAGCCTGGGCCTGGAGATACAACGCACAACATATATATATCCCGCTTACTTGGCCCGACGGAGCGCTGGAGCTTCGCTTGCTTCATATATCCAGCTTCTCCCGCTGTCGGTCTCCACTGACGGGCAGCATGTTACGATATCGGAACGCGAAGGTAGTGTATTCACAATGCGTGATATAGAAGTGCAGGTTCTGAGCTCAACAGGTTCTGAGCTCTTCAAGAGTTTATATTCTTTGCCATGCCCTTGGCGACGGTGCATAGAACGTGCGTGGAGCGAGCTCGGCCCGTGTAGTCGATCGTCGAGGAAGAAGCGAAATGTGAGCCTCGTGAAGCCGACTGTCGGGCCTTCGTACCCGCGTTTCGAGTCCACATGCTGACTTCACGGTGACGCGCAAAGAATGTCAAATCCGGAGAGTGGACCCACTGATACACATACATCACCAGATCTCTCCGTAGATAACTGAGGATGCAAGGCTTGGCTTGGTACCTGCAAGGGAAGGCGTAGACATGTTGCCTTTTCGGGTAAGAAGGCGCCGTACACTCGTATGGTTTGCGTGGCATGTGCTGGGCGGGAGACGCAGTGGTCGCGCGAAGTTGACACTGCCGGCGACTCACTTGTGGAGATGGGAGAACAGGCTGCAAAGTCATTGGAAGAGCTCGTGGACTGTAACATGCGCAAGCCGCAGTCATGTATAGCCGGCACGATACGAAGAGACGGACAACCTCCCCCATCGCGGTTAACCATGCCGCACCGTCGCGCTACGACCCGACATTTTGACACGCTGATGGACGCTCGAAGGTGTATTCCTTGCTCTCAAGTGACGTTCAAGGTTGCCAGTAAGAGTGTACGGCGTGACGTATGGTCATAATGGTCGGGACCCGCGCATGCACGACTCGCCAAAGCGCTCGGTGCTCGTCGACTAATGCCTGAAAGGGCCACACTCGTGCTGATAACGCGAAGGAGCGAAGATCCTTCTTGCAACGCGGGTCAATCCACGACTTCCAGAGCAATGCGGGTTCATAACATGACGAATGGACGTGTAGGCCGGGAGATAGAGAGGGTCAATAGCGAGAGGAGCTCCGAGTCTCCGACTACGAGCGGTCGAGCCGGGTTTAGCCGGGTTCGATAAACACGGTCACATGAGATGATGGTTGTACTCCAAAATGTCATAGACCGTCCATTTCATGAGATACAATGCAGACCTATATGTACACTACTGAGGAGAGCGACTTATTACACTATTACGTTATCATATACTTTATCTGTGCCCCTTTGAGGTCAAGTCGCTGGAACTACCCTGGACAAATTCATCTTTACGGTTGTCGCTTGAACCTTCTTGGAACTCAGGTCGAATCCGATGAAAGGCCGTCGGCACATCATCGTGTGCACCTGCGCCACTCAGAGATGCCCCGAGCTCGCTACCGACGTACGTGGCCGTTTGATCAATGTCGAGCTCCCAACCGGGACCGCGATTGATAGCGAAGCGCAAGCCGTGTGCGGCGTACTCGCCCCTTTCCTCGTCAGACTTGCGCGACGCAATCTGAAGAGGATCGACACCAAACTCGTCAAAGACGGTCCGCGAATGTTGCTGATCATCATTCGCGGCGACCTCGAACGTGGAAATGGGCGTGGAGGCATTTGTCGAAGCCCGAGCGAGACCGCGCCCATGATAGGCACGAAGGCGGAGTATGAAGCGCGCAGTGAGCAATCCAGACAGTCTGGATGAGCTGGATTAGTATGAATGCCGGAGGTATAGCACTAGGCTCTCACGGGAGTGTGAAGGCGTTGAGAAGACGCTGGAAGAAGCCTCCAGGTGCCTGAAAGTTCAGGACAGTGGCTCCGATCGTGAATATGGAGATCAGGGAGAAGTACAGGATCCCTGACTTCTACTTTAATGTTGCATCAACCCATCGTCGTGTTGTAGACACGCACCCTGCTCTGCCACTAGGTAATTGAATGTATGCCGCTTCGCTGATATCGGCGATCCCCCAAATCGCAGGGCTTGTATGCTCCGAACAAGAGTGGATAAAGCGACGGAGCCCTCGAAGACGCAGACCAGAATAGATAACAATGTGTTTGCTCTGGCGCAATCACTGATTAGAAGCAGCATAAGAGGAGGATGCAGTGACGACGTACATTTGTATAGAAGATGACCCCTTGCACTTCAGGCCAGGGACGTGAATCTGGAGAATGTTGAGGTAACATTTGCGATTGGCGGTACACTCTAGCTCACAGCGTCGAGCACGACAACCGTCACTGCTATAGAGCCGAGACCGCCCAGGATCAGTTTATTTCTTGCACATACGACGTAGACCCGGGCCAAGAAAGTGACTGGACGCGGTTACAGCATATCCTTGTTGACAGTACCTGTGTTACTCACAGATGACGGCGGCCCGACCCAAAACGCTCACCACGCCGATGATCTTGTATGCGGCATCGCAAGAGCTGCTGCCACCGAACTTGCCAGCGATAGCCAGAAGATACAGTACGTTGGCCAGCAACGCGTATCGGCACAGAATGTAAAGGACAAAGAGCAAGCTCAGCTTCTTCCCCCTCCAGATGAACTTGACTTCCTCTTGGAAGGTCAATGCATAATCATAGTAGAGAAGGGCTGGATGGTTTGGTCAGCTAAGCCGCGGCCATCTATCCCGTGAGAAACCTTCTCACCGATGCTGGCCCATTGTATTGCGAATTGAAGAAAACTGCGAAGTATGTGCGATAAGCGCAGAGTAGATGCTTACACACAGAACGCAACGCACTGAGTCTCCGCTTCAGCTGCGGACGGCATCTCAGACCAGTGAGCGCATGGGTGATTTTGAATAGCGAACCGTGGTTCATATATTACTCCTACCCGTGAGGCACTGCCAGTGCCATACGTTCTAGTTCTCCCGTTGTCGACCATGACTGGTGAACAGGAAGCAATGACCAGAATCTGTCGAGTCGATGTTTGCGCCCATGTCCCATGCGAGGTGTGAGCATGCGCGCCGTCAGCGGCGGTGAGATCCCGAGATGTGAAGATGCCGACTCTAATAAGCCTACGCAGGCCGCGATCCCGGCTACGTCGCATGGGGATGGTATTGTACTCTCGAACTCTGGGGTTGAGAGTCCATTTAGCCGATGAAATGCCGCAAAAAGCTTCAAGTGTTGCACCTGCTTGCATATCCACGAGAGCCCGAGAGTCCGATGGCTTCCCGCACCTCTGCGCTGTGGAACAATCCACCAATGCCTAGAGCAAAGAAGGAACGGGACCGCTTGTTCATAGGTCGCCGATGAGCAAGGGAGGCGATACTTCTTCCGGATGATGTGCAGCTAGAAAAGGGCGTGAGTTGCGTTCTAGCCGAGCCCGGTGCGAGAGTTGTGGTATGCACTGCGCAACCATCTTGACGAGCAGTGCGGCACAATCGATTGAGAAGCTGCTTATCATCATAGAACATCTATAATCATGATTGAGCGCCGTCTCCATTGCCTTTGGCCACCCGCAATCTCTTCCACCAGGCGATACGTTCCGTCGGTGAACGATGGTAGTCGTGACCTACACAGTAGTAGCAATCGGATGGAGGGTCACTTCACTTTAGGGGTGAACATGACCTATTCGGTGCCATGCACGTATACTGTATCGCTTTCCCCGCGGGATGTGTACGTGTGAACCATCTTCTGACCCGTTCATGACTCGCGGGAGAATGGAGGAAGCGCACAACCGCTGGCCTCTCCTGAACGTTATTGGGGCATTTTATTGTCTACAGGCATTTACATGGTATCACCATGCGATGGCGCGCAGAGCTGGGCCTGAAGTCCGAGCATTGATCGACAAAGGAGTGGATTGGTGATTGAGCGGATGGTGGTCGAAGGCAGAGATCTGTCGCTGACGCCCGGGATCCTGCGGACACCTTCAACACGGTCACATGAGATGATCCCGGTGACACGCGGATGGTTGATCTACAGTACCGTCTGAGCTATGTACGAGAGTCCAGTACCATGAGATAATACACAAGAGAAATGAAGCCCTCCAAAAGAGACTCTTCTAGTAGTAACGACGGTAAACGCGTCTCAGACACTACCGCTGCTAGTTTTGGCTTCTCGGATGCCGCTACTGCTGCAGCCCTGAAGGAACTCAGGTCGCCTAGGGTCATTGATCTCGCAACGAGACAGATCAGCGGTCTCCTCTCCAGCAAGCATCGGAACAACAGCGTAATGTTCGCTTCCACCACTTGGTTCTTGAGCGTCATCCACGGCCTTCTCAACATTGGTTTCTTCAAGTCTGCGCGCGGCGAGGGTCAGATAGTCCTCCCCAAACTCGTCCATCACGGCGTTAGAAACATCGGTAGGTTGTCGTGTAGCGGCAGCCTGGAATGTGGAGACGGCCGGGGTGTCGTCATCAACACTCTTCTCAGTGTCGCGACCATGGTATTCGCGAAGGCGAAGGATGAAACGTGCCGTAAGTAGGCCGGAGACGCTGCAGATACGGTCATCCAATGACACTAGAGAGCAGTACATGACGTACTTACGGTAGTAAGAGGGCATTAAGAAGGCGCTGGAAGAAACCTCTAGGGGCGCGGAAGTTTAGTACGATGGCCGCAATAGTCAAAGACGAGCACAGGCTGAAATATAGCGTGCCTGGGTACCCGTCAATCGTCACTTACAGTATGCGAAGTGTACCACGTACTCTGCTCTGCGACCAGGTAGTTGAACGTGTGCCTTTTCATCGTGATGGGCGTTCCGCCGAACCGAAGGGCTTGAAGGCTACGCAGGAACGTCAAGAGTGCGGCTAACGACTCGAAGATGCAGACCAAGATCGAAAGCAGGGTATTCGCGCTATTGATCGATATCACTAGAGGGCCCGATGTAGTAGAGAATGGGAACGCACATTTGTATTGTCGAGGAGCCTTCACATCTCAGCCCCGGCACGTGTATCTGTCGAAAGCTCAGCGATGCGGTTCTAGTTGGGTATTCTGCGAGACTCACGACGTCGAGTACGAAGCAGGTGAGGGCGAGGGCCCCAAGGAATGCGAGGATGAGCTTGTTCTTGGCCCACACCACGTAGACGCGGGCGAGGAAGGTAACTGGAGGTGCTATCTAGGCGTGAGAACTAACTCCAGTTGATTGCCCCATATGCTTGCTCACAGAAGACAGCCGCCCGTCCTAACACGCTGACCACCCCGATGGCCTTGTATACGACATCGCAGGAGCCAGGACCGCCGAGCATGTGCGCGATAGCTAGGAGATAGAGCACATTTGCCAGCAATGCGTATCGGCACATGATGTACAGTGGAATGAGCAGGCTTCGCTTGCGCCCTTTCCAGATGTATCTGACCTCTTGCGGGAAGGTCAAAGCATAATCGTAGTAGAGCAGCGCTGCGAGTACATTTGAGAGGCGAAGACACGTAAGGGCAAGAGGAGAGAACGAACCGAGGCTAGCCCATTGAACCGCGAACTGTACGAAACTATGAGTAACAGTCAGTAAGGGCGAGATAAGACAATAGTTAGTATACGCTCACTGGGTCTCGGCTACAGAGGCCATACGTCCAACGGGGTACACAATGACCAGTGGACATGAGCTTAAGTATACTCTGACAGGCGGGTAAATGGGGGATCTCCATGAGATGCCAACGCTGTTCTCGTCAAGAATGTGTATCGGCACCGGGGCCCTATCTGCACCAAAGGGCACTAGCTGACGCGAGACACATAACCGTCAACTCGAGCACCCATTTCGTCCATGAAACTGAGTTGGCCGTATGGCAGAACGGATGGAGGAACGGAAGGCGGGAATAGAAAGATCTCCCGGTGTCAGATGTCAAGATGTTGCTTGACAGGATTGCGCAGAACGTGCGTCCGGTGCGCCATACCGAAAACATAGCGCTTGTCGGAATCCTCGTACTTGCTGGGGCTTTGCACGTTGTAGAAGTTTCCGTGGGCGCGCCTGGTGGGCCTGTTTTGAGCAAGTCGTTAGTCGAAAATACATTCCAGCACTGGTGCAGCCAGCCGCGTTTATATAAGGGCGGTTGAACACGTACACGGCAAAGGCCCTCGAACTGGCCTCCCTTATGTGATACTGGATCCGCTTGTCCTCTGCTTCGCCGGTGTGACAGGCGTACTCGCATTGCTCAATGTACACCTGGTTGTGGAGTGTGCTCAACGAGTGGAGTTGACACAACACTCGATGTTGTTCCGTAGCATCCACTTTCTGCCCGCGCGTTTCTGGTACGCAAGTACCACTTGCTGACATGGAGCACGAGCGAAGCTCGTGCTAGGCACAATGATATATGAACCACTAGAGCCAGTTTAGTTGCCTCCCAACGCGACTGTACCCATCATCTGACTGACGACATGGACACAGGTCCATTTTCCAGAAGGGGTTGCGAGGGGTTTAAGGCAGTCGTCACCCGCACGTCGAACATCCTCTTTTGGACCGCAACAACCTCACAAGAGATCACCACACACGCACGGCGAACTGCAGGGAGAATGTCAAGTAACCGAGGCGAAGTATACATAGGAACAGAGTGAATCGGTAGCCAAATTATGCCGTCCAGACCCTCGAGATCAGCTCCGTGAGACCTGCGTCACTTAGTTGAGCAAACGTTCAAGAAGATGGATGCATGATGTACGTACCGACGTCCTGGGTGTTGAACTGATACACACCCGCGAGCACGCCGACAGTTGCTGCGCGGAGAGTCCATGTTGCGATGTTTCCAATAACCGGGAACTTGCGCGGGTGGAGGTAGTCTACCAGGCACGAGTCGAACTGTGGGTGGAGAAATGTCAGAATATGTTAACTGACGACCAATATAACGACCGACGCACCCCGATGTGACTGTGCATGACCAGGCTGACACCGAGGATGCCATCGAGCAGAGGTGCAGAGCTTCCACTGGTCACAAAGGCAGCGGCAGTCAGCGGCACCAGGCCGGCGGCCAGGAAGCGCTCGAATGCCCAGTGGTAGGAGCCGTGGGACTTAGAGGGAGGAGGGAAGGTGGTAGGGTCGTTCACGGTGCCCTTGTAAATGGCTAGAATAAACTACTCAGTATAATCGTTGAATTTCGGTACATTTGAGTACTCACGACCGCCCGGCACATATTCGTACTTCGCAGTGGTCGCGTTCGTGCGAACTACATATTAGGTCAGAATGCGGGGTTAAGTCAGGGGATCAATATCACGCACCCAGCGGCGCGATCGAGCGACGCGCAACGTTGACTGAGATGTGGCGGTTGGCCGACGAACGGAGTGCAGCGACGGCGGCCATGTCGAGGACGGTAGTGAGGGTGAGGAGGAGGTTGTGCAAGTGCACGCGGGGTTGCGTCGGCGGTATCCGGCATGGCGGCGGCCTCCGCGCAACACATGTGATTTGATTGGCCGATGGCCTCGCCACAGATCAAAATATTCGGCAAAGCTCGTGCAAGCGTAGGATGGCTACCGTTTACATGTACAACTACATATAGAATTGATTCTAGCGTGTGGAAATCATTCTCGTCGTATGAGCTTCCAACCATGAACCGTAGCACGGACTTCTTCCTCTCCAGGATCCTCGGGGAACATAGGCTAGAGCACATTTGATCAGTACGTGAGTGATGACCGCCACCGTGACTATACGCACTGGGTACTTCTCAGTCACGATCTCTGTACATGTCCAACCGCGAGCCTCTGCCTTGCGAAAGAACTCGAGATCGCGATCTGCGAGGTGTGGTCGATGATGGGAGTAAAATACCAGCAGACAGGGCACCTCGTCGGTAGATCCACGCGTCGAATGTCCCAGCCATGACGACAGTGTGAGCTCGGCGGTCTTCAGTAAAGCATCGTGCTGGTCGACTTGTCAAGAGGAGAAGCGAGAAGGAGGGAATGGGTTTACCTGTGAGTGATTGAACACCAGGTCGGACATGATGATCAGATCGAAGGATGCCCCTTCGGCGTCCCCGCTGGCGGCTGCTTCCAATAAAGGTTCGACGGATGCTCCCCATACATACCCCTGAGACGTCTGAACATATGTCTTCATATATGAAGAAAGTGGTCAACACACCAGGGCAGCAAAGCGTTCAAGCTCTTCGTGTGTCAGGTTATCAGCGCCGTTTCTCATGATGTTCTCGACTAGTTGAATGTCCGGATAGTCCGTTGACACGACCTGGCTGACATCAGTCGGCACAGTCGGATGTACTATGCGCCAACGAGATCATACCTTCCGAGCACCGAGCTTCGCGGCTACGAGTCCAGGCAAACCTCCTCCGGCGCCCAGCTCGAGCACGTTGCGATCTCTGCACAAAGCTCGATTGCGGTCAAGGAAGGAGGCGAAAGAGCGCGAGGCATTCCAGCTATTGATGCACCTCAATACCGAATCAGATGGCGCACACAGGTAGCGTACAGATGGTGACCCCATAGAGGGTGGCTGCCCACAAGTGTTATCTGGATCTGTCTCCAGTCATCGTCGGTCACCGTGGCGTCGCGCTCATAGACCGCGATTGTAGGCGGAGGTGTAGGGGGACGCGGAGGCTCCTATCACCCTGGTTTGAATCGCACATGAGATGGATAGTGACAGAGGCGAACCGTAAAGACGGCACCAAGATCAAGGCCCTGCTCGCCGTCGTCTGACATGATCGTTCGGGAAGAACTTCAACGCGCCTCCGCCCGCCGCAAAACGCGATCAAAATCATCGTGCACGTGAGCGCGTCGCCACGGAACGGGTAAAGTCAGCGCGACCTGCCAGCGCGTCTGTCCCACAGTCGCTCCTCTCTTCCGCACACGACCACCATGAGCTTCTTCCGTTCCTTCGCTACCCGCGCCAACACGGCCGCGCGCTTTATGTCTACGACTGCCAAGTGCGCTGTCATCGTGCATTATTCCACGCGCGATACTGACGCACCGACTCCCCCACCTTCCAGGCCCAATGTCTTCGTGCGTCATGGACCTTTCTATGGTGTTTGCAAGTACTCAATGCCAGGATGTATAGTTTGATATTGCTGTGAACGGTCAACCGCAAGGACGCATCGTGTTCAAGCTCTATGATGAGGTTGTGCCCAAGACGGCTACTAACTTCCGTGAGCTTGCTACTGGCAAGCACGGCTTCGGTTACGCTGGCAGCGGCTTTCACCGCATCATTCCCGACGTACGTGCTATGGAAATAGACTGCTTCACTACTCAATTCTAATGTACTGCCAACAGTTCATGATCCAGGGCGGTGACTTCACGCACCACAACGGCACAGGTGGCAAGTCCGTCTACGGCCCCCGTTTCGCGGGTACGTTTCATGCAGTAGCATCTCTGTGAATGCACTTCTGACCATACGCGCAGATGAGAACTTCACTTTGAAGCACAACAAGCCTGGACTTCTCTCCATGGCCAACGCCGGACCCGGCACGAACGGCAGCCAGTTCTTCATCACGACTGTCGAGACCAAATGGCTCGACGGCAAGCACGTCGTGTTCGGCGAAGTTTCCGAGGGTATGAACATCGTCAAGGCCATCGAGGCCCTTGGTTCTCCCTCTGGTGCACCAAGCAAGAAGGTCACTATCTCCAGCTCGGGCGTCGTCGACGCTTGAATGCCACAAAATATACTACATCTACGGAGGATTGGTTGCTTATACTCCATCGCTATATAATGTCATAATATGCTATCTCGTGCTCGCCAGAGGCGCCTCTGTCTGAGATATCTCACCGCATGCGCATAGAAGAGCGGGTGACCACGCATGCCATCCACTGTATTGGTATAGGAACTCGCGAATACTCATGAACGCAGCAGTGATTGTGGATGGAGTAATGGCATGTTGATTGCTAGCAAGATACTTCTCAGATGTAAAGGTTCATGTCCTAGTACGGACAAATTGTAGCCAGAAAAGCGTAACTACTCAAGCAGCAGAGATATTGACCAAGAGTTGCGCGCCTGCCTCCGGCTTGGAAATGCGGAAGGGCCGCATGATGCCGCGGCTCTTGACGCCAATATCGGCTTCCGGAATGGCGAGCGAGAAACGCAAGGAGCGTATGAGAGTGTAGACGAGCGCCTTGGTCCTGAAGTTGAGCGCACGTCAGTAACCTGGTGTTGTATCGAGTGCAAGGATGAACTCACTCCACGACAGAGAAAAGATATCCGATACAACTACGAGGGCCCGCTGAGAAGGTCAAGGAGTTCGCCCATACACCGGTCAGGGCGGCCGCGCCAGCCGGTGCCCCACCGAGCCATCGCTCTGGGCGGAAGACGTCCGCGTCGTCGCCCCAGATCTCCTTTGAGCGGTGCATGGCCATGATCGAGATGGTCACGGTATCTCCGGCAGCAACTCTGTAAGGGAACTTCAGACACATGATCAAAGACAGCTGCCACTACGCTTACCTAACGCCAGTCTGCTCTACGCCGCGCGCATCAGTCCAGGTCTCTGCAGTCGGGATCACGTCGTTCTCCACGGCGGCTCGAGTCAACATCGGCACTGGTGGATACATCCTCAATGTCTCATGAGCGACGGCGTCCAGGTAGCTCAATTCGCTCAGTTGTCCCATGGTAGGTCGGTCTCCAAAGTCGCTAGCGAGTATTTCGTTGCGAAGTTTCTCTTGAATCTCGGGGTGGGCGGAGAGGGCATAGGTGATCCAAGTGACGGAGGTGCTCGTCGTCTCGTGCCCTAAACTTCTTAGCACATCACGTGTATCGGTACCTCATAAGAATAGCTCACCGGCGACGATGAAAGTCGGAATTTGCCCTATTCGGTTTCAAAATCCAGTCAGAGGATGTGATGTAAAGCCAGGTGATCGCGACGAGACTGACCCAACATTTCTTCATCCGTCAGCCGCTGGGTTTCCGGAAGATCGCTCGCCATGTTTGCTTTCACCAGCAGGCTCAGTAGCGATTTGCCTTGGAAGTCCTTCTTTTCGACAGCGCGACCCTCGGCATTCGCAATGACGTCCGCCTTCATTCTCGCTATGAGCTGATAGCCGACGTTATCCATGACCACACGAGCATCGCGAACACATGCATCACGTTTACTAGGCTGCGCAAAAGGATATGACTATAGTCGCGGAGATCAAAAAAAGCGAGAACGTACGATGATACGAGTTATGGGGAGCATGTTGTGCATGACATCAAGCGGCGACATAGGGGTCGAGAACATCTTCCGCATGGCATCGTTCAATTCATTCGGACTGTCGCTTCGTTCCAAGACACCGAAGTCGTACTCAAAGCCTGAGAGAGATCGTGTTCATCTGATGAGAGCAGGTATGAGTTCAGACAACGCACCCGCCATTCCGATGATATCGAGAGTGCACTTGTGCAATAGTGGGACTATGTTCACTTCGGCACTAGTCGAGCCACCGTTGCTGATTTTCGAAAGTAGGATATCGCGGAGCTAAGTCATGAACCAGTGTCAGCTTCAAGCCCGACATCGAGTCCGGAAACTCAGAAACTCAGCGATCTTACCTGAATGGCCTTGTCATCGAAGATGGTGGTCAACTCGCGAAGGTGAGCTAGTCCGAATGCAGGATTCTGGGAAGCCTTCAGCTATGATCGCAGGCGGTGCGCACGAGAGTACAGACCAAAGTTCGACGCTGAAAATGCAACTTGTGAGACAGATATTCTGAAGGAGTGTACTCGAACTGACCTGTTTCCTGTGCGTATCGCCTGAGATCAGAGGCGTCAATACAGGCTTCCCCTCCAATATGATTAGCGCACACCTTCGACAGTCAGGATCCCTACAGAAACGTTTAAGGACATGCTCGGGATAGATGATCATCTGTATGGGACGTACCGGGTCCAAGCGTATGCATGAGCGAGCGCGTGTTTGATCGCGGTTTCTGGTAGACGTCTGAATTGGTCAAGACATGCGACACAGCTCTTGTATCGGCAACAAATAGTCTATGCGTCTATGAGTGCATCAGCTCTTGTCTCTCTGCCGTCTGGGCAAGAGACCAAACACACCCCGAACTCTGCGTTTATCTTGAAGACTTTGCCGTACTGGGCTATCCAATTTGCGTGCACGAGTGCCGTATTGTCTTCCATCTGCCGAACATTCCCCCATGAAAAGGAGGCAGACGAGGGGCCAGATAGATGACGAATTGGCGACCAGAAACGGACGAGGAGGGGTTGAAGGAGAGGGTAAAGGGCCCGTGCGCAGATCGCGAGAACCGCGCCTGCGACGACGACGTAGTCTGCTGTGATAGCCATGGTTGTACGTTTCCAGGAGTGCACAGATCAGTCCTTATATGCAGCTTCGCGTTTGGAGCGTTCACAGTGGACGCGATGCTTCGTCATAGCTCGGATGTAAGAGCCGGACGGTATTGAATGTCCGCAGATGCGCATACGCTTCCTTCGCCTGCACGCCCTAACGACTTCCAGTCATCGGGCCGCTGGGCATGGGAGAGCAGAAGCACAGGAATCGTAGGAAGCCACCTCAATCCATCGGGCGGCCGATGACCCGCGGCAGGTGCTGCCGCCAGTTGGGCATTCGTCGCCTGCGACTGCCGCGCAACGCATCGAAGATACCTCACTGCCGCGTTCAGATTCTTGAATATAGCCCACCAAAGCAAGTTTGAGTTTGGACGCCTTCCAATGAGCATCCCGCACCAGTATTCATTCGGGGTCTTTCGCGCGACCTGTATACGCGGGAACATGACCACATCCACCCCTAGGTTCAGCTTGTAGACGAGCACTTGAGCGGGCATCTCCCCGCTAACCCACTACAGAGAGTCGGAATAGGTGTTCTTGCTGCCCAAAGTAGCCGACGCAGCCGCTTGAACGCGTACCACGAAGGCAACATCTGTGCCGCTCTGTATCTCCATCCAACTTCTGAACATTCGGAGATGAGAAAAGGCCGGTGTTGTGCAGCTGCGCGGAGGGTGAGGCTTCTCTTTGATCAATACGGAGATGGGTGTGAGCCTACATTACGAAGGTCAACGGTTGTGCAACCGTTCCGTGTCTGGTATGCTGTGTAACCTTAAGTCTTCTATTCGCCATGCGACGGATGTTGGCCGAGATGAACGGTGTTATGGATAAGTGTCTTGTGTTGATCGGCTGTGAGCCGCGTGCGTGCTTGACTTAGACGCTTAGCAGCGAGCTGAGGTCGTTCAAGAACAGTGACAGCTGTAAAGTAGCGCCTGAGTTATTGAAATTCGCAGCGCCTACAACGTGCGTGCCTCCCGACTCAGCGACCTTTTGTACGCAATCAGCATTGCGACATTGCAACAACGCGTCGACATAATATTGAGCGCGACGTATAGCAAGCGCGATTCTGTCATAGGCGCGTTCGGGCAGTTGAGCGTCAAGAGCAAGTTCTGATGGCAGTCATGGCGCGACGCGACGCGTCGCGCTGATCATCTTCTCCTCCAACCTTCACTTGCCACAAAATGCGACCGCCATCTCCATCACTTGCAGAGAAGGAGTTTCTGTTTACCAGTCTTGAGCAGTCACTGCGACTTGATGGTCGCACGCTGCTTGAACAGCGTACTCCTGAATTCACATTTGGTGAAGAACTTGGCTCTGTAGAGGTATCCTTGGGTAGAACACGGTATATTGAGCTCTTATACTCGCTTCTGCAATGCAATCTGAGATGCGGGAAGTGTTATAGCATTTGTAGAAGGCAAAATGGTGCGCCCGACGCCCGACCGACCGTTTGAAGGCGCGGTCAGCATTCACTCGGAAATTTCGCCCATGGCATCGAGCGAATACGAGCCCGGTCGGTAGGTGCGCGCTTACCATAACTATGTATACTAGCGACGATACTGATTAAATATACAGCACGTCTGAAGAGGAAGCTATGCTTGTACGCATGCTTGACAAAGTTCTCCGACGGAGCGACGTTGTGGACAAGGAGGCACTTTGCGTCCAAGCCAGTGAAAGAGTGCGTCTTCCAGTTTCGCGAAGCTACAATGTCGCTTACGCTACTCCATAGGTGTGGCACATACGGCTGACCATACACTGCCTGGCCGATGCTGGCAATCTCATCGACTGTGCCTGTATGGCGGGTGTTGTGGCACTGAAACATTATCGCCGACCAGAAGTCGAAGTCGTGGGCGACGAAGTGACCATCGTACGCGCTCCTTTGCTTACAGCATCCCCACTTGAACTGAGATATCGATACAGCACCCACCCGAGTCTCGGGCTCCCGTTCCCTTGACACTCCACCACATGCCGTTCCTCCTCACATTCGCCTACTTCTCGCGCGCAACGACCCTGCCATCTGCAGCAACTGCCGCCTCTGATACTGTTTCGGCTCTGCTGGATCCCAGTCTATTGGAGTCACGACTCGCGGCAGGCACCCTCATGCTCGCGTTGAACGCACAACGAGAGCTATGCGTGGTTCAGAAGGCGGGAGGTGTACCACTGCCGCAAGAGTCCATCACGCAGGCGATCGATGTCGCTGTAGCAAGGGCGAAGGAGCTCGAAGCGCTTGTGGAGGCCAGAGTGAAAGAGGACTGGGTGAGGAGGAAGGTAGAAGTCCGATAGTCGCGGGTCGAGTGTATAGTGCGTAGTGCATTTTATTGTGTACATTGCAAGTGGATGTGTGGTGAAAGGTCGAAGTGCAGGCAGACGAACATTAGAAAGCAAGTGACAACAGATATAAAGTACAGTAATTGAGACAGAGAATTGCCCGAGCGCGGAGTATCCAAGGGAGATATATGGGTAACTGGACCATGGAGTGGATGAAAGCGGCGCAAAAAAAGACCGAATAAACGTCCCGAAGGGTCGTTGTCCAGATGTACAACACTGTCCGATAGAAGGTGCCCATGGTCTAAAGCACGAGAAGGGCGCCGACTAGGGCGGCTATGACTGCGACAAGGCTCCCACTGACGCCAACCATCGTAGCGGCGTTCGCGCCTACCGAGCCAGCAGCGACCCAGTCTCGATGCGCACTTTGCAGCATCAACACAAACGCCTCGCCTTCAGGACTATTGGATCCCTCTGCCGACCAGTTTTCAGGATCGACGACGGGCGTCAAGAAGCCGTCAGACGTAAAGTGTTGAACACCACTCGAGCCGGAAAAGGCGGAGGAGGCAGCGCTGGCAGTGGCTGCCGCGACAGACGATGTTGACGCGCTGGTGGCTGATGCTGGTGCAGTGGCGGATGGAGACGCGGATTCAGCGCGGGAAGACGATGACTCGGCGCGGTCTGAGGACGAGGAGTTCGACGCGAAGAGCGCTAGGCGCGATTTCTC